AATCAAATCAATCAATCTGATGGTGATAGTTCAGGAGTTGAAGTCCCATGATAATATTCAGCAATTTCGAGCTCGGTTGCCGGAATCCATAACTGATTGCTGAGGCCAACAGGGCCAACAGGGCCTGCATGACCGACGTTTGGTTCAGGATTTGAAACATCATTATGAGTTTTCCCATACGACATGACCAGGATAGAATGAGGCAAGGGCTGCATATCCGGAGAGATCTGTTCATTTCTTGTAGTAAAACATCGGTTTGAATCGATTTTAATCACCTTTTCAATAGGTTCCCCAGCGGTTGAGACTGGGCGCGAACGATCTTCGAGAGATGGGTCCGGGGATCTGATGCGCTTTTCAGCTAACGAGCTTTTGGTAACGTACTCCATATCCAGCCAGGGATTCTGCAAACACGCGGCTGCCGTTGGTCGTAACTTCGAATCTTGATGCATCATCTCAGTTGTGAGACGAAGGGCGGGTACAAAACTGGCAGCCTTCCCATATTGATGAGATTTCTCAATGAACTCTGACAAAACTTTCCCGAACGTCCAGATATCAACAGCAGGTGTGAACAGTGCTTTGCTTCCAGTATCTAAAGCCTCTTGAATTTCTGGAGCGAGATATCCTTTTGTTCCAGCGACATAGGTTTCTCCGGAGAATTCGCGTGCAAGGCCGAAGTCACCCAGCTTGATGATGGGGATATTCCTCTCGATATCCCATTTTGTAACCAGTATGTTCTCAGCTTTCAGGTCCCGATGTACAATACCGGACCTGTGAAGGTAGTCTAAGCCAGACAATACTTGGTATGCGATAGACCTGATAATTCTTAGAGGCCAAACGTATTTTACTTGGGAATTTTGCTTGGTTGACAATTGTGTGCGAAGATCACTGACAGCTAGTTCCATAACGATAGCAATCGAGCCATTTGTAGGTCAAAAGGCATCCACAAATCTGATGATGCGTTCCTGCTAGTTGTTAGTATCATGGCATTGATGTTGAGCGGGTACAATACAACTCACATGTTGAAGAGATTTCATTATCTTGATCTCTCTGATACATTCTTCTTCATCTTTGCTTGGCGAGTGAATAACCTTGATAGCGAACAAGTCTGCTGTATCAATATGCAGTGCTCTGTGAACCACAGCAAAGCTACCATTACCGAGGATATTGACGCTTCTGTGTCTCTCGCCAATCTTTGATCTTTTCTCTTGAGAAGTTTGCAGATACACAGCTCCAATAATTCCGGCATTTGCGGCATATGTTTCATAGTTCCGCTGGTGCTGTTCGGCGCAAGCTTTGAGGTTTGGAAACTCGACTGTGAACAGGAACATATGATTTCCAAAATCAGGCTCATACCCTGTTGGAGAACTAAGGAGCTATCCTTTTTCAAACCAGTCTTGCCAACTTTCATAAAATCCCCCAAGGCTGTAACTAATAGCGCGCCGCTGGAGAAATTATAACGAATTGTAAAGTGGGCCTTGGGTTGACTGCTGCAAGACGGCACTTTGACATCGGAGCTGCTTTCGCACCCAATTTCGAATCCTCTGGGAGAGGGTTTTTTCGAAGAATCAAATGTGAGTCGAAGAACCCTTCGGTCAGGGCTGCTTTCACGAGACCCGTCATTTTCCTCTTGTTCATTTTCGTGATTCGATGTAACTTCCAGGCGTTCGTCAAAAGATTTGGGAGGTGGATCCAATTCAAATAGGCAAAGTTTATTATCGATTAGATCCATTGCTTCAATAGATCTAGGCGATTGAGGTCTGAGATATAGGATGGTTTGGGCTTCATCCATCGTAATTTATCACTAGAAAGATGCGGAAGTAAGAAACAATTGAGGTGAGGTTAAGGTAGAGAGAGAGAAGAGAGAGAGAGAGAGAGAGAGAGAGAGAGAAATAGAAACTGGTTATTCCCACCATTTGAATATGACACCAGCACCCCAAGCCATTCGTGGTAGCCATCGCGTTTACAAATTGCTCGTATAGATTGATGGGGTTAACCTCACCTGCATATCAATATATCTACCTGATCCAAATGCAATGCACGAGATATCGATTCCATCCCTATTTACCCGGACCACTCATTTGCACGTAACACAAGCCATTTTATGATATTTCTGAAGCAACTTCAAGCAAGAAAGAGAAAACGGTCGATTTCTTTTGGAGGAGAATACACTCCCTGTCGGCGGCGTTACCCCACCACCAACCTCTTATGATACTTACAGCTTGTTCTACCTTTGCAGTGGAAGCTGTTTATTGACATCTGTAGTGTTGTAGTAGCTGATGACCGGTATCCTTCATTAATGTTCTAAAGAAACACTTCACAAACGTTTTATAGAGCAATTTCCGTTATGTACTGATACGTAATCCGGAACACGGGGGTTAGAATTTCAGTAACGCGACGGTTAAAAGTTTACTGGCACCTGGTCTTTGGGCTGGATTGCAACTTGGCAATATATACAGCAGCAGCGATGAGGTTCGAATGAATCAACGCTCCCCTAGAGATATTTTGTGACTCATGCCATCTAAACATATCTGGTCGGTGTGGCAAGATGTACGTCTGCTGCAGCTTCGCGTCCCTAAATTAAGTACTGGCCTCTTGTTCCCGAGAATAACTTCCTACAGGTTCTTTTGGAGTTAGACTGCTTGATACCTAGTATCAAAACCATGCACGAGAACCTCAAGAGTACCTCGAGGTCGGTAAGCATCCGTCGACTTACTTTGCATGAGACCCTGGACTACTAAGGTGAATAGTTTTGTTGAGCTGAAGGATAAAGAAACTATACCTGTCAAATAACTGAGCTTAAGCCCTTACTATATCTCCGAGTCGGCAATGCAAGATTTGTGGGCCAAAAGTGGATATAAAATCGCAGATCAGGCAGTCCATTTTATTGAATCTTCCAATTATATGATAATGATCTGTTTAGCTTCAGCCTTAAGATGCAACTTCTTAACCAAAGGGGTAAGGGGCTTAAACTCAACTTAGGTGAGATTTACAGGTAATGTTCGTGAGTAGCATTAAGTGGGTAAAATCCGGGTGTGTATATTACTAAAAAACCATCACACATTATCAAAAAGGGGGCTGTGGTTTAGGGGTATAACATTCCTTTCGCACATCATATGATTCAATATGATTAGACTAGGAAAGGTCTTGGGTTCGATTCCCAACCGCTCCATTCATTTTGCATTTTTCAATCATCTTTTTTTTTTTTACATTTTTTGGCATCCGTGTGGACTTCACAACTGCCAATTTGAGTCTTGGTCTTGGTGCGATTTGATTTGTTGTTATACTTTTGAAGCTGGGCGGAATACTCCACATAAAAGGGTGGATCCTGATTGAGCAATCGAAGCACTCTGAACCTTAACTGGACCTTGTTCTTACAATACCGGTACTCAGATTTCATAATTTAAAAATCGTAGGTTATTCTATACAACAGAAATGCCTTTGTCTTATTGTGCCTGCCAGACTGTCTGGGTCGAGGCTTCTTTCTACCTGGTAGGTCTCTCGAAAATTATCACTCCTGTGTCTATGGCTCATCTGAATGTGATGAATTTGCATATCGAGATAGCAAAATCACTTCAACGAAAGTCTAAAGATGTCTTTTTGCAAATCTGTTGTTCAACGCAGTCATCTTTGACTATCAAACAATCTCAATACTCGCCGGTCTTGGTGATCATGAAGAAATACTTCACGAATCGTGTACCGAAGTCTCGGTTTACCACCCATCAATATTGCTTGTATCATACCGCAGCAAACCCATCCTAAGATACCGCGGTAACTGGAGTCCACAATCACGCTAGGACTATATCTCCGTGCAGAAGGGAAATTATCTTGATGTATTAGAATGACTGAAAAGTTTAAGTCTTTCTCAACGAGCTCGACTCTCGAGGGGCTCAGCATAATCTCTGTAACGGCGCATGGTTCTCAAGATAGCATTTCCAACTGCCAGTGTCGGTTTTCTTATTGACATAGCCATTCTCGACAATTACGGCCTTGTTCCATGTGCATTGAATACTTTAGAGGAAGAGGCAATCTCATTCTTCTGTCGATTCTGGTCTGTACGTACTACTCGAGTACATAATATAATTAGACTCGACTACTTCGGTAGGGTAGGTCTTGTGGTTGTAAAAGTTAATAAATACATTGGTATCGACAAGTATAACTGAAAGGTTCACCTTACAGTAAGTAGGCAAGAGAATGGATTGGATTGGATTGGAGCCCAAGGTGAAGTTGCCGATAAATTATAATGTCGCTGCTGGTACAGATGTTGTCGATACATTTATTACTGGATGGAGCCCACATCATCGAAGCCATTAACGCCGGGTCCCGGGACCGTGATTGCTGATACTGTTGCCAATACTATTGCTATCGATGCTATGCTATGGATATCTAAGACTATGTTGACGAACAAGGTCAAAAGAAAAGGGCTCAATGTATTGAAACCGTACGCAGATCCGAGATAGAATTACAATGAAATTTGGTCAACAAGATCTGGCGTAGGTGGCAACTTGCTATTAACTAATAATCTAATAGAATAGTCTTATACCGAAGTTTTTAATATCAATACATATACCAGAGAATACAAGAAGATAAGAAGACAAGAGCAAGAAAAGGTCAAACCAAAATACTCGAGTATATATTTCTACATTGCTACAATTAAATGATAAGATGGTTGGGGCAGACTGTGAATACCAGCCCTTGGCTATTTGAAACTTTGGAATTATCAAGCTTTGTTTAAAACTCATGATATCATATTACTCTTACACATACATATCTTTGACGTGAAAAAGTATATTTTGTTCATCTCGTTGCTTACCACACCCATCCATCCCATTTCTATTCTATTCTACCATATCATGACCAGTAAACCATTACTTTAAGGCTTTACCCATCTCTCCTTCTCTACCAACCATCAATAACCTTAACCTTCACATACAAACCCTTCGCCGGTTTTGCCGTTACCCCCCCTTTAATATCCAAATTCTTCTCATCCAACAACTTCTCATCCCTCAACTCAAACTCAAACCTGCCAATCCACGTGGCCAATAATATGGCAAACTCCGCCTTTGCAAATGCTTGTCCGATACAACCTCTTGGTCCATGTAAGAAGGTAAGGAATGCGTAATTACTTGAGCTCCCTCCACTCGTGTGATGGGACTCACCATTCTCGGGCATCCATCGATCAGGGTCAAACTTTCGTGCCGAGGGCCCCCACATCTTTTCGTCTTTGTTGGTGGCCCAGGGAATTAGCATGACACGTGTGCCTTTGGGAATTCGGTGGCCGGAAATGATTGTATCGACGGCGGCTTCGCGAAGAGTGAGAGGAACGGGCGGGAAATAGCGGAGGATTTCGTTGCAGACAGCGTTTAGGTAGGGCATGTAATCGATATCTTGATTTGTGACGGTAGCAGTGGATTCCGGACTAGGTAGTTTTGCGCGAACCTCCTCCCGAAGACGAGATTGAACTTTGGGGTGTGCGCAAAGTAAATAAATTGCCCAAGACATGGCACTCGCTGTGGTTTCATGACCGGCTGCTAGGAAAGTCATGAGTTGATCGATGAGGTTTTCATCGGGAAATCCGCCACTCTCCAGCGCGACACTCAGGATATCCACATCGGTCAGCTCCTTCTTTTCCAACTTCAATTTTTTCTCATGAATGAGATCTCTACAAACCGATCTGATGATTTCTGCAGCTTCCTCGATTTCCCCATTTCTCTTGATAGGGATTCTTTTCACGAACCATCCAGGTAAGAAAAGCTGGAGGAATCCAAGGATCTGTGCAGAGCGTGTTGGCTTAAACACAGTCCTGTACGTCCGATTGAGTAATGTATCGGGGTCCTGAATGGCTCCAAAGTCTTTTCCCAGGCCAGCTATTCCAATTATGTCCAGTGTTATCCTGCTTGCCCACTGCATGGCTTCCATGAACGCCACACCCTTTTCTGGTTGATTGAGATTTTCTTCAACTTTTCCATCTTTTTCTCCACTCGTATCGTTGGGGATATCACCGCGTTCCTTGGCCTTGACTTCTGTGGTCATGGCTTTTATTCCTTCACAAGATTTATCCCAGAAGACGGCATATAAGTTCTTAACATGTCTAAATGCAAATGCAGGCATTAGGTTCTTTCTCTGTACTTTGTGTTCGTCCCCTTCTGCCAATAGAACTCCAATACCAAGGAGGCGCCCTAGTCCGAGACGAAGAGTAGAAGGTTTGACGAAATCGTAATTTCTAGTGGTAAGAACTTCGCTGAGGGCTTTGGCATTTGTGACCATAACTCGCTCTGAATTGAAGATCCCTAAATATCGTATAATGCCGTCATTTGGTACTTCCTGTATCCTATCACGTAGTCAGCTACATGTAGAGACATGTAGGGTATTGGAGCTTACCAGTCAAGCATAGGTTGGCCAGTTGGCTCTCCCGAGATTCTCTTCCATTGGCCATTCCACCAACTACCACCCTTTGGCGAAGGTAAATGTCTCAGTGGCGAGAAATAGAAAGGATATAATAGTACTCTCCATATTACGAAGCCTATGAACTGTAACAGCCATAATTGCACAAATGTTCCTAGGTAACTAGGCTGTGAGGATAACAAAACATCGGGTTTGTATTGGATGAGTGCGTATGAAAGAGTGGTCGGTAAGACCAGCAGTCTTTTAAAGGGAATAGACGACATGGAGATGGGTAAAGTAGAAATATATTAAGTAGGGGGAAATTCGTTGGTAGATGTATCGAGTACTTATATGGTTGGGGGCGGATCGAGAGATGCGCCGCCTCCGCAAGTTCCTTTCGCAAACTACTTGTACTAGGTAAAGTTTCAATAAAAGTAAGTAGGTAGTAAAGTGGCTTTAAATGAATGTAGAAAAGAGTGAATTATATTATTGGCACTAATAGCAATAGATATAAACGATTCGATTGAACCTAAAAGGTACATCTGCTTCGTTGCAAGTTTCAAATATTGAGGTAGCTGTAGGTATGTAACTTTGATCCGGGCGCAAACTGAGTATTGATCTTGTTACTACTCGAATAGCGAAAAGAGGCTTCAATCCCTGAATTGTCTTAATTAAATATTCAAAGAGAGTAAAGAAAAGAAATGAAATGAAAAGAATAATAGTGATGGCTTATGAATTGCTATGCCATCTCAAAAAGAAGAAACCCCCCCATGCGATTGATTTGTACTCGAGTGAATGGTACAAAAAACTCGATATGAAGTGTGGTTGGTCCTGTATTTCAACGAAACACATACCTTTTTCAGATGAAGTTCCAACAAGGATTTTGTAGATCTTTCGTGGAGTTGCGTCAGGAACCACTTGACCACTTCTTCCTCAACTAGTCCCATTTCTCGGTGCCTTCCTAGCCAATCGAATGTGAGCCTTGACCTTGACCCTCTTTTTCGAAATTCTACCATGCTGACGGAACGAAACAGAGTGTCACCAAAATACCGGTACGAGCCTTTCCCGATCATGCAATTGTATTGTGGTGTAACATCCGGACCCGCTTCTTTGTTTTGTTAGCCATTTCCTACGAGATAACCCCTCACAAACGGGCAATTTGTTGTCCCGAATGAAGATATACTCGAGTATATCAGTAAACAACGGAATGAAAGGAATACAAATGAATTCTGCAATTGAAGATCGAATTCTTCCAAGAGATAGATCACACCTCGGCGAATAAGAAATGTTGTTGATGGCTTATAACCTACAGTATATCTATTATTTGACCCTCGACTCTGTCTGGAAACCTTTCATTGTCAAGGTCGAGAATTTTGCGAAGCGGACATCTCATATTCCATTACCGTAGTGGAATTTCCATATTTCTTCGAGTGAGATAGTATACACGGAGTAACAACTGTTGATGATGTGAGTGAGATATTGCTAGGCAATATAATACTCCGAGATCATCTCGAATAACTACTTACTGGACTACTATCTCTCTCTCTCTAGAATTTGAATTAAATCTAGAGTGTTCTTTTGCAGACTTTCATCTGGAGATAGAAAGGCATTCAAGTCAGCTTACTTACCTAGTACATAACATCACATATGTCAGACAATATTGGCACATTCGCAAGAACCATTCCGTAGGACATAACATCTCATTTTTGCAGGAGAAAAAAAGAGAAGAAAAGAAAAATTTGGGAATTTGATTATCAGTATACTATCCACGCTATGCTATGTATGTGGTTAATATCAGAAAGACCATACCTGGTTAGACCCAGGACAGCAATCAGATGAGCATCTCCATGCCATTTGAGTCCTGCAAGAAATATGCTCGGCATACCCTTTTGGAAAGCGCCCATTTTGCGTTCCAAGAACCAAGTGTTGATCAATCAAAGCACAGTATCACCACCTCCCGATCCATACCTTTCTCCAATAAGCCATCTCCCGTCGCCACAAAGTTTGCACTTTCCCATCAATTTCTGCCACATATGAATCCGATGGCATTTCCGAATAAAGTCTAGCGGGCAGGTTCAGTCGTGCCAATCTTCTGCTTGACATTGAGCAAAAGTCTCTCCAATACCTCGAGACAGTTACGTGTACTCAACGTGACGCAATGTCATTGACAGTGAATGCTTCCGCGATAATAATGGATGGATATTCCTGACAGCCGTCCATATTCAAAGTCCGTTACTTGTTGAAATCCGATGCTATCGCTTACCTTGTACCTTCAATAAGGAGCTCATCAGGGATGTCTTGAACCTACTGCTCTGTCCCCGTGTATTTTAATGAAGGAGGATAAGCCATTCTCACACTGATCCCGCCAGTGAGGTCCAGAAGCGAATGGTATTCCAGTTGACTTGACGTTATGCAAGGCTGGAAGTACATTACTAGCATGCGGGCCTACTAAATTAGCCATCTAAAATCTTCCACGTATAAAGGGCCCGATTCTCAGTTTGCGGAGACATGGTGTCGATTGCTGTTTGGATTCGAAAAAGTCAAGGTTAGAGAGTGGTGGTTACCCGTATGAGCACTGTAGAAGCGATCTCTAGAGTTTAGAGCCATATCCGAAAAGTGTATTGTAGGGGCCAAGTCCGAAGATGCTTCATAATACTTACCTGAAAACAATACTCCAAGATCTCTTGACATCTAAGACAAGATCATACGCTGAAGCGAAATGTCTATGGACAAATCCATTCTCATTAAGTTTATGATATGGTTCTGGCTCGCACCACTCTACAATCAGAACCTGACCATTGAGTCTCATTCTCCTCCAAATCTTCTCTTCGGACTGAAAATACATTGGTGTTTGTTTTCCAGCACCGAGATCATACAAGGTAGAAAGAACACTTGTGCTCGGAAGGTGGAAATATCAAAATATCGTCATCCATTGTCCATGACGTTTCCGAGTAATGGAATGGAAATAGTACTTGCTTGTCATCCTCACCATGTCGCGACCAAGGGGAAGCAGGATAGAAACGTGCTCAAGCTGGAATAATGAGGGATTTCGCGATATTGTATGTCTCGATGCGTCGTGGTTTGCCAGTCCTCAAAGAGTTGTACCGTCCTGCCACTTTTGCTAAAAGACTAGGCCAGTTTGTATCATCATTTAGAATGTCGGGCAGCTGGAGCTCTGGAAGCTTTCGAGCTTTGGGATTGTTCTAGTAAAGGTAACGACGGCTCAATTCAAATTTGTGAAAGCTGTCAGCGATACTTTAGAGACTCGACGACTTGAAATGAGATCTCTGGGGGGCAATTGAGAAAATATGATGGGAAATTTATCAAATTTAGAACACTCATATCTCCAACATTGATATCCATATCTTGATGGCACATAAATATGTTCTCCGGTAAATCAGTTGAGGTTGATATCAGTCTAGCCAATAGAAGCAAGCTTGCTAATGTGTACTTAAGCTCCTAATAAGTAGTAATCTTTAGAATTTCGCAACAAAGAAACCTCATAATATAATAAATATATGGTTCTCGGGATTTATTCATATCTATTCCTACCCTTATCGTATCTCCTTGATCATGAGAGTTACGTACAAAATATTTTGATACGTCGGATCGCCAGGATAACCCTTCCTCTACATTCGGCTAACTTAACTTAAGCCGCTGTCAGCTCGGCTCGGAGCTTCAACTTCAAGTTAACAACCCCTCTCTCTCCACTCACCCGCAATAATACAAATAGGTGCCATTATATTGATGTGACGATTCCTGATACTTTGAAGAAACAACAATCAAGTTCTCTTCAAATCCTCCTCAATTACACGTTGTGAACGAAAATGCGTCGAACTTTAATCAGAGGCATTTCTACTGTTGCGGCTCGACGTACCCTCTTTGAAGTACGACCAAGAGTAGCATTCAGTATGCCATCCTCCTCAGAGACCTCCAAGATTGCTACTCGCAGACTTCATGCTACAGCTCAACATCTCAAGCCTGTTGCAGCTTTAGCTTTCAATGCCGACAATTATCCTACGACTCACGAGAAAATTCAAGATGTACAGGATACACCGTACTTTGTCGACAATAAATTCCTCATGTCTGAATCTACACAGTTCATCGATTTGCTCGACCCAGCAACTAATAATCTCGTAACCAGAGTACCGCAAAGTACAGATGCCGAACTCAAAGCTGCGCTTGACAGTGCGGTGAAAGCATTTCCAGGATGGAAGAATACCAGTATAATGGCGAGACAACAAATTATGTTTAAATTCACACAATTAATAAGGGACAATTGGGATAGGTTGGCTGCCAGTATCACATTGGAGCAGGGTAAAACTTTTGCTGGTACGTTCGCAGTGGTGTAAGTATATACTTTGAGGCTGACGTGCGGGCAGATGCGAAAGGAGATGTTCTTCGTGGATTGCAAGTCGCCGAGACAGCATGTGCCATTCCCCAACAAATGATGGGTGAAGTCTTAGAGGTAGCAAAGGACATGGAAACCAGAAGTTACAGAGAGCCATTGGGAGTCGTAGCCGCTATCTGCCCATTCAGTAAGTCATGGTCATCTTGAGGTTTGGAGCCAGCTAATACCCAATAGACTTTCCTGCAATGATTCCGTTATGGTCTATCCCAGTTGCATGTGCTACTGGAAATTGCCTCATTATGAAGCCATCTGAGCGAGACCCGGGTGCAGCAATGATTTTGGCTGAACTCGCCCAAAAAGCTGGTTTCCCTGACGGAGTACTCAATATTGTCCATGGTGCCTCGAAAACGGTTGACTTCATCATCGACGAGCCAGCCATCAAGGCCATCAGTTTTGTCGGAAGTAATCGTGCCGGAGAGTATATTTTCACCCGAGGTTCTGCGAACGGCAAGCGCGTGCAAGCAAACTTGGGCGCCAAGAACCATTGTGCGGTTTTACCAGATGCGAACAAACAACACGCACTCAATTCAATTGTTGGCGCAGCTTTCGGTGCAGCTGGTCAAAGATGCATGGCCCTGAGTACCTTGATCATGGTCGGGGAAACTAAAGAGTGGCTATCCGAACTAGCCGAAAGTGCCAAATCACTAAACGTAAATGGAGGATTTGAAAAGGGGGCTGATCTCGGACCTGTCATCTCTCCACAAAGCAAGCAGAGAATTGAAGGTTTGATTACAAGTGCAGAAGAAGAAGGTGCAACAATTTTGTTGGATGGTAGGGGTTATACGCCAGAAAAGTATCCCAACGGAAATTGGGTTGGCCCCACGATCATCACCAACGTCAAACCTCATATGAAGTGCTACACGGAAGAAATTTTCGGCCCAGTTCTAGTGTGTTTGAACGTAGATTCTCTCGACGACGCTATCAACCTCATCAACGCAAATGAATACGGAAATGGCGCCACTATCTTCACACGATCTGGAGCAACAGCAACAGCCTTCCAAAAGAACATCGAAGCAGGACAGCAGGGAATTAACGTACCAATCCCCGTACCTCTTCCCTTCTTCTCCTTCACCGGAAACAAGAAGAGTGTTGCTGGAGGTGGTGCAAATACATTTTATGGCAAGCCAGGACTACAATTTTACACACAGCAAAAGACAGTGACCAGTTTATGGAGAAGCGAGGATGCCATTTCTACATCTGCTGATGTTTCAATGCCTACGCATAGCTAGGCATCTTAACATAACTTTATGAAAATCTAATGATTCACAATGATCTAGTCTACATGTGACGATGTGGTGTTGGAAGTGCAGGTTTTTATCTCATTGTTCATGCTAAAGCCTAATCCTCTCGCTGACCCTCATGCCATATCCCATATCACGTCTCCAATCCGTCCGATTCACTGATTCATACATTTTATTATTATTTTACCTAGGTAATGTAATATCATGATATAAGTGCTTGAAAACTCCATGTAAATGCGTATATGTACCTTTTCGTCTAAAGCCAGAACGCCCCTGATGCTTCGATGTTTCCAGATCCGACATTACCTGGACTGTTGGATATGCCAAAGTATCGCAACGCCACCCAAATCCTCTTATACATCTGATATATGATGTATATTCATATGCTAGCCCAAATTCTAAGCACTGATTGCCAACTCTGAATTAAGTTCAGTCAGAGGCGCCTCTTCCGCCTCGATCAAAGTCGAGGACTGGGCTGGATTCTCGAGACTTCGACTTTTTTTCTGTTCTCCTCCATCATGGTTGGTGTTCTTTCTCTTTTTCTTTGCTGCGTTTACTTTTGCCTTAGCTTCTGCCTTGGCTTGTGCTTGTCTGAGTTTCTGCTCCTCGACTTGTTTATCAGACAATCCAATCTTGTCGTCTATATCGATTGCCTGCTCGAGCAAAGTTTTGTGTTCTAAGATCGTGCACTGCTGCTGGTAATTCTTGGACTGCTGAATAGGTCGAAAAACTGGAGCTTTTCCTGGTATAAGATGGGCCAAGAGGTATTTTGTATTTCCGAATCTGTTCTCCGTATCCAGGCAAAATTTCATGTATTTGTGAACCACTTCAGCCCATGGTGCCAGACCACCATCGGCTTCACTTCTAAAGCAACTTGAATTTGCTTCGGCAGCCGTAGCGATCATGCCACCGTCTGTACCAAATTCCTTGGCCAGTATCAAGGCCTGGTCTCTATTTTCTACATCTCCGTTCATCAAACAAGCGACGCCGTTTTCTCGACATATGTCTGCAATCATCTTGAGTTGTTCTCGAATGGCTCTTTCTCTTGGGCGCATAGGCGTAGTTCGACAATGGACGGTGAGGCCTGTAATTCCAGTAGCACAAAGTTTCCGTACTAGGGTCTCAGTCTTTTCGGCAGTTTCCAGTAATCGTATCTTCACACTTATTCCAATCTCGAATTCCGGCACAATTTCCTTGACTAGAGCCTCGAGAATGGCACATAACTTATCCGGTGTTTGTAAGAGCTCTGCTCCCATACCACCGCTTGTACTGAATGGCTTCGGACATCCTGCATTTACATCTATGCCCACCACGTCTGCGGCTACCATGCGCGCACACTGTACTGCTCTGTCGGGGTCGGATGTGCCGATTTGAAATATGAGTTTTTTGCCTTCGAGTTCTGGATGCAAACGGAAGATGAGACTTTCAGTCAAATTTGTATTCTTTTCCTGATGACCTTGGGAAGGGAGGCGTGTAAAATCGATTGTATTGAGGGCGGTGTTCACTCTGCGTGTCGTTCCGATCATGGATCGATCAACGGTCTCGGGACCTGAGAATACATCAGTTTGTTTTACTAGCTAACACAATTGAGAAAATACATACCCCATACCAGATCTGCTCCATAGTGAAGAGCAAGTAGTCGCGAAGGTAGTTCACCGCATCTCACCATAGGAGCACTGAGCCACATGTGTTAGTTTTCTCTTTAATCATCATTTGCGGCACTTCAGACTCACAGTACTACCTTGCCCCTGTAGTCCACACCTCTCCTAGGAATAGGAACTTTCTTGGGGATCGACGCCATGATGGTAGATGCGAGACGTTGCATAGCATTTCAATCACCAATTTGCTGTCTTTGAATTGTGGGAAGAAAAAGTATCACCGTCCCGAACTAGGAAGAATAATTCAGTTATCAGCATACACGTGATCTCAGATAAGAATACATGAATAGGCCAATCACAGGGTCAGCACGGCCCAGATCCGTTAGTTTGATGTAGTGTATATATCATTTGCTTAGAGTATAAACTTTGATATCACTAATACGAGATACTATCTAGCTTTGATATCCACCTTTTTACTTATTACCTATGCAAGCAAGTCAAGCCATCGAGACTACGATTATATTCACACTCTCTATAGACATCCAAGTGGACATTGAACACATACTAGGTAGGCCACGCACATAACTTCATCTACTTGTAGGCTATGTTGAACTGATGTTGGATATTCACTAGATCTTTGAGGGTTGAAATTACTAGTAGCCACCTCTTAAAAGGGTCAAATCTGAGGTGCAAATGTTCGATTGAATTATGATCAATATGATATTCTGGGATATCAACAGTTTCCTTCTCCCATACTGTCATAAATCAAATTATCGTACTGCTCATTCAGCAACCTGCTTCAAGTGCAGCAAAACCATATGGTATCCGATATTCATCCATTAACGCCTCCCTATGTTATCACATCTTCATGCTATCCCCGTGTTCCCAAACAGAATTTCATTTCATGGTATCATTCGTCGTCGCGAAACTCAAGACTCGTCGCAAGGAGGATTCGACCTGAGACTGGTTAGATAGATCATCTTTGGTAGTGACGGCAGAAAAAACATACATACTATTGCTTAACGGAAGCAGTTGAGACCGCAGAGACGCATACGTAAGGTAGGTCTTCTGACGCCATGTCTATCTGCAGTCATGTTTGCGCCGAATCTCCTACTTCCAACTCCCTTTGACCAGAAGAAAGGCATAGTTGTGGGTGATGTGGTTGAGTATTTGTGTGTATTGATGGAGTGGTAGCTGTGGTTGATTTATTGGAGATCTTGCTTGTGTTGTGCAATTGTGGAAAACCTTTTTTTTAATAATGATATCGAGGTATCATTTATAATATATTTAGATTGTTATTCAAGAATCAAGATACAGTGAATGATGTAGATGGGTTTTTTGGTTTCTCAAAACCTGTTTGTCGGCTTGGCACACATAATAATTGGGGCTTGGTTCTTCACAGCCCCTTTGAAGTTTAAGTTCCAGAAAACAACAAAAAAAAAGCATGACAGTTCTTTCAACACTTTGATGCCAACTCATAGAAGTGGGAAACTGCTTCATTTCCCTGTTTTTCATCCCATCTTGAGACATGCAACAAATTGGAATTTCAGTCATCTCACTGGATGTATTTTCTCCAATGACTTCAATCACTCTCAACACTTGAAACATTGAAAACTCTTACAATCTGGTCAATCCATATATTGGAGTTTGAATAGCAGGTGTCATTCTCAATCAAGCTGATGGTTTTTGAGCTGGGAAATTCATTCTGCATTTTAGCCCAAAGGTAGGAGAGGAGAGAAATAGCTAAATATTACTTGACAACTTCATGGATACGCTAATCATCCTTTTCCGGATAAGAAACTTAAGTTTCTTCAACAACGTGAAATCATTCTGTGGTGTCCATGTTGTAAATGCATCGTGATGGAGAGACCAAAATCTAAGTAGGACAACCCAAGGGTCTTATTTTTGTAGGTATCCGAAACCAACCTATCAGAAATAGATATTGAGATACTCCAAATCGAATAGCCCCAGACTCGGAATCCTTTTGTGAATATCAGATATGAGTTAGTTTGAACATTTGGACATTTCAATTCGAATAGTTCTAAGTAACCATGATGAAAAGGTGAAATTAATCTGTATATTTCCAATATTTCGAATACCGGTGAAATTACTTTAGATATTTGGATATTTCAAATTGAACAGCCCTCAAGCTCAAAAGGTATCATGAACATTGGAAGTTAAACTTAACTTGACTTCCTACTTAGGTATGGTATGTAGTTTGTACAGGGCATTTGAGATTTCCATCTTGTTGATCCCTTCTTCGGATATCATTGCTAAACGATCACATGATGCCCGTAGCTCGCCCCATAATTGGGTCTTCCCCGCATCTTACTAAATCCCCACGTTCACTTGGCGATTTTCTCATTTCCCTTGGCTTTATACTTTTCTACATCACCCAAAACGAACTATAAACATCAAGAACTCACAATGGTATTTCTGGCCGAAAAACCCGTGGTTATACCTACAAAGGATCTCTTGTCATGGATATTCAATCATGTTCTCTACGACCAAGATGACATGGTAGGCAACCTCCTTTGCGTGATATGATTGAAAACGTATCAAAGTATGAAGAATACATAGATATACATCGAGGCCAAAGATTATTCTCGCTCTATGTCGGCAAACCAGGCTTGAACAGTTATCCGCAAACTATTTCCTGGCTTCCATGTCGCCGGTCTGAAGAAGAGTGATTGCGTGTGCTAATATTTGTTCAATGATGTGAGCAATTGATGAACTTATTAAATTAAAAATCTCTAATGTGTAAACGTAGATCTATTATTCTATGATCTTTTTAGGTGCTTGAAAAACACACAAAGCCACCACTTTCACTCTAACTCATAGTATATACAGTTATCATAGCAGCAGGTGAAATATTCACCGGTACAAACCCATCCTACACCTCCCACGAACTAATCCATCACATCAATATCTCACGAACAAAATTCCTCATTACAGAACCAGAGATGCTTGCCAATGCCCTTGCCGCTGCTAAAGAAGGCGGTATCCAGCATTTAAATATTTGGATCTTCGACGTACTCGGACAAGCTATTCCTGCTGGTTTTAAATCCTTCAAGGAATTATTGAGCCATGGAGAGAAAGACTGAGTGAGGTTCGATGATCAAAATACATGTCAGGAAACAACTGCTGCGAAATTATTTAGTAGTGGAACTACCGGGCTACCGAAAGCAGCTGCACTGTCCCATAACAATCTAATTGCACAGCATATGAATCTTGTATTTGAACAGGTACCTAAGCCGTATACTGTATGGCACCCTCCCCCAACCACCTCAGGCTTCTGGGTCTGAGAAAACCATTTTAGATACGACGGATACTCGCACTACCAATGTTCCACGCAGCTTGTGTCCCAGGTTCGTACCATATTCATATCTCCTCATGGCAGATCACTGAAACAGAACCTAGTCGCACATACAAGTGCTGAAAGGTGGACACGTCTCTGTCATAATGGGTCGTTTCGAACTTGCCCCCTTTTCAACCACGTAAAAGCATACAAGCTCAACGAATTGGCTCTCGTTCCACCCATCGCAATAGCAATCATCATGTCAGGGCTTGCCGGAGATAAACTAAAAGCCGTCAAACACACTGGGATCGGCGCAGCTCCCCTCGGAAAAGAATCCCAGGAGAGACTCAAGTAATTATGTGCCCCAGGGGCGACAGTAACTCAGGTTTGGGGTATGACAGAGACAAGCTGCATTGTATTGCTTTGATGTTTTACCATGAGGAGATTATATGACGGGTAGTGTAGGGAGATTGTTGCCGAATATTGATGTTAAGTACGTTTTCTTGTCCTTCTAGGAGGTTCCAATAGTCTACACTGCAGTACAAAAATGAGGGACTCTTGATTCTCGAATTCGCTCCGAATATTGAGTAATAATCAACGATTCAAAGCTTTTCAGACATCAAAAGCTTTTACCTCTGGACTGTAGTGTTTGGAATTCTGGAGATCCTGCTCCTTGTCGAAAACATTCATCTCAGACGCTAACTTGGAGTCATCAACTAGAATTATCGACGAAGAAGGAAATGACATAACAGCCTATGATGTACGTGGCAAGCCCTGTGTCCGAGGCCCAACTGTTATCTCTGTTTACTGTAAGTCACCTCTGCCCTCTTGATAAAACTCTTCGGAATTTGTAAACGTCAAACCACAGTCGAGAATGAGGCCGCGAACAGTTTGTCCTTCGACCTCCAATTTCTTCAAAACCGGCGACATCATGTATTGTGACTCGGGCACCAAGAAATGGTACATCGTTGACCGCAAGAAAGAATTGATTAAGGTGCGAGGTTTCCAAGTTGCGCCACCCGAATTTGAGTTTGTACTCTTCTCCCATCCATTAATAGTCGATGCAGTGGCATCAAGGGCTCGGCTGGGGATGGAGAAATGCCAAGAGCATATAAGGTAAAGAGACCTGTTGAAGAGAGCAAGAGACTGGAAGAGAAATATGTGAGAGAATGGTGTGGGAAGAGGTTAGCGAGGCATAAGGAATTAACGGGAGGTGTAAGACGGCTCGACTTTGATGAGAGACTGTTAACAAGTGATGACATGTGTAATGGTATGATATGATATACTAGAATTGGATGGAGTCTAAATGTTCGATAGTGATTTACACCACGGAAATTCAAATGTTTGAGCTGATATCGAGCAATAGAGTGCTTTGAATAGGTAAGATAGGATGATATATCAAAATGAACATTCGACATTACATCAAACAATCCAGAACCTTCAGATCTGTAGGGCACTGCTTGATAGTCTGGATTAACGTGAGACGAGAACTATATATTCGAAATAAGAAAGGGGGCAACGGTAAAGTAATGGATAGATTGAAGAAATTAACCGGCTGCAAATTAACTCGATATGCCGATACATACGCCGCGAAATGCTCTTGCTCAACCAAGATAATTTAGACATTCATCGATCGTACAAATATTAGTGTGCATGTTCTGGAAAACATCTTCTCAGATTCCAATGTTCGACCCTTCATATCTCTCAACACAAAAAGAGCATTGAATGGAAAGACACGTTGTTTTGATTGAAGTTCTTCCCAGTACAAGTTTCCCAGTACGAGTAGCTGCAGACTAGTGATACAGCTCTCTTTCTACTGGAAGAGAAGAGCTCTTTCAGCACCAACGCCTCTTTAATGAAACGCCGTCCCCGAAACATTCCTACCTAGCAATACCCGTATAGCAATATCAACACCAGCAACCATATGACAAACTCGTCGTGTCGAAAGGAAGGCGCCAACGTTCTTAAGCTTCATTCATTCTGGTATCATACATCTCACGCTCGCACATTCCTTCCCTCAACTCCTTTCCGAATCTTCTTCCTTCTGGCCTATGTTCAGCGGGAGAAGAATCTTCCAAGCGTGGCGCTTGCAATATTCCCTGCGATTCCCGAGGTATACATAGCGCTGCCTGCCAGATTTGATGCTTGTCCAAACTTATCACATCTCGAGAACGCCAAAGTATTCGTGACCGTCAAACTTAACGCAATCACTATACAAATACAAATATCAGCGATCTATTCTGTAACTCGAATCATGTCCATCGCCGCGCGACACCGGAGTTCTAGAAGACATAGAACTTACCGATCAACGTCAACCAGATAAACTCAAACCTAAAAATGGCCACAAAAGCCAATCCAACCCATAGTAATGGCTGCGAGTACAGCGCAAGCCAAAAGAATCTGCTATCGGTAGGATTTATTATTTTGGTATTTGGATCCGAGGACTCGAAGACCCAGTGAGAATCGCCCGATGCAGGATCCACTTCATTCCACCAGCGCAATCCGACGAGGCGACGGCCCGCGATATTTTTGAGGTAGTAGAAATCGGCTGCGAGGAGGAGGATCGTTATTATGAATATTAGGACGCTATTGAATTGAGGAGTTAGTTGGCGAATCGGAGAAGAGGGGATCGAGGAGGAAGCGCCAGGAGACATACAAGTTTTGGGTGAAGAGAATGCCGAAGAGATAGACTAGGAGACTTGCTAGGTGAGTGTTAGTGATTGTATTTACAAGAGCATATCCAAGCATGTATGCATGCATCTAACACAATATTTCATCTCAGATTCCCAAATCAAGTAAAATCAAATTCAATAACGCCAAACCTACAAATGCGAAATCCTAGGAAACACAACAGAGTAATGGGATGCGAGCTAAGACGCCAGCTGAGTGACCCGGCCCCAGCGGCTTCGTTTTGTTCCATGGTGAAGGAGGTTCTTTAAAAGAGTGTCGGAGTTGGGTTTGTTGAAGTGCTAAACACCTGCATGCTTTATCGTTCTGAATCTTCTGATACCCTTACTCGTAATTGTCGTAAGGCCAGAGTAGCTAGGAGCTTGAGGCAGGAGCGCTAGATTGGCGGTGAAGGCTGGCAGTATATATTTCCAATTTCTTGTGACGTACCTTTCTTACCTTTTGCCTTTCTCTTTCACAACAACATCACAACATCACACATCATATACATTATATACATCATATATATCACATATATTACATACATCATACAGTATACATCACACATAATAATCATAGCTCGTTTAATTGAGCAAAGTTATATTGGGTCTTGATCATATGTGCATGGGCATCGGCATCATGGTTCATTTATTATATTTCCCGTTTAAGTTGTGTCTTCACTACTACCACTACTTTAGATAACATTACTCGTTACTTGAATTCGAGACAAATTTTGGTCAATTGATAAATTTTTTTTCATTTGATTGCAGGCTTGAAGATAAAAGAAATTCTACCCATACATGCTAATTCCACCTCAAGCTATCCACTCACTCAATTTCCGACTCCTAACTCAAACTCTCCAACTTCTTCCTCTGATCTTTCTGATGGGGTTGACAGTGGCAGTTGAGTTAAGGGTGGTTCCACAGGTTCCGAAGCCAGGTTGGCAACCTGCACCGCACCAAGCAGGACCAATCCCGCAAAATCCGTCTTTGGAGCAACATGGACCAAAGCCGGAGCCGGTGCATGTTTTACCTCCAGAGCAGAGACCATCGGTCGTGATCTGGACGGCCCCAGAACTTGTTCCTGAGGATGCTGGAGAGGTGGTGCTGGATGTTTGTGATGCTGGTGCAGATGTTGCGACGCTGGTGGCGGAGCTGGCTGTGGGGGAAGCTGGAATGGTTGGGTTGATGACGATGGAGATTGGGGTTGTGCTTGAAGAGACTACAGATGCTGGAGCAGATGATGCACTGACTGCCGGGGCAGATGATGCGCTGACTGCTGGAGAACTTTCGCTCGGACTTCCCGAAGAAGAGCCCGACGATGAGCCTGAAGCAGAGCCAGATGACGCCACACCATTCACGGGACCACAAGTTCCGGTGAAGGTACCTGAGTCTGAGGCTTTGCGTGTGACATCTGCATCTGGACCTGGGTTTGGGTAGTTGACGGCTTTGCTTTCCACAGATGTGCATCCGTTGCCAAGGTTGACAAGGAAGAGATCGGGACGGGAAGAAAAGGCGACAGCTGGAGCAGCGCGAGCTTTTGATGGCCCGGCTTCGATGTTGACCGAAGCGCACGACATGTAGAACTCACGATTGCCGATTTGGTTTTGCCAAGTCCATGTGAACATTGCGTTTCCAGCCGGAGCATCTGAGGGAACAGTGAAGTCTGCACTGGAGCCTACTGCGGCGGGACAACTTCCAATGTAGGAATGAATGACTCGGAATGTCTTGCCAGAGTCGTAGGAGAGAGCAACTTGACAAGATCCTCCACCGTGAAGGGCTCCTGTCCCGACGGTCCAGTTTGCTGTTGCTCCTGCCTCCCAAGTGACGACGGATTTTCCGCCAGGTGTGCCCATATCATTGTACTTGCAGGGAAAGTTTGCACCTGAGGCTGCAAGCGGTGCTGTGATGCTGTAATCGATTTGAGATTGAACAGCGTTGGGATTGAGCGCAGATCGGAATGGGGCGGGGAATGTCAACGACAAGTGTGCGTCGATGGTGGATGTGCAAAGGAGCGCTGCGAGAGCGACGGTTCTGGTGAACTGCATCTTGATGGTGATGATTGGGAGTTCTTGTTGATGGTGCGTGTGTTGCGTTTGCGACGTTGATGATCAGACCTGCTGAATGTGTGATATTCTTGTTTATTAGAAGAATGCGTGTTGCAGATGATGTGATGTGATGATTCAAGTTGTTAATGGAGGACTTGAGCATCTGAGCATCTCGAGGGCATTAAATAAGGCAGGAGAATGGACTGTACGAGAATAGAAGAAACAATGTGATGTTGACCTCGCTTTGTGAACAATAAAGAAATTACTTTTCGCGTGCCCGCACAATGAAATTATGAACCGAAGGGTATTATTATTGTTCCATATCCAAACAAACGATTCTTTATTCACCATACAAAGAACCGCGAGAACAACCGAGTCAAATGAATTCTGAATGAATATTCGAGCCGGTACTACAGAAGTGAAAGGGGACAGAAGCTAGAACAAGAGAGAGAAAAGTTTCAAAGAATTTGGTTCTCTCTACCCTGTACTCGTAGATAGAATTGTATGGTGAGAAACCAGGCAAGTACAGTACCTACCTAGTACCATCCAATAATATCTTGATCACCTTCCCTTTCCTTCCCTTCCTTCCCTCCCTAATCGATTAGATTGAATGAGAAATCTCGATCCTAAAAGTACCTACCTACGTACCTAGTGCCTACAGAGTGCCAGTACAAACTATCAATTATATCAACAAATGGCGAATGAAGTCTCAACCACACTCCATTTTCGAAACAAGAGATTCCATTTTATTTCATCTCATTTCATCTCATTTTAATCCATGTCATCTCAATCCAAATCACTTCATAAGTATCATCTCAAATTTTGAAACAAATCAATTCATTCCACATCAAACCAATTCAATTCATTCCATTTCATCTCATCTCATCTCAACCCAACTCAAGAATATCGTACACGATGGGTACTGTAATCCTCAATCCTCCACCAATCAACATACATGAAACAAGAGTCTTTTGAATTCGAAACCTCGAAGTTTATTAGCCATCTTGAAACTTGAAACTTGAAACTTGAAGATATTCAAGTTGATCATAAATGATGCTAATTCATTATTGTTATTGCAATTGCAATTGCAATTATTAGTATTAGAGTAATTATTAAAGTATTAAAGTATTAAAGTATTATTGCTTGCTTGCTTGCGCAGCCAACCAATCAACCAACCAACCAATCAACCAACCAACCAACCAATTTTCAACGAGAGCAGTGTGCTAATAAGAATAAGAACAAGAATAAGAAAAAGACCGTATTTTGGTGGTGTTAGACCGTTGGACTATCGAAATGTTGTAATATATATATGTATATCGATCAGGCAGTTTCCAAGGGTGCGGACAGACAGCAGTCCAGTCCAATACACTAGAATGTATGTGCGTGTACTGATGAGTATTTGATACTATAAATGGGTATAAATGGGTATAGCTATATGATAACGAAGAGTACCCAATGCAAATGTCGTTCAAAAATTACAGTTCATCCTTCCTTTGCGGTGCGTCCTTGATCGCCCCTTCTGGTTCCTCCCACATCCTTTTTTTTGGGTTCTCCTCCGATTCCGATTGTTCACTTCGCGCCGTACTTTCTTCCAGCTTGATTTGTGTGTCATACGTAGGCTCGTCTCTCGCCGACTCTTTGCTCAATTCCGATTGTTCACTTCGCGCCATACTTTCTTCCGGCTCAAGCTGTGTGTCATGCGGCGGCTCCTCCCCAGCCGACGCTACATTGGCACCCTCCTTATCAGGAGCTCGGTAATGCTGGCTTTCATCAATGATATGTATAACTTCCTCTACCATAGTCGATGCCGCTGTTGCTGTCGGTTGCTGATCACCGTTTGTAACGTCAATGACTGTAGCATCTTTGCTGCCTGTTGAGACCGTTGAATAAATCACTGGCTCACGAGATATCGATAAGCTGCTTTCAACAACCGAGCCACCCTTCGAACCCATCATTCCAAATATGCCAAACAAAGTATACAAGATTAACCTCAGCGGCGCATAGACTATCCACCAAAGTGGTCCGTAAAGGAACCTCCTGAAAATGAGCCATGCAATCGTACTTATGAGGATATAAAATGCCGATTCCAGATACCACGTATCACTCTTTTGGCTCCTCAGTAAAGTTCCCAGCAAATGCCTCGAATTTGATAATAGAGAATCTAATGTAGAGTATGTTTCATCCAGCTGAGCCAACTTTTCCGTTGATTGTTTCAAAGTATCGTTTGCGAATTGTGATTTCTCCAACTCGCCCGCCATCATTTCGTGGGTTCGTCGCAAGGCAAGCGTCACATCGCCTGCAGCATTTACAGTCTTCTCTTCTTTCGAGGGCTCCGACTTTTGCCTAGATATAGGTCGTTCCATTGAGCTGGGGGATGATCTCCCGGAAGAGGGATTTAAGCTTGCTTGGAGGAGGACTTGTCGCGCCAAAACTTGCGCAGCCTTGAGCTTCTTTTTGGCCGTCATTTGGGCTTTGCGAAACGTGGTATAATATCTGTAGAATTTGGTAATCAGTTCGGAACATGATGTATGGACGGCTGAGCAAATATGTGTGTCTTACGATTTGAGTTCTTTGATGTCCCTCTCCACTGCGTCATCAAGCACCTGTCTCTGCCTTTGCGACTCACTATTCGGCCGTCCCGCAGGCAGTGACAGAACTTCTTCTTGCAACTGCTCAAACTCCTCATCTTGATCCTTCAAAACTTGTGTAATCTCCGCAGAGAGCTCTAGCAACCCGTTATCGTCGTCGCTATCCAGTGCTATGGAGCCTGGCGGAAACTCAATGGTTTCTAGACGATCGATCAATTCTCTTGCTTGTCTATTTGATTCCTGCAGAGTCGCAAGGCGTTCAGAGAGAGACTCGAAAGACATGTTAGATTGGTCGAACTTTCACCGAATTTCTGTATCGGAGGTTCTTTATCGTCATATCATGACATACATGAGAGTTGGCAGCTTCGTGTGAGGCTCGGAACTTACCGAGAATTTTATTTTGCGTCTTGCACACTGAGCTTCGAGACCACAACTGTACCTCCAGAACTGCCATAGAACATAGGAAGCCTCATGTAAGTTCCAATGTTTTGATTGTTCGCCAAATGCTAATGGTATACCTATACTAGATTCCTGTAGCAAACATGATCACCCGATTCATCACAGAAGTCTCAACGGTGTTCAACCCGTTCTCACCCAAAGCCAAAACCGCACGATTATTCCTCTCAGTCCTCCCACCAAATGCACGACAGACCATGAAGATTGATACCAAGGTATTACCGAGGGCATCCAAAGAGCCAAGTCTTGTGTGCTTGAAGTTCAGTATGTTTCTGTTGAACCCAAATTTTATTCGCACTGTTCTAACTCAAGGCTTACAGAGGATGGGAAAGAAATGAAATTAGACGCGGAGAAGCTCGGTATCAGGGGTGTATCCGATGAGGTGGATAGACATTCACGAATATTGGCAAGACAGGAAGAATTGACTGGGAACTGATGATATGATGCTGGGATGTATATTTATGGCATGTGGGAGGCGTTTCGAAGCCGTATGATACTATCCATACTTTCAATTATACGGCGTGTCTTTGGAGTGGACAAGATATATGTTTCCAAGGGCTTTTACGATGTCTGGGTCGTACTAATCTTCTCTATATGTGGATTATCCAGGCCCAAACCAGTTGAAGGATAGCAATCATTCATGAGTTAAGAAAAGTTGAAGTTTTATGGCTGGGTGTAGGTGCAAATATTGGACAGTTATACGCGTTTACCGTCCTACAAGCCTCCAGCGTGGAGTGTCAAGGCTACATCATACACCAATGTGAAAGCAGACAATGTTTCACTTCTCACGACATAATGACACGCTTTCCGACTATGTTGGCTCGCACGTGGATCTAAGGTCCCCCATACGCTTTCCAGAAAGCCTGCGAAACCGTGTGAGAATCCAGGAATATGGAGAGCCAGGGGCGCAATCTCTCACAGTTGCACATGTCGAGAACCAGAAGCAAGATGGAAACGTGTGTAAGAACCAGCTATTGGAAAACTTCGTATTGTATCTACAGCCAATGGCAATGGCTTGTGTAGTGCTTTCTTCTAGACGTGCTTCAATGTAACTTTTATGGTAGTCTGACTGCAATGCCTGCAGATTCATGGCCTTTATTCATGACTTCCGAATTTAAGCGGCAGCACCAGAGATGAAGAACCACTTGTCAATACTTGGGTCGATAAGAGCTGGAGTAAGGTTCTCGTTGGATGGGATAGGAGGAAGTTGGCTGGGGTCAACACGGCTGATTGAGTGCTTGACGGTAACGTTGGTGCTGTACAATTTTGTTAGCTGAGAAGCCGACACAACGAGACAACAGAAAAACTTACGTTGAAACATCACCTGGGATGGTCTTGCCAGTGATGAGTTTCTCCCAAGCCTCAGCACACTCACGGACAATATCAGTGGCGTACCTAGAATATGGTTAGCTTTCATGCCCGAAATATAGTCGTGTGAGAACCCTTACTTCTTGTTCTTGCACTCTCCAGTGAAAGCAAATTGGTTCTCTGGCTTTCCGTCTGGGATTTTGTAAATTCTGAACCATTCATTTGTAGCTCTCAAGAGACCTGGAAGGTGTCTTTCAACATCTTCAACGTCATTGAGCTTAGAGGCCAATGGGTCGTTAACATCGATGACGATAACCTTCCAGTCGGTCTCCTCCTCGTCGAGCAAGGCCATAACACCTAGAACCTTGACTTGTTTGACTTGACCAGGGTATCCGACTAATTCACCAATTTCGCAGACGTCCAATGGGTCGTTGTCACCCTTGGCCTTGGTTTCGGGGTGGACAATGTTAGGGTCCTCCCATGTCTAATAGCTAGTCAGCTCGAGTCGTAGATACCGTGTATATTATTCCAAGTCTTACTTGAGGGAAGGCACCGTAGTTCCAGAGATATCCCTTATGGGGGAAGCAGTTGCGAACGAAACGAAGCTTGCCCTTCTTGATATCTTGCTTCTGTTAAAACTATTAGCATGAAACTCGAGTTCAACGATAGGATGGACATACGATAGGGTTAAGCATCTAATGACATGTTAGCTGACAGTATAAGACGGGATGGTGCGGAATAAAAACCTCTTCTTTGCTAATCTCCATTTTGGCATTTGTCCATCTTGGAATCTCAACCACCATGTTCAAGATAGTTTGTTGCTCATTGGCATAAAGGGGAATATCGTGAAATGGGGAAACTGGAACTCCATCCTTTTCGATATAGATACGGTGCTCCAAAGTATTTGGAGCTCCGATCTTTCTGACAGTATATTTGGAAGCCATTGTTGTATTTAATGGTATATTGTTGTCGGAAGATGAAATGGTTGAGAAGTGACGAGATATTTGCACCAGTCTTGGCAATATGGTGGGGTTGTTTTTGTTCGCCAGTTTGGCGTGCGCGGCAGTCACGCCTTTATGTGATAGTGATAAAGGTAGGTACAGGGGCAGTTGTCGATTTAATTGGTAAGTCCAATTATTGAATTGTCTGAATGGTCTGGCTCGAAGACTTGTACTTGTACTGCTCTGAATACCTATGTTGAGGTGAAAAGACCAAATTGAATTTGGAATACCGTTAAACTTGGATTTGAACATTCCAATTCGTGTGAATATCGAGACGGGTCTTTATAACTTCGACTTCTATAGAGATTAATATTGTGATTTTCAACCAATGTTGTTTCCCGGTGACCGCGGCTTGTACAGATGTACAGATAGACCGCTACCCATGTTTACCGAAGTTTGGACCCTGCGGCTATATTATGTGGAACTGGAGTTGACCCAAAAGCAGCAGGATATTATAATAATAATAATAATAACTGATTTAGTTCTCCTCAAGTATGTATAAGTATATCGATTGAGGCTTCAAGGAAATGATACTCTATTTACTATGCGAATATAGCTCTTTCTTCGTCTTGTCTAGAATTCTGAACATTGGAGTGAGTTCACAACTTACCATCATCGCCTCACCCCGAGGATCCAAAACATCTTTGGTCCAGAGTGAAGAAAGCTTTACACCACTTTATATCTTTCATATTCATATGTTGCCTATCTCTATCTCTCTTTTTGAACATTTTTGGGAAACTCTGTACTCGAGTACACCATTTTCATGTTATTATACCGGTACAGCATCCCGATATCAAACGAAGGAAGGTAGTACATTATCAATGTCAACTCCGAACATTACGACCGCAATTAACCAGATGATAAGTTCAATAATAAAAAAGTAACTATGAAGCTGGATCAGATCCAAGAGATGCCGAATGAGCTATAGGAGTAAATTCCTATTCATACTGTACTGTCGTTGTTCTTTTTCATATGAGTACAATATTATACTCGTACAGACAACCAACCACCAACTGGATGATCTCAGATGGTGATAATAATTAAATTCTTTCAATGATACTCGAGTACTTCATATATTTTATAAACTTCACACGAAATACAGTATAGAATGTAGGTTAGGTACTTGTGACCCTTCCCAGCCACTCACTGCCTTTTTGAGGTTGTATTATTGCACAACCACGACATAATACTTCATAATACCCTGAACAACCAAAGCTTGGATAGACAGCGCCACCGTGCATTTTCACCCCCGTCAACCCCCTTCAAATCCATCCAACAAAGGACAAGATATACTTTCCACCATATCACTGATGCATTAACATCCTCGTACCTGCTCGGAATTCTTATTGACAAATCAATCACAAGGTCAGAAGGCCGAACGTGGAAGCTTCGATAAGAGCTATGCAGCAATATAAAGGGAGCTCAAGCTTCCTAAACTCCAAATATTTGGAAAGTTCCAGATCTAGATATAGTGAGACTTGGCGAAAGATTGCACTCTTTTTGGTTATTTGCGCTTTTTTATACGCTTCATACATTATGTTATTGGATCAAATACTTTTACTAGCTCTCACGGGTGTCACATCATCAGCTCTGCTTCCTAAAAAACAGCCATGTTCAACTTCTACCACCAATGTTCCACAGTACTTTCAAACAACCCCAGAACTTTGGGCTGGACCAACGGCTACTGGTCGAGCTCCTTTCCTGGTAAGAAGTCAAACATGAATGGTCGTTATCCCACACATTCTGGGCCATCGATATTAATTTGCTACTTAATTTAGGCCCAGACAAATCCAGTCTCGTTTGCACCAACTGTGACTTTCGTCCCAAATAGTCCTCTTGAGACTGCTCAGCCCATTATAGGCCAAGGTCAGAATGAGAGTATATTTCAACTCATGGGACATCTTTCTCCTTACCTGCCCAATCCATCCGGCTTTGGTGTTGCGGAGTATCCATTACCACCTGGAGCTAAGATTGCTCAACTTCAGGTAAGAGTCAGACTTTCTGCAAAAAGCCATGCAATTCTCAATTCGATAACAATTTTTTTGAATGCCCAATGATTTCCCAGTGGAACGGAGACAATTGCACTGTAGATGAAACTGTCAATGTTAGCAGTCAGTGTGCTTGAATACTCTAGAGGTTTAAACCATTGTCCATGCACTTTCTGTACTATTATTCAGCCTCGGATAGACATTTGAAAGATACAAAATTACCATGTTTGCTGACATTCTACAGATGCTTTCACGTCATGGAGCACGTTACCCTACTTTAGGAAGCAATGTTGTAACTTTTGGTCAGAAAGTTGCAAACAACACGGAGAACCTCGGTGCCACCGAAGCTCTCTCGTTCTTAAACAATTGGAAGTACGAATTGGGTCATGAAATTCTTGTTCCTCGTGGAAGGCAAGAATTGTACGACAGTGGAATCTTACACTACTACCAATATGCCCAATTATACAATCCTTACAGCAAAATTATTGCCAGAACTACTACCCAAGACCGGATGCTCAAGGTTTGTAACTACTTCCTCTTTGTTTGAAATGAAGCTAAATCATCATAGAGCGCTGAATATTTCATGGCTGGTTTCTTTGGTCTTGAATGGACAAATAATGCCACTATTGAAGTCATCATCGAGTCAGCTGGCTACAATAACAGTCTAGCAGGCTATGATAACTGTCCCAATGCGAACAATTATAGAAGTGCTGGAGGAGCAAATGCTACAAATCAATGGGTTGCTACGTATCTACAGGACGCCACCGCTCGTTTCCGGTCAATGGTCTCACCGGAGTTCAATTGGACTATCGTAGACACTTACGCAGCTCAAACAATGTGTCCATACGAGACTGTAAGTACAAACTCTTTAGTTATTCCTCATAGCCACATTCTAACGTCATGTAGGTGGCGTATGGCTACAGCGCCTTCTGTGATCTGTTTACCTATCAAGAATGGGTCGACTTCGAATACTCAATCGACCTTTACTTTTCCGGCGGGAATTCCTTCTCCTCTCCTACTGGCCGCGCCATTGGAATCGGCTACGTCCAAGAAGTTGTCGCCCGTCTTCAAAACCATACCTTGGGCTATTCTGGGTCCCAAATCAACACTACTTTGGACAATAATACCGCCACCTTCCCTCTAAACCAATCCATCTACTTCGATTTCTCCCACGACACAAACATCATGTCTATCCTCACCGCTTTTGGGTTCAAACAATTCGCCTCCTTCTTACCAGATACCCATCATCCTGGTCCACATAATCTAACCGTCTCCCATATGGAGCCTTTTGGCGCGAGATTAGACATAGAGATTATCAAGACACCAAAACCATTGGTAGCGGATAGAACGTATGTAGACGGAAAGGAAACCACGTATATACATTTCATTCTTAATCAGAGGACAATACCATTGGGACTCAGTTTCCCGGAATGCGGAGCTGATAGATTGGATGGGTGGTGTGACTTGGAGACGTTTTTGGAGGTCCAGAGTAAATCGATGAAGGAGGCTCAGTATGAGTATGCTTGCTTTGGAGATTATCCTGCGGAGCCATATGGGAGTGTAACGAATGGTGCACCCAATTCCTAGCAGGATCTCGAGTTGATTACCAATGCTTGCTAGTTAAACGTATCAAAAGCACTATGGTAATGCCAAGGGAGTTGGCCTTTTTTGTAAATAGCTTCATTTATTCTTAACATGTATATACATCCCCAACCCAAACCCTGATAATCCATTCCCAGTTCTATTTCCACAAATACTAGTATTCAAAATAGCCATCAAGGATGAGTGAGTTTACGATCGTCGGGACTGTAATCCAAATTCAAACACTTTTATTTCGAAATAATAATAAAATAACTATTAATGTTGTTGGAAGTATGATTTAATAATCTCAGTGGATTTAGTATTCAAGTTCAGGCTATTCAAAACTGAAGATATGGAATTAAATCGCTTTTGGGTTTACGAGTGAGTAGTATATTGACACACACTAAACCCTTTCTTTCAAGGACTTTATGTTCACGTACTGTAACTTCAATGCTACACCTACGAGTAAAGCACTAGAGGTTCCATCAATGGGCCACCCCCCCCCCCCCACCCCCCTACCCCATTGAATAAATGATATAGTACTTCGCTTGACTCCCCTTTCACCTAACCTAACGTTATCCCCAGCACTAACCCCGTCCTCATCCTTCATCCCTCAGGGTCTAAGAAAAGAATCCGTCATACTCGAGTACCCTTAGCGGCCTAGCCCCTTATAAATACTATAATGTACATGAACTGTCGGATTCCTAGATTGATGATCAATTGAGAAAGGTTATAGAGTGGGGGAGGGGGCAGTAGCTCGGTGAATGACATAACCGCGTAGTTAACGGTTTGTTAACTCCCTATATAAAATTTTGCCACCTTTGTATATATTGGCATGGTTCAACATCAATCTAGGGAAGAAAATAACCTCTCGTGTTATTTCAGATTCACGTAATAAACCAACCAAGTAATCGTGACTCTAAGATACTCACCTATCCATACCAAAATGGCATTCGAAGGAGTTCCCGAAAAGATGCTCGCAGCGCAAGTCATTGAAGTAAGTTTCTCTCTCAACGAATTTCCGTTTCCAAAGATGTCACTCGGAAGGGAAGAACATCAATACATTTGTCACCAAGATACAAGAATCGAAACAGCAAGCTGACACACCATCCAGTTCAACAAACCCTATAAAATCCACCACATTCCCATTCCACGAGGCCCCCTCCACGAACACGACATGCTAGTCCGCGTAGCCACTGCCTCCCTCTGCCACACCGACACCATTGGTAGTCGCAGGGATAATGGGTACACCACTCCCCTGTACCGCCTCGCACGAAGGAGCCGGTACCATCGTCGCCGTAGGCTCCCGCGTATCGGGTTTTAAGCCCGGGGATCGCATTCTCTGTAGTTTAACCTGTCATCGGTGTGGCGTATGTACCAATTGTATTGGGCCCGAGCATGAACAGAAGTATTGTACTAATGCCGGGGGTCATTTGGAGGTAATGAGACATGGATCGTTTGCTGAGTATGAGGTTGTGGATGGGAGGGAGTGTAGTTTGTTGCCGCATAATGTGAGCTTTCAATCAGCGGCTCCGTTGGTTTGTGCTGGAATCACGATTTGTAAGTTCCCATCTATGCCCATGTTGGAAGATTGTGAGATACTAAAACCTATGAAATATCAGGGGGCGGCCTTGTAAGAGCCGGTTTGAAGTCAGGGGAATGGATTGCGATAGTTGGAGCTGGAGGAGGTCTTGGTCATTTGGGGGCACAGTTCGCTAAGGCGTTTGGCCTCAACGTCATTGCTATTGATGCTAGAGATGAGGGGTTACAGCTCGCCAAAGATTGTGGCGCTGACGTTTTGGTTGATGCACGTCAAAGTAAAGATAAGGTTGTCGAGGATGTCCAAAGGGTCACTGGTGACCAAGGTGCAGACTCGACTCTCAACGTTACTGATCATGAAAGCGCTGCAGCGACAGCAGTTGCGGTCACAAGGAGACGTAAGTCTATTTTCCGCATTCAAATCCGCCTGAGAACTGTGACATTGATGAGGATAAGCTGCTACTCCTTCATCTTTTCATTCTCCCTAGTAAAGTTGCTGACCCCATGTCTGTCAAAAAAATAGACGGAACAATGATTCAAATTGCTCAGCCCGAAAATGTCAGCGTTCCATTTGCTGAATTGATATTCCGGGATATCAGAATCCATGGAAATCTTGTGGGTGAGTTAAAAGATCCTTGGCCCCCGCAATCGTCATCTGACAAGGAATGTAGGATCTCGAGGCGAAGCACAAAAGATGCTAGAATTAGTATCGAAGCACAACATCAAAGTTCAAACAAACCCCTTCAAGGGCCTAAGGGAAATTCCCAAGGCTGTGGAGCTGGCCCACTCGGGCAAAATGAAGGGCAAACCTGTCATCGTCATTGATGAGAAGGCCATTCAAAATGAGAACCAGTCAGGACTGCAGATGATTTGAAAATCGTTGTGAAAGAGCATCCCACCACCACCATCTCTCGCCCCAGCGAAGAAGTATGACAACAGGGAACTGTGCATTGCCTGAAAGTTTGAGACACTCATGATTGTACAATAAAATATATTTCTTGTAGCGCCATAACAGAGGTGCGATATAACAATCTGAAGAATATAAATAGTACATGATGCCACTCATACAGTATCCCCTTCTACTCGGGGAAGAACGTCTTCTAAACATGATACGCCAAGTGGTATCTGGTATAAAACACTATTGCAACATTTCTCAAAATACAGTAACAAATATCTGCTGGTAGAAAATTAAATCTGATGGTACCTGACCATGAGATGATATGCACAAAAAGCAGGAAGATGACAAAAAAAAAGAAAAGATTAGACCCTCCACTGCCATCCATAAGCGACTCTTGACCATCACTTCATTGCGCGTTTTCCTCGTCGATCACTAGAACTAGCAGACCTCCCGGACCGCTTTCCTAACGTTGAACGAGTTGACGAGCCTAGTCTAGCACGAGACGAAGAGCTAGGTCCTCCAAGAGATGACGGACCGGCAATGGCATAGGAGGAAGAGCTCGATCCAACACTGTAGGAAGTATTGAGATCGGCACCGAAGGCGCTTGTAGCTGGCATGGATGACGAAATAGACACTACAGGAAGCCCATAATTCGCCCTGAGTTTTGAAACGAGTTGTCCTAATCTGTTCACGAATAGTCGTCTTGGAGAAACAAATGCGATACTGCTGAGGTCGGCACGAAGACGATCCAAGCGATCGACAAAATCACTGGCGGCAACAACATTCCCAGGCAAAGTCTCTAGGGCATCAATAATGAAGTCGCTCCGACCTGGGATATCCTCAGATTGTGGACCAAGTAAATTTAAGTAAAGATTGCGATTGGTCAATTGCTCTCCGTGGGGTCTGTTGCGTCGGAAAGAATGATTTGGGTATGCATCGACATTACGCATTCGAACAGCCTCCAACATTCGAACTAAGATTGCTGCAGCTTGTAACTGGTTATGTCTGCTCATACCGACTCGCCATTTCAGGTTGTCCCTCATTGAATCACTAACGTGAATGAGAGTCTGGGCACACCATGGTACGTTGTGCTCAAAAACAGCATTGTCGGATGGGGCCATAGCATTCCAATTAGATAGGTTACCAGAATCTGCATATTCATCCAGTTGTTGAAGTGATTCTTGGAACTTGTCCTCCATCTTGTGTAGGTATAGCATATCGCGGCTTTCTCTGGGGAAATGTTGTTCGAATCGATGAAAGATGACATCGTCTTGAGTCAGTAACTTGGCTAAAGTTGCCTCAAGGTTGCACGGAACAAGAACGTCGTCGTTATGTACAGCAAAGTCAAAGATATCTCGATACTCGTCCGCCACGGCGTGCGGGTGGAAGTATGATAACATATCCCTGACGTCACCTTCTCTTCTGCGGGATGTTGAACTTGTCCTTAGTCTCTCATTTCTGAGCGTCCATTGTGGTGCGGGAAAAAGGTAGGGTTCGTCCGAGAAATCCCATTCAAGTTCGTCGCATACATTGGACATACCCCGTTCGTCAAGACGTTCATAACAATCATCTCCCGCCGATATGCCCATTGCAGACTTGAGCCTGATAATGTGGAAGCAAGGCTCTATTGCGCACGAGCACTTCTCCTCTCCACCTCGCCTCAGCGAGCTAATCCGAATGCTGACGGGTTTGACCTCTGCGACGCCAACCTGGAAAGCAAAGTATGGAGTCAATTGTCCCTGGGATTGCCTCCTTGGTCGCACTAATCTGCAATGATCGACGGCAAGCACAGTGTGTAGTGACTCGTTGCTCTCGTCCTCTTCCGATTCTTCATCTGATAAGAATACGTCGAATTCTTGAGATCCTCTCTCTATGCCCTCCATGTCTTGTTCTTCGTCTTCATTGTCGTTATCGGAGTCTATCGAATGGTTGCTATCATTGTCTGAATCGCTATCACCAGCGGGAGCTTTGCCTCTCAGGAATTGATGTGAGTAGACTTGGCCACTACGCGTTGAATGCATGGTCTTGCTGATGTAAAGGTCGCTGAAACTTGGGAGCGGAGACGACATGAAGGTAAAACCGCACAGAAGGTGGATGTATGAATGCCATAATGATGCTGAATACTGTGAGTTATATATCATAACTCACACAGTTATCTCGTGGACTTGTGATTCCCCCTTCCTTTTGCCTGCAATACTCTTCGTCGGTTTGTTAGTATGCAGAGGATTAGAAGTAATGGATGCTCAGCCTTTGGAATAGTAACGGTATCTGGTATCATTAGTAGGTCGCAAATGAGGTCGCATGGGCCTTTTTGACGGCCGGCTGGGTGGAGGACAAGGCATTCATATGTTCAAGATGTACGATATAGACTTGTTGGCACTTTACCACTTTACCAGTATAGTTATAGCTTGAAATGCACCTAGTAAAATCGAGTAGATGTCGGAAGTCAAGCCACAATAAGTCGCTTACGGCGTTAAACTTTGGTTGGGTGGATAAATGGGTAGGTACGGAATGGGAAAGATGGGAAAGGCAAAAGAAGTAAAAAAAAAAAGCACAGAGTTATTATTATTGGTGTGGTTAGAACAGCCAGCCGAAAGAGTAACCTTACGATAAGCGACCAATACCGTTCGTTGTAGGCTGTCACCAATAATATTGTTATTTTCATACAAGATCTGAAGCGTCTACTCGGTGGTGTGGCTCACTCCTACAATCCTCAATTCATGCAATTACCCTTTCATCATCAATTCATCAGCATTTGCCATCATTATGCCAATTACAAAATCCAATATTACAATATGGATGGAAATTGAGTAAGTGGAAATAGCTCAACATTTCATTACGGATCGCCCCAGGGCCTACTATACTGTAGGAGGGGGGATTGAGGATGTATTACGGGATTGTGATGGACACTGGGCACTCATCATTCCTCTCTCATCAATGGTCAACATTACGAAGAAAGAAATGAATAGAATAATGACACTTAAGAGGCTTTCGGACTTGGTGCATTGCAGTTGCAGTTGCAGTTGCAGTTGCACTTGCAGTAGTCAGTGTACTCATACAGTACTAGGCCACTATCTTCAGTAGTCCCGTATCATCTCCCAATCGAAGTTAAGATGTTTCAACCTAAAATAGCAAAAGCCTTCATGCATCTTCGGGTACTTCTCCGCATCATTTCGTTGTCAAGTGACAGAATGAAGGTGGGAGGGATATTACCAGATTCGTGGCGCAGCGCGGCAAGTGGGCCATTTCTCACCCACATCTCTGCACGAGAAGCACATTCAAAACAAGCATATCAAGCCTCAATCCATCGAGATTCTAAGAATTTCTAGAACTTGTTCGGTAATGTTACTGATGTAACCTAACCTATAAGATTTTGAACGTTACCAACCTGCCGGTACCAAATCATTCAGCTTTGTGGTATTTCTACCAATCACACAATCGGCTTGAGGTCGGCATTTGAGGCATCGATGGCTATATCAATGTTTGCAGATTGGATTGGGTATCAACGTGTGGCCTCATTATCATTGCGAGAACTTAATCCACTCATACCGGAGTAGAGTTGCTTCTCGGTGTGATAGATTCAAAGCAGATTGTTTCATGTTTTCATCATCATATCCTCATTCATATCTCAGCTCTAGTCAATAGTGCTTGAAGAAATCCTCAAAAGATGCCTCCTGCATGATAACTGTGGCAAAATACAAGCCATCCCTTCTTTCACTATGCCAGATCAAGTACGACTCTTCCTTGCATCTTACCTTCCGACATCTCCTTGAATACCTCCGTCAAGTTCTCCATCTTCTCCATTCGAATACGAGTCTTAATAATACCTCTGGCGGCCATCTCAAGTACCTCCAATGCTTCACGTTGGTTGCCTACTGACGAACCCTTGATCTTCCATTCTTGGGCGACCTATTGTCATTAGCTCATATTGCTGAGGCGATAGAGAAGTTACTCACCATAGCTGCAGGGAACGAGGTGGCAATAGGTTGGGAGTCGCCTTCCGGCATTCCAACGCAGACCAACGTTCCTCCAAATCTCAAGAAACTAAGCGCTTGAGCATAAGCGCGATTAGAAGCAGTGCATACGATGACAGCAGATGCTCCAAGTCCACCTGTGACTCTCTTGACTTCTTCTGCAATTGCCTTATCGTCGAACTTGGTGAGATCAATGAAGACTTCTGCCCCGCATTCTTTTACCAATTCTTCCTTGCTTCCATGATCAATTCCAATAATTCTCATTGCCATACCACGACTTCCGATTTGACAAGCTAAGTGGCCCTATGTATGGTCAGTATGCGACCAGATTTGAGGTTCTGGAGTGAAAATTACAAGACCACCTCCCGCACCGGCTATTGATGTCAGTTTGATGACCATAAAATTCGGAGATGACCGTACGTACCGATAACAACCCATTGTCCACTTTCTGCATCACTTTTTCTCAAGGCTGAATATCTAAATTCAAAAGTTCTGTGAGCTTCGCCTACTTGAGGGGGTGGCCGGCCCCTAAGGAGGCCTGGCCGCCTAAGCGACCAAATTGTGGCTGTGAAAACTCACGTCGTGACACCAGCACATAGTAGAGGAGCAGCGTCCTTAGAATCTAGAGCATCTGGAATCGGCGTTACATAGTTCGCTGGCGCGAGCGCGTATTGCTGGAAGGTTCCCGGATCTGTTTTCTTGAATTAGAGATGCCCGCCCGCCCAGAAAGCCTTGATTCACGAACAATAATAGCCAGAGATTTTTTGATTCTACGAGACGAAGAATTCAGTATTGGATCATCAGGCGAAACCGGATTGGGTCAACTTACGAAGCAAACACCATCTTTACCCGCAAGACAAGGAAGACAAGATCCACAAGCATATGCGATCCACTTTGGAGATCATTAATTCAACATGGGCCCCAAGACTTTTAAGGGGAACTCACCTTGATTCCAACACGATCACCCAGCTTCACGCGACCATTCTCCGAACCTGGGCCTAATTTTTGGACGATTCCAACCCCTTCATGACCGCCCACTTGCCCAGCTTGCGTCGGATAAGGAACTTTCATGGCATTAGAACATCAATTCAGAGGTGACTGAGGTCGCAAGCTTACGGCCACGCCAACTGTTTTCACAGATTCCCATATCACTGTGGCAGACACCACTATGGGTGCTAGATACGACAATATGATCAGCGAAATCACATTGATAAAAGGGGTGCAGAATGCGGGCTTACAGTCGAACAAGCACATCGCCAGGTCCAGGTTCAGGTGTATCTAATTGCTCGATCTTTGTGGAAATGGTTCCGGGCTTGTCGTAAACGATGGCTTTATATTTCTTGGGGATATCAAAGAATTGAGCTGTTGCTGCAGCCATTTTTGCGATTTATTCTTGGCGAGGCCGAACACGTTCTCAATCTTATTGAAAGGTAATCCGGGTAGAGATTCTAAGAAGAATAGTGTTTGTATGAGTAGATATACTGATTTGGTGAAATGGTAATGTTGATGTCAATTGTAGAGAAACTAATCACTTTAAGTAAAGGTTGGAAGAGCGGGGTTACACAATCTGTTACCACACCTTTGGTTTACATTCATTTTCACTACGAGGGGTTTTGTAACCGCCTACCTGTAACACCGAGGCTTCTGCTTTGTACAATATACGTGACTGAATATGATAAAGACTATTTGTACGACTGTCAATGGTACCAATACACATTGGGTTATTCTTTCTTTCTAAGTGGGGTGATTCTTGGTAAATGGCGGGGCTAATAGCAACTCGGGGTAGAGCCAACTCAAAGCTCTGGAACTTCCACCAAAGAGCGAATGCGATATTAATTGATGATATAATTTGTAATTGGTTTATATAATATGCCGTATTTCCATATTTAATGTATTTGGTGTATATATTATAACATCCTCGAGTAGATATATACATGGAAAGTCATGTATGATCATTTGGTTGTGGCAGTTTGTACCTACCTTCCTATACTCGAGATAGATGACTTGAAGAGATTGATTGCTTAAGATTGATTAAATCCGAGAATGACATTTGAATAGTCTCTCAAGCTTTTGTATCTTATATTAGCAATCGGATAGTCTTCTAGGTTTGTTACTCTTCAATACTACTCAGTATATCTGATTTCAAATCCAATACTAATAATCGAATAATCTATTAAGCTATCTATATAGCTGATTTTAAATCCAATACTATCTAGATATTATTTGAATAGTCTTTCAAGCTTGTGTATCTATTGCCACTTTTCAATGCTACCGGTACTTAGTAGTATCTGGTTCCAAGACCAATAATAGAATATAACATCAATTGTAGCTCAAAATGTGTACTAGAGTACTCGAGTAGTAAAAGTAGGTACATACCCTGCTGTCTGTGCTTTCAGAATGCCAAGGTTATCGCGCCAAGCATTTTATATGTTAACCAAGACAAGATCTATCAATTTCACACTCGAGTATACTCGAGTAATATATACAATTTAAATGCATTTTCGCATCCATTTCCATACAAACGAGAAATCTCATTTTGAAATCATCGTGTTGTATACGTATAGATTTTGAACTTTTAATACCTATGTTCTTGTAGTGGTGTTTAACCTTCCTTCCTATGACGTAGGTACCGTGTACTTACATAGTAGGTATCTAGCTAAACAACATCAACATCAACATCAACTTCCAAATTTCTACCACTTTAGTACCAAATACCTACCTACGTCAGGTTAGTAAATATGCTGTTGTTCGTCAGGACTCCGCAAATTTTACCCTAGGAAACTTGTATATGATATGTATAGAGTATAAGAGTAAGTGCAGGAAAGTACATTGAATTTCATTTCCTCATCTTTTCATTCTCACTTTGTCCAATATCATTGCTGTATAATAAGTACCATTTTCCGTTCCTCGATTCCTCAATTTCAACTAAAACAATCGCTACCTTTAAAATGTCCTCAAGTATGCAAAAGCAACATCCCCAATCCGTTCACGGAGAAAAGGACGATAGAACATACGGTGCTTTCCAAAATGCCATCTACAGAGGTTCGATACCCTATTCTATGCAATCCCCCTATATCAAAGAAGTCCAAGTATCTAACACAAACCCCCTCAGATGGCATGTTCGCCAATACCGTGCCAACCGTGACTACCGACCCCAACAAACTAGAAGAGCAGGCACGTTCTAAGCTCTCATCCACATCATACAACTATGTAGCAGGAGGCGCCGGCGAAAGATCCACCATGGATGCCAACAGACTCGCATTTAGACAATGGAAGATGGTTCCGCGAATGTTGCGTCCCACCACCAAAAGGGATCTCCGTGTCAATATCTTTGGTCAGGAATATGACAGTCCCATCCTGATGGCTCCAGTTGGCGTTCAAAAGATCTTCCATGACGACAAGGAAACTGGACTTTCAGAAGTATGTGCCGAGATTGGTGTACCATATATTCTGAGCACCGCTTCTTCATCATCAAGTAAGCACATAACCCCTCATCTCACACCCCAATCATGAACAACAACCTCTAACCGCTTCCCTCTCCCAGTCGAAGAAGTAGCCGAATCCAACGGCCCCAACGGCCATCGCTGGTACCAACTCTACTGGCCCCAAGACGACGAGATTACCGTGTCCCTCCTGCAGCGCGCCAAAGCCTCGGGCTACAAAGTGCTCGTCGTCACCATCGACACGTGGGCATTATCCTGGAGACCCGCCGATCTAGACGGAGGATACGTGCCCTTCATGAAAGGAGTCGGCGACAAAACCGGCTTTACGGACCCCGTTTTCCGGCGCAAATTTCACGAAAAATTCAATGCTGCTCCTGAAGAAAAAGTCTTTGAGGCGTCGCAAGAATGGGTTGGTGATATATTTTCCGGCGCTGCGCATACCTGGGATCAAATCAAACTTTTGAAGGATAATTGGGATGGACCTATTGTTCTCAAGGGGATCCAACATCCTGATGATGCATTGGAAGCTGTGAAGGCTGGTGTTGATGGTATCATCGTTAGTAACCACGGTGGTCGCCAACTCGATGGTGCAGTCGGCTCGCTAGAAATGTTACCAGAGATTGTCGAGGCTGTGGGTGATAAATTGACGATTCTATTTGATAGTGGTATTCGCACTGGTGTGGATGTTATCAAAGCACTCAGTTTGGGTGCCAAGGCTGTCTTGGTGGGAAGACCGGCTATCTATGGATTGGCAGTGGGGGGAAAGCAAGGAGCTAAACAGGTCTTGCAAGGGATTTTGACGGATGTGGATCAGAGTATGGGATTGGCGGGTATCCAGGATATCAAGGGATGTAATCGTTCGATGATTCGAAGGGTACAGTACGGTGGAGATGTTAAAGCTAATAATTGATTATTGGATGGTGTAGAAAGGGATAGATGAAACTAGATGACTAGAGTCAACAAAGGATAGACGATAGACGATAGCTTGTAAACAATAGAAATTAAATCAACCTCGATCAGTTCATCTCTCGCTTCCCTCTTCATCGATCACAATACAAACCAAACCACAAAAAGCACTCCCCAAATCAACCAACCGCCACTCATCCCTCCCTCCAAACCCAATCTCCCTCCCCTCGCACCCGGTAAAGCACCACCAGTGAAACTCTCATTCATCCCCCCAGTCGGCACACTAGCAATAAACCCCTCAGTAATAGATTGTGACTGCACAGCTGTTGAAGTTGAGAAATCCTTATTTGCATTTCCATTAGCACCACTATCCACATCCACATCCATAGCAGCCATACTACTCTGCACTCCCGCCCCCAACACCCCTCCAGATAAAGAAGAAGAAGAGACCACCAGCGTTGAAATCGCAACTGCCCCAAGACCAGCCAGGCCCTGACCTTCCTCATCCATCGCCACCACAAAGGGTATTCCCGACGCTACTGCAGTTTCTAGACCTGCAACCATGGCTGTGGGTTCATAGTCAGAGACTGCAAGGGCATCTGAGTTTTCGTCGGTAGGGGCGTGAGTGTCTTCTGATGCTGAGTCCGAGTCAGAATCATCACTGGCATTGGCAATATCATTGGCATCGGAGTCGGAGTTGGAATCGGTGGCAGAGGGTTGGGGACCCGAGTTCGCTGCATTGATTTGCATGGATAGGGGTGCGCCGCTGTCAGAATCATTGTCAGAAGCAGAATCATCCGAGTCAGAATCAGTGTCAGGCGATATATCGTCCGAGTTTATGTCGGTAGCTGATTGTGATTCGAAGTTCGATTCGTATTGTGATTGAATTGGGAGGCCGAAGAGTATGAGGATGCGGATGTTAGGAGGGAGCTTGAGTCTTCGGTATCGGTATCAGTATCGAGTGTAGGATTATTCGGTGCGGAGATGCCGAGACGAAACATGCATGTTTGGGGACTTTCGCTCTGATGAAGGGTAATGTGTTAGTGTTAGGCTTATATTTATGGTGGGTTATTTTTGAGGTTGGAGTTTGGGGAATATTGGTCAACGTTTGGAATATAACGTACCCCGTGACAACAATATCCCTCGATGGGAGCGCATACATCTCCTATGCCACAATATCCATAATCTTGCATACAACATGACTGTTCATGTCATGAAATCTATTAGTATATATATACTCGTGTACGAGTACTTGATCACATGTTTCTCCTTCATTCTCTTTATATGCCCACAGAGCGTTTCAATGTCCAAAACTACTATGAACAATTGGACAGTCTAGGAGAGAGGGAATGATTATTCCCCTTCAGAATGGTTCGATATCCAAAACTAATATGAACAATCGAAAAGCCACTCAGAAGGAGTTAATCGGAAATAAAAATAAAATCAAAACAGGGAAAGACCAAGACCACCGCCTGACACAACATGTATACAAACGAAAAGAAAACTAACCTCCCCAATTGTAGGATCATAACAATATCTACTATCGGTCCCACCACACGGAATTGAACCTCCACCATACGTCTGTTCACAAGTAAGAAACCCCCTCTTATTAGGATGTAGACTTTTAGTATGATGCAAAGCGTGGATTTCTGTAGAGTGGGTTGTGAAATGTGTTTTTGCTACTACGCTTGCGAAGTGTGTTGTAGAGAGGAGGAGAAGGAGCGCCGGGAAGATGGTGGGGGTTGCAATTGGTGACTTCATTTGAATGTAGGTATTTGGTCGGCGGGTTGTGGAGATGTAGATGGAAATGGAGGCGAATGAGTGTTTGGAGAAACCAACGATAGACGTGTATTCAGTGTCTGACTTCAGCTCGAGCCTTTGAATATTGTCGTCTAAGAACGAAGATGATTCAAGTGGTGGGATGGAAATAGTGATTTGGCGATTATAGTTTGATATTTGAGTGATAAAATTTGATGAATGATGTGATTGAAATGAGTAAAATAAAGATTGTTATCTGATATCGAAATGAATGATATAATAAAAGGCAATAACTCAAGAATAATTGTCTGATATTGAAGGGATGAAGTCTGATGAAAAACGATTGAAAGCAATTATTCCAACATTATCATCTAAGATCGAAGATGTGAAATAGTGAACGATGTGATCGGAGCCAATACCGAACGACTATCCTCACTTTTTGAAGGGATGTGGATAGACATGATTGATATAAAGAAGGGAAAGTGTTTACCAAGACGGGAGCTGGATTGTCACGTTTGAATGCATAATTCGAGGGAGGTATGCAATATCATGGATTCTCGCTGTTGAGTATAGAACTATCGAAAAGTCTCCCTTGATAACACTGGTTATGGTCTAATTGATACCTGCTCAGACATCGCTAGCTCCGAGTGTGCGGTTGAAAAGACGCGCAAAGGGATACAATCGAAAATTGCCCCTCACCTGAACGACAAGACAAGGCTAGGCTTGTACTTATACCTAAAGATGTCAGTGTCGAATAATTACTGCCTCGGCGTATGATGGGTGGTGTCAAACTTACACGTTGTCATCTCTATTTATTTTTTTCAGAATGTATTTCAATCAAATTACGTCGACATGCTGTGACTTGCGATTCCTTCATGTCCTGGCGATCAATGAACCATCGAGGGAATGACGCCCCTCTATCTTTCTCAATTTCTTCAGCAGCATCAAGGGCATCGCGAATGGCAAACTCAGCACCGGTACTCCCGATTATGGGCATATTGTATGAAGCATCGCCTAATTTGATTACCTTCTCATCGCTGCTTCTCCATAGGTTTATTAGCTCTGGCAGAGCTGTCAATTTCGTCCTCATCAGCCAATGCACAATCTTGTTTCCTTTTAAATTTTCCGGATTGAAGATCTCATCATAAGGTTCAGGTAGCTCATGATCTAGCCTGAAAAGTTCGATTTCGTTGAGAAACTTCGCGATTAAGGAGGGGGATGATGCTTCATCAACAGATCGTGTCGGTAGCCAGAGTGTATCGAGCGATTCGGCCATATCTCCCCAACAGGGCCTCGAATAGATGCAAGTCAAACTCACATCGCCATTATCCGGACTAAAGTTGTTAATTATAAGCTGCAAGACAATATTATCGAATCTCGCTTGAATCTGCGCTTCGTTCCCGTGGAACCAACCTCGAAACTTCTGATTCCACAAAGACTTCGACACTTCTGACGTGCCGCGGAATACTACAATCGATTCGGTGGATCTATAACGATCTGCGCATATTATGGGCGAATGAACACCCATGCAATCGAATGTAAGATGCCCTTTAATGTCTTTAACATGCGGGGGGAATACCAGAGGCGGTGATCCCATCGTTCCAGCCTTAATCTCACAATTCCATTCTATCTCCTGCTCAAAATCTTGCCTCAACAGGTATTCTAGTCTCCCCCGGTGAACTCTCGCTTCGAAATTGTCTAGATCATCAGGGGGGAAAGGTGTGGTACTGGGTACCATAAGGAATTTTCGAAAATCATCTCGGGTTATGCTCAATAGAATCCTTAGATCTTTGATAGTACTCGCTTTCAGCAAGAGACTATAGTTATGCCGATTACTAAGAGGTTTTTGCGGTCGACAATCTTTGGTATAAATTTTGAAAGGTATTTCCTTTATGCAAAGACTCAATGCGAGCGTTAGAGCTGATAGTCCGCTTCCGAGTATTTTGATAGGTGACATTGGCGAATCGAAAGGAGCGTGATCAGATGTAGGTGGTAGGCGTTTGAAGGAGTGACCGGCTGCCATACATTTAGTATAATTTAAACCCATTCGTTGATATATAAAATTACGCTGGGCAGTATCGTGCGCCACGGCAGTAGTTTTTATGACCGGTTTGCAACCTCAATTTCTGGTTTTCAGTCAACCTTCCTACGTTCCCCCGCCAAACGATCGTCGTTGCCCACCAAAGACGAGAGATATCTGATGAACGTTTAGTTTTATGTATGTTGCGTGGTATAAAATACTACTTTAATGGATGATGAATGATGGATGAGAGAAGATGGAAGAAGTGATGAGATTGTGACAACTGACATTAACGTGAGAAGAAAGAATTGAGCCAATCTTTGCACCTTCCTCGCTGTAGTTAGTTTTGAACGAGAAAGAACAACCCACAGGCACGCACGCAATTAAGTCGCGAAATTTGGCATCAATATTGAAATTGGGAAGAAGGTCCCATATATTGGGCTATTATATATCTCAAGGCCAAACTTTGAGCGGTGCCGGGCTTCCAATGGCCCGGACTACACTCCGATTTCGATGGCAACAAAGCTGTAAATCCTCGAGTGTAATACCATGTTCAGAGTTGATTGATTGTTTACATGAGTATAAATATTTCAAACGAATTCAATGGTCGTTGTGGATTCGACATGCCAAACGAATGTGAGACTCAAGAAACCCCTGTTGTCTGATTTCAGTCTAGCAACTCTGGACAGTAACAATGTCTTTGTAAAGGCAGCGCATATCATCGACTTCATTCTCGAGGATTATCTCCAGAGGCAATAATAAACTCGAGACAAAAGACGCCATTTCATAACTTTAAGGAAACAGAGACCTTCCACAAGTCCTAGATACCGTGACAATAACACGATAACGTTGAACCGGATGAAATTTAAATCAATGACTACGCACCATAGAATGCGAGACAGAGTCATTGCAGCCAACATATTTTGACTTCTAACCTGGATAGACATCGATTTTCTGATTGCACAACTTTGCGTTGTAGAAGAAAGGGATGATGAAGATACAAGACATGAAGAAAGAAAGGAAGGTAGGAAGGAAGGAAGGAAGAAAGGAAGGAAGCAAGGGAGGAAGCAAGGGAGTTGTAAATAATGCCATCCACTGACGAGCGCCTTCTTGATTTGAAATGCTACACCACCATCTACACCACCATTACCATCACATCACCACTGTACAGAAACAGGGCTGAATTGCAACAAAGTGTACTATTCGAGTAATATTCTGCAAAAGGCTACTTTGACAGCCTGGTATCATACGACAAGTGAACCTAAACCTTACAATGCATATGTTTCCCATATTTCTTCAATCTCCAACATGGATAGACTGTGGAGATTCCCATACAAAATCCAATTACTCCTAAGTCCACGCCATGTCAATGGTTTTACGCCAACATCCAGCTACCAAAAGTAATCAATATGAACAAAAGAATAATTTGCGTGGAAGAGGAGTTTGTACTCGACTCTTTCACCACACTACACCTCTCCAATCAAAGTTTCCATCAACATTGATGAATCCCCCTTGGTCAATCGCCCTTTCCCATCCCATCATCACGGCAAGAACCCTACAGCCCGTGGCACTAACCGTGCAAATAATCTTGTCACTTGCTTTACCCAACACCGCCAAATCCATCAAATAAGCTCTTCCCACTAATTCCCTCAATCTTAAAGCTTCTGCAGTCGGAGGTAACGTTGTGTCTGGAGTTTCAACTGCAGTTTTTGGAGTACCAGTAGGCTTACCCAAACTCCAGAACATGCCAGCAAAAAATCCACCTTCCCATCCCACTGTATCATCGACGAACTTCCTTGGGCCTGGATCGTTCGGCTTGGGCGCAGCTGCATCAAGGGCATTTTTGGAGGCTAGTCGAATATGCTCTTGTGCTCTAGACACGTCCTTGAATTCCTCTGAATCATAAACATCCGGGTCATCAGAGGCAATAACCAATGCACTAGCCATCTGAGCCAAAACGTCGAGTCCCCCATTCGGAAGCGAGTGGTTGTATTTCTCGTCGAGCAGCATGTGTGCTTTGTCGTTGTACACTGTCAATGGGATATAGCTGTCCCTGTACTGGAATTCGTATGGTCTTCTGTCCCCGTGACGAACATGTATACCAATTACAATTCCGCTTTCTTGGTCCGCTGGGTCGAGTGTAGTCTTCACCGTGAATTCCGCAGCCCTCCTGTCGACATATTCGTTGTCTCCGTCGGATAGATGGAAAAGCGCTTTGTATCCGAGTCCGGCCATTTCGAAAATTGGCTTTTGTCGATAAACTTCCATCTTTCTCGCATCCTCAAAATAATCGTTGAAAGATCCTCCGAAGGTATGAGTGCTAGTCGTGGCAGAAACAACTAAATGGCGAGCATGATGTGGGCATGGAAGCATTTCGTGCCGTGGTGGGGGTCTGCAATTGGGTGTTGGTGGAGGCTTGAAGAAGGTGGTATATTTGCCATATGCCCTTGATATTATTAGTAAACAAAAACCAGATAACTTTCTCTACGCTTACCATCTTGAGTCATCTACGAAGAAATGTCTTCCTTCCTTATGAGCCAATCCAAACGCAGTCCATAACATCATCAAGGTTCTTCCAAGTCCCGCATCCGACGTTTCCAGCACAAAAGTCATAGTCTTGTCACAGATATCTGAATCAATCAAGCCATCCTTGTTTTCGCCCACTAACGAGCCATCTTTTTCCTCCAATACACCATTCTTTGCCTTAATTCCAGGTAAAAGTCCATGTGCCTCTGCCTCAGCAACGTCCATGAAGTTTTGGTCCACATGGTAGTAATCGTAATGCGCAGAATGCTCTCGATGCACGTGGCTATGAAGATCTGAAACTGTGGCAGCAACTTCCATATTTTGCGAGCAAATATCGGTATATTGTTGGGGACTGAGAGGAAATTCGTGATTGAGGGGTATGGAAACCGTCCATTTCGACCGTCCGCGTTTGTCTGTTATAATAACTGGCGTTGGAAAGTCCGGCAACTCTGATTCTCCCACCATCTCATAAATATTCCCTGAATCTGTTGCCCATCCCACTGCCGAAATTGGCGTTCCCAGCCATGATGAAGTGCAACCAAAATAAAGTATCACTGCTATGCCACAAAACCATAACAGCCCTCTGAACCATTTCCGTGGAGCCCGCGATGGCGCTGGTTTACCGTGTCTGGGAATCAGAGCAGGAAGACTAGGTGAAGGTGGTGGTGATTTGATGAGATGGTTGAAGCTAAATCGAGAAGAGGTGGATGACAACGGCCCTCGGTCGTTTGAATCATATCCCGATTTACGCAAACTGAGTTGAGGAGACTTTCGTGATGAGAGAAGCATATCTGCGTGTGTATATTTATTTCTCATATCAAGAGGAGGAGGGACCATGAGGTAAAATGACTGGCACAGCCAGGAAGAAATGAATACAAATGCAGATGCAAGATTTGCTTTAAGAAGGAGCGTGATAGCACTGTGAGGGAAGCTCTCAAATGTGCCCGCACTTGAAAAGTAAAGATTGAGTAGATGACATGAAGAAATTCACCAGGATTTCCGACGTCCGAGGTAAGCAAATGAAGTGACTAATAAGGAGACAAGTGAAGGGGTGAAGGGTCTTCTAAGGGTAAACCCTTCAACGGATATGGACCGAAAGAAGAAAGTTTGTATTCCTGAATTGGAAGTTTTAATATATTTGAGAAATTGGGATATGTCAAAGATATAGTACTTCTTGAATGTATCAAGAAGTATGGGATGCTATTTCTTGGCAATAGTTAAAGGTGGAGTAGTAGATGCGGAAGCGCGTAAAGACGAAACGAAGATCAATGCCGGAATATGTAGAGCGTAGATCAAAAAGTTGGGATACAGGTATCTATCTATAAGCAGATATCTGGGTGCCAGTGGGTGGTGTGATATTCAGTTTCTTTCCGAATCATATGAGGTAATATACCAAAGTCAAAAGGCATGATCTACATGCCACATTTTACTCTAAGACAAGCCCCGGAGAAACGAACACCTATGAGACCAATATCAGATGAAAGAAGAGGGATTCGAGGCAAAGAATAGAGATTGGTTAACACAACATGAAGGATGGGCAATAAAATCAGGAAACCCTAATGAGATCTGATACAGTGATACTATACCGGCAAAGAAGGAGATAAAACTTGAGACACAAGTTGTGATAATTTTTGTGTGGTTGCGTAGCATGGTAAGGTCCTTCAAGGGTATGCGGTCATCAATTTCAACGGATATTCGTATGATTATTGGTCGAAGGTGGCTTCTGCAGTGGGGTTGACCGAAGGAACCAGGGGTTAAGGTAAAGTCTTACCAGGGGATGAAATGGAACATGGGGCAGAAAAAGTTACTCAAAGCAGGAAGAAGGGAGAATTTTGACCTGAAAGCTTTTCTGTCCTTTTTAGGATATTCATTGCCTCAAATGTTGATCCTTGATAAGTAAGGCATAACCTATCAGAGGATTTCCCTTACACCAATGAACTTCGAGATGATTCCCTTTACAACAAGAACTTCGAAAGGGCAAAGCTTATACCAGCTAGTTTAACCCTGGAGAGCAACAAGCTGTTTAGCTGCTCCGCGATGCAACAGTAGCTGGAGGGATCTACCGCTTCCTGTAGGCTGTATGACAGACCATTAGCATTGACAATATACTCGAGTATATACCAAACCATACATCGATTTGACTTCTTACCTACCTAGCCTCATCTCTTAATTAATTGGTGGAACCGGAAAGGCGCATCTTCATAATCATTATGAAGGGGGTCTTATTCGCTTAATGCCTTTTCTCTTCTAGTTCAGTTCACAGGACTCGATGTATTGCATTACGCCAATTTATCCCTGAACACCTGAAACGTACTAAGAAAAATATCCGATATTAAAAATCAATCAATCGCAAATCAGATTCTTCATCTAACCATCCAACTTATCCAATAACAAGATCATCCAAGCAGAAGACTGAGCAAAAATTGACTGGCACGAGAGCTCTTCTCCAAGGCCCCAAATCCGCATGTGATTGAAGCGTTTTCGATAAGGATGAGGATGGGGGATATAGTATATACGGAGTACGCGTCCGTGAAGTTGTGAACTAAGGTTTTTATATAAAATATTTCCCTTTCAAGTTTTAATAGATCTCCAAGTGACCAAGTACGAGTACGAGTATCGAGTGTACTACCGGTATCACGCCAGCAAAGATCCAAAGTACCAACAACCGAACGACCCAATACTAATTTACAAACACAGATAACGCCACCATCTACAACCACATATCGTGCTTAGTCCGTTTGAATCCTCGTACCCCCGTCCCACCCTTCGGCAATTCCCATCAGATGCATGGAGGTGTCGAAAGGCCGGTTGGTTTTATGCATCAAGTCTATTCGTCATCTATCTCCATCTAAAAAGGCTATATACCACACTTAGACATAACAAAAGACGGGATTCCCGCTGTCTTATCTAATCGAATACTCGCCAGCCCCCAATCAAGAAACCTTCCTTCCACCTCTTAGGCTTCCTTTGCGGTATGTATCTCCATCTGATCGCTTGAACGACGGAAGCCTCAATCGAACGGCACAGGAAGGATCATCAGCATCCTTACGTTGGAGATAGGATTCTATTTCCATTCCTTCATCATCTTATCCCCTTCCTTACTAGCCCTCACCTACCTTTACAACCCTTACTAACAAGATCATGCTGGAGATGGAATGACATTTAAAAATACATTTGTGTGATGATTCCAATGATCAACCTAACGATTACTGCAATTGATATACGAACTGGATTCTCCTTCCTTGGAGAAGCCCTCAGCAGGTCTCTATGTGATATATGCATCCTTTCTACAAATGTGCACTTTTTCAGGAAACGATCGCCACTGTGAGTGCTGTGCGAAATTGTTCCTATATGCGGAAAAACAAAATGGGGTTTCGCCCTCCGTCTGCTTGCTACTGAGGAGGGTTCAATGATCTAAAATATATTCGACAGTTAAGAGTGTTCAAGAATTTAGATCAGATTGAACAGTCAAGAGCATTCGATATTTCAAAACAGATTCTACAATAGATCCAGCGATCACTACATACAAACCACCCAATCAACCAATTCACAACCCCTTCACTAAACCAATCCATTCCACCACCATCAACTAACTCACAACTTCGCACCTCAAGTGACACAAACAAACCCACAGCCTTCCATTGCACCGCACATAATAAATTTCACCAACCCAAACCAAACCTCTCCATTCTCTGGATCCGAATCCATCCGAATCATCCGAATTCCCTCTCGCAGTCATCACCGCCATCAACCACCATCGATATCAAAGCTGAATATAGTACTCGAGTAGTCGGTCGTACAGAGAACACAAAAGCGATACAGAGTACAACCTACAAGCAAATGCAGTTTCATCACACCACCGTGACCTACTTACTGTACCCAGACCCCAGACTCTTAGAGTATACTGTACTCGAGTAGTATCAACCAAACTTTCACGACTGTGTCATGCGTCATGCATATGTGATACACACATATCGGCTCTCCGCACACGACTGCTGTGAAGCTGAAGCTGAAGCAAAAGCCTGATGGTAATGCTGACGCTGATATGTTGCACAAATATCATTGGTAAAGCACAGCACGGTGGGTCATATCATCATCATCATCATCCCCCTCAAGGTATTCACTCAAACCTCCCATTCCACCCCCATCCCATCCCACAAGTCTACCTACCGCCCAGCCCAGCCCCCACAACCGCACTCCAGTAAAATCCACCTGACCGTAAACCCACCTACCTACCTTATCTCATCTCATCTCATGATATCCTCCCCGCCTCGGCATCCTATTCATCCACTACATAGGACTCTATATAGCTCTATACATGATACCCGTGCATATAATAACCAAACCAAAAAGACGATCTCATCCCATCACACACCAGCCCCATTGCCCCGCATTAATGTAAATTGTTCCTCCCAAAAACATCCCATATCCCGCATCCCGCATCCCGCACCCTAGATCCTAAGAAAATCCAACCCTTGTATATATATCACTACCACCTCTTCCTTCCATATCCATTTATATCAAAATCCTGGATAAGAAATCAGCTGTGCGAAAATTGCTCCATCACATTACAAGGCTACCGTTCGTTCTCTTCCCACAGACCCCCAAAGTCATAGTTACAGTTACAGTTACATTCACACCCAAGCAAACCAAAACACCCATTTGAAACTTCGACATGTCATATCTTTGACTCCATCAATTCATTCATTACATCACAATTCATCTAACTCTAACTCAGTATCTGTCTGCTCTAGCAACCGCGCCCGCTCAACTCAACAACTCCACCCATGCAACGAACCATCCTTCTCAACTCTATTGCTCAACCAGTTCCCATCATCGCTGTATACTGATACTGTATCTGTGTTTGTCTGTATCCTTCCTAATCGTCCTCTGGTATCAAACCACAAACCCATCTTCAAGATTTGATTATTTCCCAAATGCGCATCCAGTCCCGGCACAAAAAAGTAAATGAACCAAGTAGAAAAAGAAAGTCTCCCGAAGCGATCCAGAAGTACGGTTTTTCCTGAGTCCGCCAATCCAGCCAGGCCCTCCAAGTCTACCCTATCCTGCCCTGGTCATATTATTACATTTAGACAGATAAATGCTACTATCCGTCCCACCAACCACCCAACGAAATCTTTCCCGAAAATGTCCGCCCGCTCAAGTGTCCCATCACCAATTGCCGCATGAGAAAGAAGAAAATGCTTGCCGTAATAAGAAAAAAGTCACCAGGAAATGAAATAAAAGCAAAAGTAACGTGGGTATAGACAATGAACAACCCTCCAGAAACGCCATGAAACATATCACTATTAACTACAGATTTCCTCTTCACTGGTTTTGAAATAATCCGTTACTACAACCCCAGAATCATGTGGTTGAGCGGTGTGACTCGGATGTGGACCTTTGAGAGGCTCAATTCCAGGAATTGGATCGGTTGAAACCGTTCGTTTGCGCTCGCCCGTATGTCGAACAGTTCCTCGAACTCCTTTGACCAATTGACCATTTTCGACTCGATCTTGAATCATCTCGTCTAGCATCTTACTCATCTCATCTACACTCTTTGAATTTCTGAGAGGAGTTGGGGGGAGGACTGTGGGTGGGAGAACCTTCACCGAGCCTCCTAGATGTTCGAGACTAGGCTCAAACAATTGTGACTCCCTTGCTGAGACGGGGCTCAAAGGCGCACTATTCAGCGTGTGGCGAGGATCACGGTCGGCGGTATCTCGTGACCGAGCAGAACTGCGAAGTGCCGCCAACATGCGATCCTTATCATCAAGTCTTGCTCGTAAGTCGGCGATTTCAGAATCCTTATCTTTCAATAGATTGGAGATCCCATGGTCCTCTCCGACCATTATGCTCGACTTGCTACCGAATTGTGCCGATGTTCTTGACTGACTAGAGCGTCGAGCTTGTAGGAGTCGCTTTTCTAAAGTCTGGCAGTATCGATTCTTGTCTGCAAGATCGGCTTGTAAGGCTCGGTTCTGCGCTGCCAGTGAAGCAGTACCCTCGCCATATTCGCCCACAGAGTCTTCATCTTCCATTGATGTATGATCGCCTGAGGTAGTGCCAGAAAATCGTTGCGCACGTGGCTGTCGACCGATGGTAGATACCGAGTTGGTACGATCTAGTGTGATGGTAGATGGAGTCATAGACGAGCGCATGGACAATGAGGACATATGGCCGTTTGATGCTGCCGTCGATAACCTATGTCGCATACTCAAAGACGAATACGTACCACTGGTATTAACACCAGTCGACTTGGAACTGAGTATCAACCTGTTTAAATGCTCAATCCTTTCTTTGAGGGCCGTTCGGGCCAGTTGCATTTCTAGCAGTTGCTCCTCATGACGTGCCTTCGCTTCTTCCTTTTCAGTTTTGTTCTCCTCGTAAGTTCTGGCTTTGGACTGGTCATCTAACTGTTTCCGCAGGTCCGAAATTTCCATGCGGTATTTTTCTAATAGAACTCTAGCGCCACCATCACCACCTGCACCCAATGCTTCCTCGGCCTTCTTAGCATGACTAACAATGTTTGCTGCCGCCCTGGAAGCAAACTTTAAAGTGTTTAAGGACTCGCCGGTGTGGCTGTTGGGACCAGAGGCACTGGCTCCAGATCCAACAGATATTGTACACAGAATACTGACGAGCGAGTCTCCCGAAAGCGCGCCCTGAAGAAGTCTTGTAAGCTTGCTATCGCGATATGGTAAATGCTTTCCGTCTTTGTCCATAGGTTTGCCATCCTTATCTTTATTACCCGACAATCGAGCAATGACAGTTCCGAGAGTCAACAAACTTTTGTTGATATGGGAGCCCTCAGTACGTCTTTCTTTCGTTTCGGCGGCTCTCTCTGAACCCGCCAAATCAATCAGACTGAGTGTAGAAACACGCACGCCACCAGGAGCAATGCCGGCTCGCTTGTCGTCATTCAGTGCTACTCCTCCCGGAATTCGCTCGCGAGACTCAACCACGATCTGTACGACTGCATGACTTCGAGAACTTCTAGCATTGAACTGTGTACTAGAAGTCCTTCGTGCGAGATCCCCCCGTGCAATGACACGAAGTAATTGTGTTGGAGACTGCACTATCTCTTCTTTCAGGGGTGTGGCATAAACGCCTCTCTTGCTATCTTCTCGAAGTTTGATTTCTTCGGATTGAGCAGCTCCTGGACCTATTGCAGGGGCCGTAGAAGCACTCAATAGGTCATGAATCTTCTCGTTGTATATCTCCAAGTAACTGACCCTGAGGAGAAACTCCCGCGATGGAGTTTCACGGATGTATGAAAATATGTCGGTGATGGCAAGTGGGATAACACCAGGCATATCACCTGTTCCTTGCATAGAGAATGTCTTTCCGGTACCTGTCATACCATATGCAAAGACGGTGCCGTGATATCCTTCCATCACTCGCCGTACGAGCCTTTTGGCGGATGAGTCATATACCCTGGCGTTATTATCATGCTGTGAAAAGACGTTGTCTATTACTGTGTTAGTGTCTTCGAATAAAAAAAGTGACGAACAGCCTTACCATAGTAATAATTACCACCCTCCTTTCCACGGTATGCCACCAGTGACTTTCTTCCATCTACCATCCATTCTCCATCACCCTTGCTATTATCTCCTTGGCTATTGGCATCTGGGCGCACACGCACGCTGACGATGACATTTCCTTTGATTTCTGTAGGTTTTGAAGACTGTCTATCGACATCATCAGGGCCCTCTCGACCTCTGAACCCATCTCCAAATTCTTCAGTGGTTGTTACAGACGTCGAATATGAATCCTGGGCAGATGAGCTGCGACTTTGAGGGGGTGAGGGCAAGCTTAATAAACCATCCGATCCTCGAGCCCCGGCACCGCTGGATATAGAAATGCTGTCTCCGCTTCCGTTGAGCAAGCTCGGGGTTGATCCACTAATTGCGGTCTGTGTATTGGGATTGGCCATTGCTTTCGGTCGTTTTCGAAGGTTCCCACTACCATTGTGAGATGGATTGATTTCTGCAGATTCCATTCTACTTGACTCTCCGGTTGACGTTGCGGTTCCTGGCTCGACTCCGGATAAGGGACTAGGTGGTAAACTTGTCGTTCTAACACCCCCTCGAGGAGGCTGAGGAAATGCAGTGATACTAATCGTTTTCCTTATGGTCTTACCAGCTGCATTCACTCCAGGACTCCTCAATGACTGAAGGCTAGATAAAGACGGGTTTCGTAATCCACTTCTAGGTGTGTTTGGAGCTTCCGGTCTGTCTGTTGGCGTTTGCAAGGCATTTGTGCTTTTTCGAGTTCTTGGCATCGGCAGAGCTGGTAATGCTGATGTGGGCGGCCCATGTGAAGGCCTCGACGCCCGTGGCAAGGTCGCTGCCATTGTAGTTGACTTTGAAGCTGGATCTCTGAGTAGATATTTGTAACGAGAGTTCGAATTCTGAACTTTTGGGTGTCAGGTAGCTACGAAAAGAGGTAGCTACATAAAGAGTGGAATTTAGATTTCCATGAAACTCGTTTGCAAAGATTCCTTAGTTTGGACTTGGTAAATAGGATGATGGTGCTCCAAAGGCCGATATGTGGAGTTACTCAATAACTACTCCACTGCGTTTGCCAGATCTAGACCAAGTTCCCTATTCGTCCTTTCAAAAGTGGGTGAAACGCAATAGTATGCAGTCTGATATGCCTTAGCAGTATTCTGGCGTTTGGGCCTGTTTGACTTGTCAGTGTACCCTTCCAGACATCGGCGTATAAAAAAAAAAGATCAGATATAATCATATCAATTGATCTTGAGGACCCAAGCTCCAAAAGCCAAAACATGGGGGTGGACAACCTTACAGTTTAAGATTCTAATGTGAAAACCATGTGTTATTTCCAGGTATGGGGATTTATTCTTCGAAAATTCCTCCTCAAGATATGCAGGTTCCCTTTTCTAGTGATGATGGGTGCCACAGTCGAAGATGTGCAGTAATTATCCGAATACCCCGGTACCGACAGGAGATGTTGACAAGTTATATCTGGTATCGTGTTCATGCATTCGGCAGAGAAGATCGAATCATTGACTTCTGAAAGCGTTGTTGTTCTGCGAAATTCGGTCCAAGTTGTTGGTGGATGCAGTGCGAATAAGAAAAGGAACTGTGGAAGTGTGGTACTGTCCAAGATTCTTGATATCAATTGGTTGGTATTTGTGAAAGCAGAAACCTCCCAATATTCCCACCTTACAATTGTGATTGAGAAGTGGATAAAACTCGAAACCAAAGTTAAAAAAGTATTAAAAGGGATTTTTGATTGTCGATTGTCGATCTTTGGTATTAGATCATACGTTTTTTTTTTGTGTCGGTGGATAGTGAATCAAATAGATCACTCGAGTCCCAAGGGTGAACTTGGCGATAAATGAAGGAAAGTCGCAGCTTTTGGTGGTACAAAGGCAGGAAGCCGTCAATTGGCGAGTAGGGAAGGACGAGTGAGATTGGTATGGAACATAAGTAAGGATCGTGATATCGTCGTTCTTTTCTCAGTCGTGAGGGATAGAATGGTACGAAATTTCTTCGAGGTTTTTCGATTGGTGACGCGAAACTAGACGTGTACTAGAAGTGAGGAGTGAGAAAAAAAAAGTAGTAAGGTAAGGAAAGTAGAAAGTAGAAAGTTTCTTAGTTAACCAAAGGTTACAGTACATACAATATGCCGACGTGCAGCACGGAAGCTTATTGGAATATAAGATCTTACAACAGAGGGGTGTGGTAAATAAAAGATAGAAGGGAGATCTATGAATGGAGGAAAGAAAGAGCTTACGGAGTAACCTTACTGTAAATGCGTAAATGCGGATATCAAATCAACCATGCACTCTTGGGGTTTTTGTGATTGTACTACAAGGTTGCAAGGGGAATGCAATGCAATTGTACAAATGTACCGTTGGAATTGAGCAGGGGAAATGAATTTGTGAAGGTTCTCAGTTAAGGTCTGGTTGGTGGTGGGTCAAGAAGAGAAAAGAAAGGGACGGAGGAAGGATATGGATGTTATGGGTGATGGGTGATGCTGTTATACAGAGAACGAATTGCAGGATAGTACTATATTGAGTACTTTTTTCTTCATTGATTGAAAAAGTGATAGATGAATGGATGAATGAATGAATGAATCCAATGATACTGCAGGACAGTAATCCATACTCTCCCTCCTCGGAAGTTGTAAGTAGGTAGGAATAGGAACCTACAATAAACAATCCGGAGGAGAATATAAAACCCATGATTATTTTAGGGATAGTGTAGAGCAATCTCTACTTCTTTAGACCTAGTGATCTTTTGAACCTGCTCAAGCTCTCCTTATCGAAATTAACCAACTTAAACCAAGTTTGGGCAGGAAGTACCGATGTTCATTGATAAACCTTCATTAGTACAGGGTAAGGTTATGTATTACCTTTCAACGATATAACGATAACTGTCTCCTTTGGCGAGCCGCCTCACACAGAGTCACAATGTAACATTAACTACTCCAGTAAAGTTTTCTAGATGGATGTTGAAGAATTATAAGGGAACCAACCCAACGTTGTATTGCTTTTGAACTTATCCTCGTCATTTAGATAGCACTCACTATCCTATCTTGGAATTTTTGTTACCTAGGTAGGTACTTCTATCATCCTTCACACATCGTTCTACAAGTTCTTCATTTAATTGTAGGCCTACTAGCCCCCCTACTCGTCCCCTTACCCACCCACCACACTCAACATCATCAATCCATAAGAGATAATAGAATGCTTTAATTAATCCTATAATTAGTCCTTATAAGTTTATGCTATATATATATATAAATAGTTTATATAATCATTCCCTAAATAAACTAGAACTCTGATAATCACTTTGATTTCAAGGCCTGATATCAAATTTTATACTATGTATATATATAAGAATTAATTAAAGTGCTTTATTATCTCTTATAGATTGGTTATATAGGTGGGGAGGGGGATGAGTGGGAGGGCTAGTACTACTAGGCCTATGATTAACCCCAGATAAAGATACCTCTAATGGATTGATTGTTTATGCCGGCACTTTTCTTGGAGGGGTTCAACCACTTCTCTTTGCCTTTGTAACCTCCAATGGCATGACAGACTGACAGCTATCAAACATGCTTAAGCCTTGCTCAAAAGAAACTATTTTACCTACATGAATCAGGGCACGTTTCCTTTCCTCCAAAAAGCAAAGTGGACGAGATATAGATTACCAAATGATATCACACCAGGACCCCAACTCATCACAACCCACCAAACATCACCAAACATCAATCTACTTGAAATCAATCAACTCCAAGTCTCTGGTAACATTGATGTGATAGCTCTCACATCAACCATAGGCTATCTATTCATCCACCAAGATCCCCCAATTTATTCAGGCAGAGGTGCAATCACACAATCATCACAAAACCATTACAAAACCTCAGGGGTCACAAATGAGGAACCCCAATCTGTGCCACAAACCAACAAGGGCTTTGACAATTTTCCATGTTTTCTTTAAGCTATGAGTGGCTACGATTTCATCTCTTCTCAAGAACCCCTTCCTTACCTTTCAAAAAGGGGATGTTCTCCCGAAAGTCATTTACTCCACAGCCTACAGTATCTACCTACCTAGTTAATTGATCTGTTGGGGGAGCATCGGTGTTGATCAATAATATACTGTAATGACTTTACTTTGTATTTTTAGCCAATATAAGATTGTTCTCTCTCTAATGCATTTGTGTCTATATGAAATAGGTAGCTGACGTGTAATTGTAAACAGCTGTACATATTAGAATAAATGATGATGGAATTGCTGGTAAAGTTATTAATACATATATACAGCCTTTGGCAAATTGAGCCAGGGAAAAGCCGTCTGCTCTGAGACCTGAGCACTGTTCATAACTCCGCTGCTGGACATGGAGAAGTAAACTCCACCTAGATTATATGGATCTAACCAAACTTATGTCAATCTAGACCTAGCAGTGTTTATTCCTATATATTTGAGCAACTTGGTTTGCATCTTTCGCTCCAAACATTGATAATCGTGAGGGCCGAGGATTGATCCACGATATATTCGCATTCCATTCCAATCAACGCCAAACTCCAAACCTTCTGCTTTCCACAAGCTGTTTATAATGCACGAACGCCTCTCCCAATGCTCCTAGTATCAAAGACTTCAACCAGCCCTGCGCCAACACACTCCGCTAATATCCATTCAAACGAGATTCCGTAATACTGTTTCCACTTTCTAGTTTTGCCAGGAAGAACGCCAGAGAATTCTCCTCTATTTCTCTTTGCCGCACTCGCTCCGTCGTCGGCTTCGATTCCTCCATCCCACCGCTGCCGAAGAAGAGATTCGGGTGCTTCACGAAACCTTGATTCCGACAGCAAGGATACGAGATGAAGGCGAGCATTACTCAGCAACTTCAAAAATTGCCCTGTCGCAGGAAGGGAAAGGGAAAAATCTCCATTTCCCGCCAATCGAGCTCCGCCTCCACTTCCTCCAGAAGCATGAACCGCCCCTTCGCCACCGACAGCAGCTAGAGATCCGGAGGTTGCCTTCGAAATACTGTTCAGCGAAATGAGGGTTCCTCTTGAACCATCACCCGGCCTCGAAAAGTGATCCGTGACTGTATAATTTGTTGTTGATGAGGTAAAGAGGCCAGCATGTATAAGTGCTTGGGCAACTTCCTTCGTGAATCGAGACCTAGAGAACTTCAGCGCCGTGGGATTTTCTTGCAGTAATTTCTTGAATTCTTCCTTAGAAGAGGCCTGTAAGTTGCTCCTCTCTATTATTTTTTCTAAATCCTTCACCAATATTAAAACCTCCCCAAGGCCTCCTCTCCCACTGACGATCACTTTTCTTATCGCGCCTCCTTGTATTAATTCTACAATCTCTCGTTCGACGGGGTGGGAGAGTTCAGCAGAGCTTGAACATGTGATACAGTAACAACAGGTGGTAATGAATCTCGATAGTTGAGGACCTCTGCCGTACGTGTCGAGTTCATCCCAGTCCTCTGCTCTGATATGTTAGTCAACATCCTACCTCTGATATATTGTATAGCTTGAGAGACATCCCGTAAGGTGAGATCAGTTGCAAGCGCTTTAACCAAGCCAATATCATCAAGCTTATCGTCGAAAAAGTCCTCGTCATCATCAACAAATTTTGGTTTCGATTTTGATCGTTGTATGGGTTTGCGCTTGGGCAGAGTAGAGAAGGGCGAAGATGTAGTTCGCTTCAATGAAGGGGTAGATTTTTTTATTCGACTAGAGATTGCAGCAGATCTATACAAACTCATGGCTAAAGACCAAAATCAAAGTGAGGTTGTGAGTATGTGAGGTTTACATACTCATTTCAATTGCCACTTCGATGGTTACTGGTATTGACTATCCTTATCGATTAGCTTGCAGCCAGCCATCGGAACAAAACTTAGCCGACATAGATGACTAATGATACATATCCCTAAAGTAACTCAGGAGTATCACCACATGCACATTGTGTTTGATGGGTGAGTGAACAAACGACAAAGATACATTTCCCTCCTTGTTTATACACCACTTGGTATTCACAAAACACCCTGAACATTCTGGAAGAACATACTCAAATTTGGTTATTATTTGTTTATTCATCTAGAGCTTCTCAGTCTCCCAATTCCTTGTGTACCACTTCCTTCTCAACAGAATACACCAATATTTAGACACACTTTGATTATCAAAAGATGCCTCCAACAATTATTTTGATCAGACATGCACAAGCTCTTCACAGTTAGTCAACAATATTTCACTTACAATACTGGTCCAGGCTAACGTTGCACAAGATGTGTCTCATAAGTCACCCTGCAATATCCATTGTGACCTGAGCTGATTTTCAGGGCACGCAACTATGAGCTACATGATCCGGCGTTGACCGACCTTGGCTTTGGAGCACAGTGTGACGAATTAGCCAGATCTCTCAAGGATGACGTTCCACTCGCTCAGGAAATTGATCTTATTGTAGTGAGCCCCATGAGACGAACTTTACAAACAGCGCAGCAAGGCCTGGGCTGGTTGATAAAGCGTGGTGTTCCCGTTCTGCTTCGACCTGAATGGCAAGAGAGCTCAGACAAGCCATGTGATACAGGAACTCCCATTGAACTCATGGAAAAGGAATGGCCACAATTCGACTGGTCAGCTGTTGATCCACTGTTTCCAGCGAAGTCTGGTCTCTATGAATTTTCGAAAGATGCTCTGATCGAGCGAGGAATTGTAGCTAAAAAATGGTTACAGCAACGCCCGGAGAAAGTCATCGCTGTAGTCTCTCATTCGGCGTTCCTCCTGACTTGCATCAGCTACAAACGTTACGCGAATGCCGACTACAGGATTTTCGACTTTGCGAATGGTGACGGACAGAAGAGTGCTGAGCTCGTGGAATGGGAGCTGACCGAATCAAGAGGCGGAGGGCTAGGAAAGAGTCCGAGAGGGACTTTTGGAATGTCCGTTAATGACTACCCCATGGAGATCGAAAAGGACATTGGACAGGCGACAAATGAGATGCCAAACTAGCGCCGAATGTCCAACGCGTAGTATTGATGGAAACAAGTTCTGTATTGCTAGGATAGCACCAGAAAACACCAGCTTCCTACACATTACCTTCTTCATATCTACATTTTTCGATTATGGCTTCTTTCCGAGCATTACACCCAAATAAATATCTCGTTTGAATTCGGCCATTCAAAACTATTAGTGCCCAGTTTTCTAATCACGTCTAAACAAGCTGAATATTCTCATAAGTTCAAATCATCAGTTTTTCATATTCGAACCGAGGTGATGCAGCGCAGCGGATTTCGTCCCCTTTATCAATGGTGATGTGAAATTCGGCTTTTTCTAATTTGAGATCTCCATTGTGCCAAATAGCCCATCGAAGACTAAGTTGTGAGAACTGAACATTGGCATCGAATGTGAACAAACAACTCCGTTCAAATCTAGCCTTGAAAACATCAGGAAGATGCGTCATGTGAAATCACTGTAAACTTGAGAAATAACCAAGGCTCTCAACTTGGAGCTTCCCGCTTACGGTCAGACACCATGATAGGAAAAGCATGAAAGCCGTGTTCCTGAAACGTCTGTACACCCGCATCTAGTGGGACGGTCAATTATGTCATTTTTAAACCAGAAACAGGAATATGGACAGCTTTTCTCTACTGTGATTTGTGTAGCTGGTATATGGTGTGAAGGAAAAGAAAGATAGGTGATCTAGAACGATCTATGAAAGCTTCCTTCAATTGTTCTCCCGTCGATCTATCCCCGCCCCAAAGTTAGATCACCGTCAATTTGGTCGATTTTTCAGATAAAGGTGAACTAATACACCGGGTTATCGAAATCGATGTTGGACAACTTTGCCATCATATGGATCTTTTTTTTAGACAACGTTATGTCATACCTCGGGGCTGTATAATTGCGGTGTAGTGTCAAAGCTTAAGGCAAGAATTGAACAGGACGGCGAGAGACGTCGTAGATCAATTGGCTAAAGTTGTCGTATTTTCAGCCATGGACTGCGCCAACGAAATGGAGCAATAAAATGTCATCCAGTGGCTGGTTGGTGTCTAATCCCTGAAATTGCAATAATAGAATTGGGATGAACGAGATACTGTGTAAGAAGATGGAAGTAACATAAATACAACGGAAAGCTTCATATACGGGAGTTGGAATTTGAGGATGATGTGAGCGGTTAGTACAAGACCAAGTCGTTTGTTGTCCGCACGTGCGTGCAGTGTCTGAGCGAGTACTTCCCGTACCTTGAAATGAAAGGAAAAATGGAGAAGAAAAGAACCCCTTGTGGCTGAGGTAGCGAAGAAAAAATCGAGGAGAGCAAACCATCTAAAGTCCCCTAGACTCACTCACTCATTTACATGCCTCAAATAATCACTGACCAGCTGAGGGACGAGGCCGCCTTAACCAATAGCTAGGTATATCAAGGTGGGACGGTGAGGATAAAAGAGAAGAGATGAGAAGAAGGGTAAATGATAGCCCTAAGCGGATATGAACAGCCAAAACTAAACTACTACTACTAGGTAGTAGGTACCAGGTTAGAGTGGCTAATTGGTGTTTCTTTGCCGTATCAGCCAGCAACTCTGCTTTGTTCGGTCTGCTTACTTGAATAAATTCAATAAAATGATAGAACAAATATTGATGTATAGTAGCAATGCACATCAGATTAGATGGCTAGAATCTTCTTATAGAAAACAAGATATTCATAGCCACAGAGGGGAACAGGATACAACTATCCGGTAGAACCTAGAATATATTATCTTAGGTCTACCTAGGTAGGTGTAGACTCGGCTGCAGAATGCTACCTGGGTGTACGATCGTATGTATACTTATCGTTATAAAATATGAAAAAATTAGATATCAATCTTCGTACAGTTCAACTTTTTCATCTCTATCAATTTTTGATTTAGAGATACTTGTACGGGTGCTTATACTCGTACAACGACTGAATTGATGGTGTTTGTAAGGCAAGAATAAGCTAAGCCAAGCTAAGCCTTGAAAGAGACTTGATCGCAGAAGAGTAAAGAGTGGCGCTAACCTGGAAGTTCTATTGAGGCGCAATCAACCTTCAGCTTCATTTTCTATTCACACTTCTACTACCTTACCACCTTACCACCTTACCTATTCTTGTTTATCCATCAGATTCATTGCATTGTGTGTAGGAAAGATCGCCGCGCATAGTAATCTAACAGTTTATCTTCGCCTTTTATCAAGTCTCTTCTTATACTGATTCTTGAGCTAGGTATCCCAATCACCTTTATTTACTTGAATGTTATCTAGCCCCGTCTGATTATGTTCAACGAGGTCGTGGCCCCGGATAATCAATTTGCTTGAAACTGTTTGCGGTTTATTCAATATACCCCAGATTTATCACACATCTGAATCACTCAACTTCTAGGTAGGTTCATCACATCAATTGCAAATTGTGAGATGATTAATTCAATTCTAACTCTCCTCGGAAGCCTTATGATCCAAGCAGGAATATCCGCCTCACACCAATTTACGAACCTGTTGTGAAGACTCGACATGAGAGCTTGATCACATCACCAAAAGTTGTCGTCAAGATCGCAGTTCGGCGATAAGTAAATCAAAAGGATCAATTTTTGGCACGTTATCATACATCGAGTTCATGGCCTCGGAGCAAGAAACAATTTCCGCGACCACAGCAGTCCTTACCGCGAAGTTATCAGACCCCGCCACTAAATCTTCTCTTACAACTACAAAGTACCCCGAATCCGATAATACCAGAGCAAAGACTTTGAAACGAAGTCGGCCGGACCAAACACAATCTCCCACAAATCTTGCATCAATCGCGAACGCGGGGCTGGTTGTTTCGCCCGCAAAAGCACCGCGATTCGGCGGCACATTCTCTCCCGCATTTCCTGTTGTACCGCTCACTGGGGCAGTGGCCTTCGAAGACGAACGACGGGAAAGAGAAGAAGCCCAAAAAAACCAAACCAGTGCCATGAACAAGAATCCTGGTCATGAGGCTATCACGTCTCTTTTAGCCGGAGGAGGAGTTGGCATGAGTAAAGCGCACGACGCTCCGGTCGCTACAGCTACTATGAGCGAGGGATTGGCCGTAGCTGTTAATGCACTAACGATACCAACGACTGTGCCATTTGATGAAAGGTCCGAAACTAGCCCAGCGAGCGTGACAAGTCTTGCAAGCTTGGGTAGTACAGCACAAACTGCAACTGCGAGTCCTACAATTGTCGCGAGTCCAGCTACTATGACGAATGCTTTAGAATCCGAGAATCGAGATACGCGATCAGGTCTCAGCCAACTTCAAGCTGCCATGGATGAGCACCCACCGCATAAGTCAATGTCATACCCAGGCAACCTGGGACAATTAGATCCATCGCAGTATCCCACACGAGGGATGAGCTTGCCTATGCCTTATCAAAACCTGCAACTTGCGCCAAGGTCACCTTCTCAAAAGAAACATAAATGCCCTTATTGCGAGACCGAGTTTACTCGGCACCATAATCTGAAAAGTCATCTCCTAACACATAGTCAAGAAAAACCTTACGTGTGCCAGACCTGTCAAATGAGGTTCCGTAGGTTACACGACTTGAAGCGCCACATGAAACTACACACAGGAGAGCGCCCTCATATTTGCCCAAAATGCGATCGAAAGTTCGCGCGCGGAGATGCACTTGCCCGTCATAGCAAAGGCCTCGGCGGTTGCGCCGGAAGGAGGGCGAGTATGGGAAGCTTTGGCGGGGACGACGATTTTGATGGTTCTCATGTAGGAGAAGCCGATGAGAGTGGAATGGATGGAATCATGTATACGAATGGTAATCCCCATCCCAACGAAGTAGAAATGTCCGAGGAAGATGGCCGACGGTTTAGTCTGCCCAGTATCAAAGCACAGCATGTAGCCGGTAATGCTGGTAGCCAGGATAGTTACAATTCACACTCGCGCACTCCAAGCACCTATCCTCCTGCCGGTCCAAGATCGAATCCTCCCACCGGACTTTATCCTCCGGGTACGGATCGTGTGGGTTCTTCTAGTTCGGCTACATCACCTAATATGCAGAACAGTGCTATTGGCGTCCACACGCCGAATAACAGCTTATCAATGCCACTCAATACAAGTGGCTCAATGTTCTCCCAAAGTGGTATGACCGAAAGTCCCAAACCACTCAGTCCAGCTGGTATGCATTCGCACCAGCTTGGTCATGACTCCGCCTCAATCACTAGACAACGATCACCTAGTTTGACCACTCAGTTTCAGCAACAACATTTCGGCCGTCATCAATCTGGAAGGAGCCCACCGCCTGGAATGTCTTTACCGTCGCCACACAGCGCACAGGGGCCGAAACTTCCAGCTCTTACTGGTTTAGCCCCTCCCGATACGAGATTTACTTTGAACAGTCAATTATCCAACCAACAGAGCCCAGGGAATGGTCAGCAAGGCTCTCAACAGCAGCAATTAATACAGCAGTCCACATCTCCTACTTCCCTGTTTCAACCTTCCAATTCCCTTCAAAATCGAGGTCCACCAAGCCATCAAGGCAGTGGTGATAATAGTAACAATTTGTTTGCCTCTGGCGCCTCGGGCGTTTGGGCGTACGTTAATACAATGGAGGAGAAGCTCAAGCTGTTTTCTGATAAAGTACTCGCCATGGAAGCTAAGGATAAAAACCAAGAAGATAAGATCAAGGCACAGGATGAGAAGGTGAATCAATTGTCAGAAGAGCTTGTTTCTCTTCGTAGACAACTAAGTTCTCAAAATCAAAGTCAGCAACCGAGGACATCGTAAAATGAATCACCTAGGATGCAAGTACACGCAGCTGTTCTATACCAAATCCACTTTTGGTGTACAAAGATGTTATGGCGTTGAGTAGCGAAAAATGGGACCACGATACGCTTTGCTTGGTCTATGAAACTTTTGCACGAATTTCACTTCATTTAGTGGAGGAGGCGTTATTTTGGTAGGTGTTGTTATGGGAATTTCAAAAAAGGTAGCACTACTTCTCCATAGAATTTCGTTGGCTTTCTCTCACTGCCGGCATACCGGGAGAGTTTTTTCTTTCTTTCTTTATGGTGGGGACTTTTCGGTAGGATGAGGAAGAGGAAGAGGTTTGGGGGAAGGAATGAGATATGTATTTATATTTTTGCTGTAATTACAGCATTGCAGCAAGTTTATGGCTTCAATGTGTGTTAGCGGGCTGGCGGTTCATATATCATGAATGCTTAGAATGATCATAAGTGATTAATTTATTTGGCTTTAGCAGAGAGTAGAGAATTAAACTTTCAAAATATCACTAGAATATTTTGATGGCTCGTCTGTATAGCGACATTGAGAAAGGGGGGACTTTGCATAGGGGATTAATCGACTGGCTCATAGAAGTAAGAATAGGTACGGGAGGATTATTAGAAATTCAATATTTAATCAATCATTCATATGAGACTTGATTATTATTCCACTTCTACTGAGTACAGTTTAAAAATGCTTGATTTGGGTATTCTAGTATTAGATGATCTCCTCGGTACCTATATGAAATACGAAACTAATACTCGAGTACATGGATGATCAGGTACGGACAGATCAGTGGGCCGCCGGCTTACCGCCCGAATTTTAGCGTACTGCCAACCTAAAGCTTCCTCTTCTAAATCCCGCCCAAAGGCACGTCATAGTGTAGAGTTTATTTTGTCAATGCAAGACTTACTTAAAAGGGCTTCCGCGTGTCAAACAAGGAGTTTCCTCTGCTATTTTGAATCTATCTCATTCCTCACTTGCTTGGTTTCGTTGACTTTACCTTTTGACACTTTTAATTCTAATTCCTACTTCTCTACAGCTCTACAGCTCGCGACGCGGTGTATTCATTTCAATGTCGGGACCAACATCCGTCGCAGCGCCGGCTCTACCAGAAGAACGCGAAAAGTTGAACCTTCCACCAAAAAGTTACTCCGATGCTGTCGAGGAAACACCAGAAGCTCCATATGATAGAAATACCGGTAATAAAGAGAATGAGGTGAATGGGCAAAAGCAATTTAATGCTTCGAATGCGAATGCTTCGGATGGAACTGGCCCTAAGCATAAAGTGTCAGTTCTAAGAATCGTGGACACGAATGTTACGGATCCTGCGAAATCTGCCAACAATAAGGAAATTAGATCAAAGGTCGACAGGCAGGATTCAAAGGGAGAGTACTCGGCTACGGTTTGTGCTGGAAGGAGCGTTCAATGTTTGATCTGAAAACTAACATTCCAGGGCCTCGATGATACTCCGAAAAGTCCTCCTCGAAACAGACAGCGAAAATCATCTTCGCAGAAACCCAATGGAACGAATGAGAATGGTCACGGCCCGAACACAAATACAATGTCTGACCAGAACGAAAATGAGAACAAGACGGCCATCTTTGAAAAGGTTCAAGATGAACGGAATGGTAGCAAGCTCACCAGTGTGAAGCCCTCAAACGACTATGAGAAACAACTTGAAAGGGATCACGAAGAGGCTCCGAAGCGTAAAGATGAAACGCTAGTTAGCGGGAGGCAAGCTGGACAACGATGGCATACCAGCGGCATTCGATGGGCCCCGATGAATATTCCACTTCAACGCAGGCTCCAAACCTTGGTGGTGCTGTTCCATACACTCTGCATCGCCATCTCTGTGTCAACGTTCTTCTTTCTATGCGCGATACCCCTTTTCTGGCCAATTTTGATCCCATATATGATTTACCTAATTACATCTAAAGCTTCGATATCGGGGACTTTGAGCCATCGTTCGAACTTCTTCCGATCGTCACCGGTGTGGTCATTGTTTGCATCTTATTTTCCAGCCAGGTTGCACAGAACTCAAGAATTACCACCTACGAGAAAATACATATTCGGCTATCATCCCCATGGCATTATCTCTCATGGGGCATTTGCGGCCTTTGCGACTGAAGCCCTCGGGTTTGCTCAGTTGTTCCCAGGCATCAAGAATACACTTCTCACATTAGACACCAACTTCAGAATACCGTTGTATCGCGAATATGCTTTAGCAATGGGTCTAGCATCTGTATCTAAAGAATCTTGCGAGAACCTACTTTCCAAGGGCGGGCCAAACAAGGTATGTTCAAACAATCAAATTTGTGATCAGATCCTGACAGTTACGACCAGGAGGGCATGGGTCGCGCAATTACTATCGTAGTAGGGGGCGCAGCCGAGTCACTGGATGCACAACCATACAGTCTCAGATTAGTTCTCAAGCGTCGCAAGGGCTTTGTGAAGATGGCCATTCGAACTGGCGCGGATCTAGTTCCTGTCCTGGCATTTGGTGAGAATGATCTTTATGACCAATTCTCGGCCGATTCACACCCAAGAATTCACAAACTTCAGTTGCTTATTAAGAAGTTAATGGGCTTCACTATACCCCTCTTTCACGCCAGAGGCGTCTTCAACTACGATGTTGGCCTTATGCCATACCGACGGCCATTGAATATCGTCGTCGGACGACCAATCAAGGTGGTCCAATCCAAAACCCCGGGCCAAAAAGATATTGATCGAGTTCATGAGGAGTATGTGACGGAGCTTGAGAGGCTATGGGATTTGTGGAAGGATGATTTTGCTCCGAACAGAAAGGATGAGCTCCAGCTACTTGAATGAAGCGTTACATCTAGTGATTTCTTTTCATGGGATCAATGAGGTTTGGCATGCGGATCGGCGCAAGGGGATAGGGTTCTGTGTATAGCATTATTCAGTAACCGACTTTATACATCGACATTTGCTTATTGGCCGGATGAACAGCTTTCAACAACAACAGCAGCGGAGTGATGCTTGGTTTTACTCAGTAATAGCATAATAATAAGCATTATGATTGTTCACACTATTTGTTGCACCCCACAGTATTCGGGGATGTGAAAATAGCATTAGATGAAGCTCGTAGATGCCCTATCCACTGACTAGAAATGTCAACTATCAACATATAAAAGTAGAAGTCTATGACCAATAGAGATAGTGGCATAGCATATTGATTGACCCCTTAAACGGACGTTTTCACGGTAGTATACGGAAGTTATTAGCTAAGAGGACCCTACGCTTCAGGTACGATATGAAACGGTATGATGCCATGATTCCGAGCATACCAGTAATGTTTCGATGATAAGTGGTCTTTTATATCAATCAGCTTGGTATTTTTGTTGCTCATACGATAATCATTCCTTTGGAACCAATTCAAGCCACTCTTCAGCGGGAGTTGTACGAACACGAAATTAAGGCGGCCAATCAACGCATATCAAATCTAAACTACTGTAAGGTACCCACCCTTGTTTTGTTGACTCCTATCGAAGATATATAATAGTTTAAATTTGTCGACATTCGCAGATTCGCAGATTCGACAACAAGTCTTTCACCACTTTCATTCCATTACCCAGATATACGCTCTCGTGTGCCGCAAATATATGCGCTTTTCGAAATGGGTATTCTTGAAAAAGTAGCTGGGCCATTGGCTCAAGAGATTTCGCAGCGGTCAACAGGTACTATTATCGCAGCAGGCGTGGTAGCTTTCATCGTTCTATCCGTCGTTCTCAATGTCCTGAACCAAGTGTTATTCGCAAATTCCAATGAACCCCCGGTTGTCTTCCACTGGTTCCCTATCATTGGTAGCACCATAACTTATGGTATGGATCCTTACAGATTCTTCTTTGATTGTCGCGCAAAGGTACGCTTTCCCTCCCTGTGTTTATAGCTTGGAGACTTACGTTTGTGTTTTAGCATGGCGATATTTTCACATTTATCTTGCTCGGAAAGAAGACTACGGTATATCTCGGACGAAAGGGCAACGACTTTATTCTCAATGGCAAGCTTAAGGATCTCAATGCAGAGGAAATCTATACTGTTTTGACAACACCCGTATTTGGAAAAGATGTGGTTTACGACTGCCCGAATGCGAAGTTGATGGAGCAAAAGAAGGTCAGTTCATTATCGACGGCACAAATGGCGGCTCAGTGACTGATTTATGCGGCAACAGTTTATGAAGATTGGCTTGTCTACAGAAGCCTTCCGATCCTACGTCCCAATTATACAAATGGAGGTCGAAAACTTTATGAAGCGTTCTTCGGTGTTTAAAGGTCCAAAGGGAACTGCCAATATCCCCCCCGCTATGGCTGAAATCACCATCTATACGGCTTCGCATACCTTGCAAGGAAAGGATGTCCGCGATCAATTCGATACCTCCTTCGCTTCCCTTTACCACGACCTCGACATGGGCTTCAGTCCTATCAACTTTATGCTTCATTGGGCTCCTCTTCCTCACAACCGTGCCCGCGATCATGCGCAAAGAACTGTTTCAAATACTTATATGGATATTATTCAGAAACGACGTGCTCAAGCTGCGGAAGCAGAGTTCAAATCTGATATCATGTGGCAGTTGATGCGCTCGTCCTACAAAGATGGAACTCCAGTACCAGATAAGGAGATCGCTAACATGATGATTGCTCTTCTCATGGCTGGTCAGCACTCGTCCTCATCTTCCATCTCTTGGATTATGCTTCGCCTCGCAGCACGCCCAGACATCATGGAAGAACTCTACCAAGAACAAATCCAAGCTTTAGGCGCTGACCTCCCTGCTCTCAAATATGAGGATCTGTCCAAACTTCCTCTCCATTCAAACATCTTAAAGGAAACCCTTCGCATTCACACTCCAATTCACTCCATTATGCGCAAAGTCACGACACCAATGCCAATCACTGGGACAAAGTATGTTATTCCAACCTCGCACACCCTTATGGCATCTCCTGGTTGTACAAGTCGAGATGGAGATTACTTCCCGGAACCACTTGAGTGGGATCCTCATAGATGGGATATGGGTTCCGGTCGTGTTATTGGAAATGATCAGGACGAAGAATTTCAAGATTATGGGTACGGAATGATCAGCAAAGGTGCTTCCAGTCCTTACCTCCCTTTCGGTGCTGGCAGACACAGATGCATTGGTGAACAATTCGCCAATGTACAACTCATCACCATCATGGCAACGGTGGTGAGATTGCTCAAATTCAAGAACATTGATGGTAGCAAGGACGTAATTGGTACCGATTACACTAGTTTATTTACAAGGCCATTGGAACCAGCAGTTGTGGCATGGGAGCGACGATAATGAATGGATTACTCGAGGGGGAAGTAACAATGATGGCATTGCATTGCGTGGAGTTTTTTTTTGAAGGTTTGATTCTATTAGAAATATTAATACACCCGACTTCTTTAAAGAGAGTCTTCTCTTATTTCAAAAAATGTTCCCTGTCTGTCAGAGTCATGTAATATATAATCATTAGAAGATCAACATCATCATTGCCAAGACATTTCAGAACCCAGCCTTCTGAGAAGTGTTACTGTTACTGTATAGTCAGTCTGTCTTGGATATTTGAAATGAGAGTGCAACAGCGAATTTAGTTTATAATATATATATATATATATAATAATAGAATGAAACATATAATACATACCTATATACAATACAATACAATACAATACAATACAATAAGTTAGGTTAGGTTAAAACGTTTTCAACCTCAGAGATCTGTGATATAAATGATGCAAATGACGAAGCTGATTGTTCTTGGAAAGCGGGCGTAATAGTAATACGGGTGGTCGGCTGTCTTCTTACAGTACTCGTACTATCTATCTATTTAGCGATAAGGCTGAATATGGCTGAATAGGCTCAGCCGAATGCATTGGGTTCAGATAAAAGGTTTTGTAGTGTTTCTTTTGTTTCTTTTATAGTACCTTGTTATTGATTCATATGAGTTACTTTTATATGGTTCTATCCACAGAAGATCTTATAAATTCATCAACCAATACTGAATCTTTCCCCCAAGAGATTTGCCGAATGGCTGGCTCAACAATTTCCCGTCACCTGCATCCGATCTCAATGTGTGCCGCTTTCCGCTTTCAGATTGATTTTACTAGTACAGTAAGATACTGAAGAATTGTGCCCCTCGGTTTGAGTAACTTGCGCTTCAAAGATCTGCAATGCAAGTCCGGTCCAATCGACTTTCATATACTACTCTCGTGGTACCGGACATAAACTCTTCTTATTATTTACTCCTTTACAATAATTTACTTCCTATTTTACTACCTCAATCCGTCGGTTTCGTTCCTCTGTTCCTCTTATATTTCTTTGCTTTCCCTCACTCACTGTCTATCTTTCATCCTCTCCCACCTCTTACCATTCTACGAAATCCTATACTACATCTTTCCATGGTGTACCTTGACAGCTAGAAGTCAAATCTGTTTCGCTTACTGTACAACCAATACTGCGAATCAAGGAATCTATTCGAAACCATGGCTTGCGCATCGTCTTCTTTGACGGTGGAGTCCTATGAAGATGTTACCACCAGTGCAATAGCGTCGGGGAGAGAGGATGCCAAACCCTCAAATAGGAGACGCCATTCCTCCTTTCACCCCAGGCGAACGAGCAGTGAACAAGTGATGGATGGCGAGGAAGGTCTGATGCTTAAGGTATTTTTCCGGGGAATATTTGTGGTATGGCGCATAGAATCTAATTGAGAGAAAGGTTGATATATTTCTGTCGGAACTCGAACGCAGATTAGATTTCATTGAGAAATATGGGAACCTTACCTTCGATTCGAGTATCTCATGGTCATATGCGACGTTACAGGCCGTGAGGACGAGATGTTCGCAGGTTTCTGGGGAGGTGTTGGGGGCTACGAAACGGAGGGCGAGGATTATGGTTGAGACTGTTGAATCGAGATACCAGGATGCTTTGGTGGCGCACGAAACATTACATGAGAAAGTCAACACAGGCATTGGGTTGCTAGAAGGGATTCTTTCGGAGTTTGAAGTGAGAGCGTATAAAGTAAAGGAGAAGGGTCTAAGAGGCACAGCGGAAAGTTTGATGGGTGAGGGGCGCAAAATGGTAGATGAAGGATTGGGAAAAGCAAGGGAAGTGGTTGACGAAGGTTTCGAAAGAGCGAAAAAGGCAGCGGGAACAGTGGAAGAACATATCGAGAACGCCATTGCTCGAGCGAAGAAACACGGACTCATCAGATACGAAGACCTACCCATTCCATGGCGTGTCAACCCCCACATCGTCAAAGGCTATCGCTTTAGTGAATCAAAAGTGGAATGTATACAATCGATGTTCGGATTATCAAACGAAACCGTGAATATTTGGTCACATGCCATCGGCTTGCTCATTGTTCTATCAATCGCCTTTTACTTCTATCCTTCCAGCCACGCATTTTCCCTGAGTACGAAAGCCGATGTCCTCATTGCCGCATGCTTCTTTTTTGCTGCTTGTAAATGCCTTGTCTGCAGTACTATGTGGCATACAATGAACAGCGTTGCTGACCAAACGCTGCTGGAACGGTTCGCATGTGTTGATTATACTGGCATCTCCCTACTCATTGCCGCTTCTATCATGACAGCAGATTATACAGCATTCTACTGCGAGCCGGTAAGTCGCTGGTTATACATGGGTGTAACCGCAGCCCTAGGCTTAGGGGGTGTCATCCTTCCCTGGCATCCAACCTTCAACCGACAAGACATGGCCTGGGCACGCGTCGCCTTCTATGTCTGTCTCGGTGCAACCGGCTTTGTTCCTGCCCTCCAACTCAACCTCACTCGTGGTGGAGCATGGGCAACGGAATTTTACGCGCCCCTTGCAAAAAGTATTACGGTCTATTTGGTCGGAGCATGTGTTTATGCTAGTCAAGTGCCGGAACGATGGTGTCCAGGCGCTTTCGATTACGTTGGAGGTAGTCATAACCTCTGGCATTTCGCAGTATTGGGAGGAATCCTTTTCCATTACGTAGCGATGCAAGAATTCTTTGCAAATGCATTCGCGAGAGCTGAGAACGGCTGCACGATGTATTGATTGATTGGTGTTGATTATCGTGGATGTGGTAACAAAGGTCTATTGACTGTATCACATCTGTCTATTTTTTTTGGTCTGGGTTGGGCATGGCGAAGGCGTTAGAGATTTTTGTATGGCATTGCATTGCGTTCAAGACAAAGTAGAGAAAGAGATAGAAAGTACCCGTGCTAGGGAATAGCTTGATATAATGCGCGTCGGTGGGATTTCACATTAGAGGAGATTAGTGCTCCTGCCCCCTTTTCTTTTACTCCTTCCTCCCTCTCTTGTTTATAGTGGATATAGACTTTGGTATAAATCCTACATGTATTATCTCATCAGCCACGTTATTAGAATATCTTCTGGGAGCAACGTATGAATATGATTTATCAATTTTGTTTTACGCATGTATTTATGTATGGATGAGAAGATGTGTACGAGTAATCAACTGAACTCAATGAAACTAAATCAAACCAAGTGGTTTTTTGATTCCCCAGACTCTACTCCACGAGTAATGGAATATTGATTTGAGGATATTTGGTGTGAAGTGATCAGATGATATCACATCATATCATATCATATTTTTGTGTTATTTGTTTGAAACTATAGTAGGAAGAATAACTAATAAGAGGTGCTAGGTACCTAGTAGGCTAGTTTGTTGCATGTATGGTTTGGGTTGGGTTGAGTTGGGCTGTGTCAGAAGAGAAAGGATAAGGAGAAGGGGGGAAGGAGGTTCATTTCGTTGACAAAAATGTAAGGAAGCGGGAATCAAGTGATCCTTATTCTATTCGATGTCTTGATTGACAAAAGGTTGTCTTCAGCCCTATCGACCTATTGCCCTCTCATACATGTCTAGCCTTTGCATCATACGTCTTTTTGAATGTGTGATCTTCTCCAATACACATCTTGTAAGCCAATTTCGCACAGTCCTCAGCTTGCTGGAGAAATTGTGGTGCCAGAGCAGCATAAGCATCGCAGAGATAAATCCATGCCTCCATCACCCCATCCATCATTAAGCCCCATTTTTCAATCACAAAAGGTTTCCCGGATATGGCAGGCAGGTACGCATCCTTGATGACGAAGCCCAGGCATTTCAACGCTTTCAGTGTCATGGATACAACTTTTTCCGCCATTTTTCGCTTGGCGTAAACGCCGGCTAGTTGGAGATATGGATATCGCAAGGCCAGTCGTGGGACCCTGGTCGCCGGATGTTTGTACGTTCCATCAATGGCAATCAACAAACGCTCGGCCTTGGTCGTGTTGATATTGCTCGCGTCAAGAGTCATTTTCAATTCTTCGAGAAGCTTAGATCTCCTTCTCAACTGCCTTTTCGATGTTTCTTCTGAATCAAGACAGATGGGACATTTGCATTGAAATCCCCAGTTTTTCAAATATTTCATTTCATTGCTCTCCCCCGTGGTAAGTGCATACCAGAATGTCAATTCCGTGTCTGTGGGTATATCACATGTCGCACGCACGAGTTGTAGATCGCCGAGGAAGCTTCGGTGAGCGTTGCTGAGGCATGAGTGATTGATTTTTGAAGCCATGAGCCAGATGCCGCAGGAATGGTGCTTATGGTCAGCCTCTTTGGGGCTTGTGAAGTAGCTCTCATGGGAAGAGAGAGGGCAGCCGAAGGAATTGAGAGCAATAATGTGTTCAATCAGAAAGCTATTTCAACAAGATTGAGTTAGTGCTTATCAAGTTGTTTCAGTGTGACAACTTACGTATCAACAACTGGCTTTTCATCAACCTCAGCTACTTCGGTAGGTTTATAAGATCCGTGATGGAGCTCGGTAAACTTTGGTAAAAGGGATGGGTTTTTCCAAAGCTTTTGTACGATATTTGTGATGAGGTCGCTTTGAGTGCCCATAGTCATTTTGTTCGTATGCACATTCATTAGAAGAGTAATCTTGGAATTGATCTCCGAGTCCTCTGAAGTTCCAGCATAGCAATGGGCGAACGCCTTCTCACACAAAAGAAGTTCTCCCGCCTCCACAGCTTTGGTGGTAAACATTCCTAAACCACGGCCCGGGGAAGGCTTCACGACTACTGATCCGACAAATGTTGCATGGTCCAGATGCGGCGGTCTGGTTGTTGAAATCTCCTTGTAGATTGACTCAAAATCGTATATGCCGCTTTGCTGCTCTGCTAACCGGCAGCAAACTCGCTTAAGTTCTGTGTCAGCGAGGGAGTTATTGGGATACTTCTTGCAAAGACTTTCAAACATATCGCGGCATTCAGAAAATCGTCCGAGCCCGTATAAGGCTTGACCCGCTCGATACAGTGCTTTTTCTGACGCATCCGAGAGGGAGATCATGCATTGGCTATCAGTCAAAGCCGCATCGAAGCTCGCGTCCTTCAGATGTGCCAATGCACGATTGAGATGGATTGTTTTTGTAACTTGAGCAGAAGAAGGACATTCAAGCGCAGCGGTATAGCTACAACACTAAGTGTTAGTGGAAACAATCTCCACGTGCCATAGAAGGGTCTATCTAATACCTTTGAATAGCCGCCCAATAGTCTTTCTTCCCCATCGCCTCATTCCCTTCTTGCTTCCAATCATCGGCAGTCTTACCAAGGATTACCGGCCTAGATTTCCACCTGTTGGGTAACATATCGCAGTGTGCATCGAGACAGACTAGATCGCTCACATGGTCGACCCGAAGGCCGTAACCCCCATCACTGGTAGTCTTGAGATAAGGCTCCTTGATGAGCAAAACATCATTCTTCATAATAACACTTGTGGCAGGACGAATCTTTTCATCCGGCTGTTGATAGATCTGTAGGGGCACCGCACCTGCATTCTCATCCTCAACAATCGCCATGATGGCCGTCATTCTATGCGGAGGCGTCAACACCCGAACCAGAAGATAATTGCCCCGGTGATGAGTTTCTAGTCTCAAATCCTTGATGTATACAGGCTTCAACTTCCCAAGAGGTGTGATCGATGGCTCGTATGGAATAGGGACAAAGGACGTATGCAGCTGAATAGAACCTCCAGTTCGAAACTGGGTCATCTCCTGGACGACACGCGCTATCATGAACTGATCGATGAGTTCCCGCCTAGATTTCATATCCTTGGGGCGCTGGCCTCGACGCGCCATGGCGGCGTTGAGAGCCGCTTTCTGTCGCAGCAGTATTTGTATGTACTGGGGAACTTCGGACACATTGTCAACATCCATTTTGACAAATTTTCTACCGGATCGTTAATCTTCGTCTGTGAGTTGAGGAATGAATATAATAGGGTTTAAAGCAAGTATCACTGAAGGAATCCCGGATTATGTTCATGCAACTAGAGCAAGTGTATCTATCTATCAAATGTGAGATCTAATCTTCCTGTTTCAGGTTTTGCTTTTTTTCCTGCCACCTGCCGCTTACTACCTGTTTGCTACCTGCTGCTAGCCAGAACCTAGACTGCACGTCGCCGTCGCCAACTTCCGTGGCCATATCACATTTTATGCATTTAGTGATTCCGTTCACTTTTCCTTTTCAGCTAGCTGTACTTGAGGATGTCATTACCCCAGGTTAAAGGGTTTGATACAGCTCAACGACCCGCATAGTCTCCGATTGGGTTCTGGTGTTTGAAGAGGCACCTTTCCTATCCATGTTGCCGTTACTAGTATGTTTGCATCGTCTAGTTTGTGTATACAAAAGTTTCATTTGGGGATAATGCACCTCGCTTTTCTTTTTTCTTTTTTACATATTTCGAATCAATCTATCTGCTTCTACGAGTATAGGCCGATACTGAGTAATCCTTCTTTCTTGAATCGATTTGAGATATTGAAATCGTTTGAAATACTAAAGCCATTCGAGATATAGAAACGGTTTGAGATATATAAAGTTTTTAATTCGTTTAAAACATTAATTGATATTCAATGATTGATAGATTTTTGAACTTGAAAATCTTTTGGGACCTGAACTGCAGTCCAGACTTTTGAAAACCCTGCACTTCATGTCCCATTTCAATGTCATCTAGAGATGTAATGTAAAAAGTTTCCCCAATAAGTTATTTCCAACGCCAAATTATATAATGCTCGTATGCATTCCAGATTATTCGTCACATCATGTGCATATCCCGACTTCACTTGGACTCATATTCCCACTGTCCCTTCCTTCATCCTCTCAATGGCAAAATATGCTGAATCAACACCTCCCTTCTGCATAACGGGCATTCTGGTTTCTCTCTAACCCAATCCCCAATACAGCTCCAACAGAAAACATGTCCACATCCTAACACACTTGGATCCTTCAGCTCCTCCAAACACAGAGTGCATTTTCTATTTTGCGCCCCCTTGATCCATCCCATAACTTGATTATCACTCAGATCATATCGTGCACCTGGTAATATAGGTGTATTTGTAGTTTTGCCAATAGAGCTGGCGGAATGGGGAATCGCGGTAGAGGAAGCGATGAGATCGGTAGGGGAGGTAGGGGTATCGAGAGGAATTTCTACGCCATTGGATATAATGGCGGAGCTTCCAGAGGCGGTGGAAGGAAGATCGGTGGAGAAAGTGCTGTTTAAGTGGAGGTAGGTTTGCACGCTCATTTGGAGGAGGAGAAGTACACCTAGGACTTCATAGCCTACACGTTGTTCTGATGGTGCAATGCGCTTTGTAAAGATGTAGCGGAGTCCCAACAATCGCTTAGAGAGTTGGTAATAAGAGCCCGAGAAATAAAAGACGGTAAGGGTAAGAGCGTGGATAGGTGAGGGTGAGGTGATGGTCGAGAGATAGTTGAGGATATATTGTTGGAATTTGTATGAATAAGATTTTTGCTGTGCTTTTCGGGTGAGTTTGCGGAGATTGGCTTCGAGCTTAGTGCGAATTCGGGTACGAAATGAAGGAAGGATCTTGGTGAGAGAATATGGAAGAAGTATTGAAGTTAGGATATAGCCTGCGCGGCGAGATATGGCGGGAAGTCTGAGAGTGTCGTCTTCAATTTGAACAATATCGCAGTACTCTTCTCCTAAGGTGCGGTTCCCAATAAATGTCGTGAGACCGAGATAGAGTAATTCGGAGACTGTTCGCGCTTCATTGGCATAGGTATGAAGGAATCTTGCTCCATATATTCGGCGTAGGAGATTCGAAAGATGATTCAGGAGAACTCCTTCAAAGTATGCATCTTTTTGCTGTGAGCGGATTATGTCTGGCGCTGACGCGAATGGGTATTGATATGAAGGACCTTTAGCCTCCGATAAGGAGATTTCAGATACTTGATCTGACATTATGTGTATTAGGTATGAGCAATAGATGTCATTATATGGTTGAAATTAGTAATTATCACGAAGATTGTGCGAGGATGATGAATATATAAAGAGCTTGGAGCCGAGGTCAAGACTACTGCCATCTCCTCAGCCTTGTGCCACGTGTGGCTAAGTTACATCGAGGCTATCTAACTCTTTTCGAAGCTCCACCAGTATCTATTTACATGTGGCTTTCTTATGTATCAGAGAGTCTCCCTTTCCAAACTGTAGCAACATCTTTGCGCATTTATTCGATCCTTTGCTTCTCACTTCAGTCTTTCATTCGAAGCTTAGGGAGTCAGGTGCGATGTTCTAATAGGTGCAACAATGGATGGAGACCCGGCTGTTGAGAATGAGCTCGACTCTTTCAGTCGTACTCTTCCTTTACCCTATAGAGTTGCATTGACCATTGTGTTAGGTATGTGTCGTTCGTTGTTCTATTATGTGTGAGTGCGAAGGCCAGTCACTAATTTGCGAATAGGTGTATGGGCTTGGGGCGCAAACCTTCATTATCTTTCAATTATAAAAATTGTAAGTCACCATTCCCATACAGTTCAGCGCAGCTCCTAACACACACACCTTACAGAACGTTCCATCACTCATACAATACCCACAACGAGCTTCTCCCCGCACCGATCCTCCGCATCATCTGTCTGCCTATCGACTTGCGACATTTCTCACATTCCCCCTCGTCCTTTCGATCCTCCTCTTCTGGACTCTCTCCCACCGTGACCCAGCTCTAGTAATCTACTATGACTTTCTTCCAATATCTTACATATGTCTCCTGTTTCTCGCCTTGTTCCTTCCCTTCCGCCACGCATCCTATTCTGGCCGTCTACATTTTCTCTCCGCCCTTAAGCGTGTCTCAATCGGAGGCATTGCTCTCCCCAATGAAGGAAAATTTGGCGATATCCTCCTCGCTGATGTCCTCACCTCATATGCGAAAATTATAGCCGACCTTTTCGTCTCCTTTTGCATGTTTTTCACCCCTTCTGGTAGCGCAACATCGCGACCCGACCGTGGCTGCGGCGGACAATATCTCGTCCCTATCATGATCGCGATACCCTCACTTATTCGTTTCCGACAATGCATAATCGAATATCTAAGAGTTAAGAATTCGCGTTCAACGACCTCTGGATGGGGCGGCCAACACTTAGCCAATGCGCTCAAATACTCTACAGCCTTCCCCGTTATAATCTTCTCCGCTATGCAGCGAAACCTCTCAGTAAATGAAACCTCAATAAACATCACTACGACAACACTCTATCGGCTCTGGCTCATTAGCGTCCTCGTGAATTCTCTCTATTCCTTTTACTGGGACATAGCCAAAGATTGGGACCTCACCCTCCTCAACCCTTCATCAAAAAATACCACTTCCTACCCCCTTCGACCCCGCCTATATCTTCCCTCACAAGATCTCTACTACATCGCCATCTTCCTTGATTTCATCCTCCGTCTCACATGGTCTCTCAAACTCTCTCCTCACCTCGACCATTTTGCCGATTTTGAAAGCGGCATTTTCTTATTAGAGATATTGGAGGTGGCTCGGAGATGGATGTGGATATTTTTGAGGGTAGAGACGGAATGGGGGCGAGAGAAGGAGAAAGGAAATGCGAGTGGGTTGCTAGGAGGCCCGGGGGTTGACGATGTTCTGTTGGGGAACTATAGAGATGAGGAGGATTTCAGTGATTGAGATTGAGGACTTTCATGTACGAGTAGAATTAGACTGGAGTTGATGCTACTATTTAACGAAAGTTGGATGCAGGATTGAAGTCATATTCTTCCGATGAGGGGTGTCACGCATATTTGGATGTCAGGAATAATTATAAAAACCAAAATGTACAAATCGAATGAATGTAGCATAGCTAGCTACTTCGAGGAAACGAGCAACATCTGGATTAATCGTCAATATACATCACTTACAACACAATCATCAGACCCATGACATTTTCTCAATCCTTAGAACAATTTCAAATACCCAACCTAACTGAGAAGATTCAGATATCTCATCGTCCAAACCACCATCCACTCCGTTGCATCATCAGGACACCCACCTACCCACCCCCTTTACTTTCCACCCTGTCCCTTCCTCACTCTATGGTACTGGTCTGTTCCATATGCATTCAGAGAAATAGTATTCATTATCCCTCTCCATCGATCCCCACGTCAACTATCCTTTTTCTCATCTGATTCTTTCAGATGGTATCTACCCGATCGATGCATGAATACCCACCTACCCACCCGCATTACTTACTGATACATACAAAAGACGCGATGAGTTCTCGCTCAAGCACCATCACTATCTACTTGAGTATCAGTGACATCATCATACCACATCCTATACCCTCATATCCTCTTTTCCCCCAGTCTGGAAGAGTTTTTTCCGTGGCTATCCAATTTATATTTATCCATCCCTCCGAACTACCTCGAGGATTAGAGATTAACTTCACATACATACATACATATATATAATGCTTCAAAATTTACAGTATGAAACAATTATCTAATGTAATGTACCATTTCACCCTTCCATCATTGGTCGTTATATACATAAGATTCCACCTCATTACAGCATACTTTAGATACCTCAACCCCTTTTCCCTTCCCCCTTCTCTCCAATAATCTTTGTGGATCTCAAATCCAATCCAATCCAAAGTAAATCAACCATGATATGATTCGAACAAAATCCCCGCCTGTATAGCCACGCCATTCTCCAGCCCAATGTCCCAACTGACTCGAGTCTTTTTGTTCAAGCACACAACACAACACAACACAACACAAAAATGTATAAGCATATCTGCCAACCAAACGGGAACGCCTGATAGTATTATCATTTTATCCTTCTCTTCTCTCCTCTCCTCTCCTCTCCTCTCCTCTCCTCTTCTGATCTCTTCTGATCTCATCTTAGAATACATACGACGCTGGGGAATCTGAACTCGAACAAACGGAGCTGCAATAAAACGGTTGGGGGGAATAACTAGTGCACGACGCTTCAATTGATCCAGGGAAATGCATGTAGAATATGCGAGCAATCGCCGAAGGAAAGGCCGGAAAGCATGAATTCAGAGAAGCGATGAGCCTCCTAATAGTCGTCATCATCGTCGCCTCGGCTCCCATCTTTTCCTCCTTTTCCTGGTCCATCCTTGCCATCCTTTCGGATTGGAATTTTAATACCTGTGCAACGCAATTAGAATCCATTTCTTCATGGCCTCGAAAGCGGGGTGTGGAAGTTTTCGTACCTTGTGTTGCAAAACATTTACTTAATGGTGTGCTTTCTACTACTCCAGGGAATTTCTTTGCCGAGTAAACTTTGAAGACGTCTGAAAAACATGAAGCAAGCACGGGGGCCTTTCCAGTATTCACAGAACACGATGAGTTGGCGTTATTCTGTGGTGGCGAAGGAACACCGACATTGACGAATGAAAAGCGAAGGCTGTCTTGATATTAATATAAGATGTACTAGGTAGGGGATGCATAGATTAATAAATGACTTACCGGAAATCACCCTCGGTTCGGACGGAAAGATCTTGAAGCACAAACCAGATCCCGATTCGGTCATCCGGGTCTGTGAGACGGAATGCGGAGGCCGATAAACTGCCAATGAGATTGCGGGTGAACATGCCTTGTGGAGGATTGGTCTGGCTTATGGGCATGCGACTCATGCCGAGATCTTGTGGGGTATACGGACGAGGGGGGTAAGGATCTTGGTTATTGTGGCTTGGGACGGGTTGGGATGCTATATAAAGCTGATTAGTACACATCTTTTTCTATTTGTGGTAACCAAACTCAAGAAGAATAGAGGTATATAGATATGGGTTCCATACGTTGCGGATAATAATAGTTTGACTGTTGAGATACTTGATATCCATTTGGAGGTGGATAGTTTGGGTTACCACCATATCCCGCTTGTTGTCCAGCTTGCTGTTGCGCGTATGGGCTCACCTGTGGTGGCCCTGGAAACGGATTGAAGCCGGCCCCTTGATACGGTAGCGCATTGCCATATGGTGGGCTGGTAGGTTCTCGTTGACTTTGACCGGGCAGTAGGTTCGAGTACGCAGTTGCACCTCCTTGTAGTTGTGTATAAGATACTGGAACGGTCGCTGAGATTGACGGCGAAGTTTGTGAGTGTCGAACAAGGTTGACTGGTCGGTCGCCGTCCGCTGACCACAAGTCCACGTTAAGCACAAACATCCCATGCTCGATGTTGCTATCAGGAATTTAGAATGGGCCATACATATATATGATGTTGTACTCACTTGACATCTACCTCTTTTCCAGTGGCGATTTCTGTGATAGTGAGTTTAACACATGGAGGAGGAGTGATAGGCCGACGATCCTAATCATGGTCAGTTCTAATCGAACATAAAACTACATGAGAAAGATATCTTCTCATAAGTTTTCTGGGTTTTTACCTTATCTCCAAATCCACACATTCGAGCTCGTTTGGGTTGTTGTTGTACTTCCAATCTGAAAGAGCAATTAGCAACGTTCACCAGGACGAAGGTATAAAAGTTTAATATGCCACCCCAGACCAAACTGAGGGGAAGACTCTATCCAAAATTTAAAAACATACGTGTATTTTCTCCCATCTACAGTAATAGACCGAGGCGATGGGTCTTGACCTGGAAGTCCAATAGAAAAAGCCGACACCGCCTCTGAAGATGGCAAATGTTCTGTTGGAGGAGGACGTGAAGCGGGAAGGGAATTATTATATTGTTCGTAAGCCGGAATTTGTGAATGTTGAGATGCCATTGTGTGAGGCATCGAGTACGGAGCTCCTTGATGAGGAATACCTGGTCGATATGCTGTATCGTGAAGGCTTGGCATGGTTGATCGAGGATGCATATCGCGAGGTGGTGAAGCATATGCTGTAGTATTCATGATTAATATATATTTTTAGTTGGCTGTCGTTTAAGACAGCCCAGCCTTAAATTATTCTTTGCTTCTAAAATTGGATATCCCAGATCTTGAATGATGCTGGCTGGGTAGACGGTAGAGTAGGTATGAAATGTATCTGAAATTTATGGATAATGAATGAAGTAGATAGGCTCAAATATGTATAAAGATGATGATACTGTAATAGATAATAGACTCCAAATATATTTCGGTAGCGAAAAGTCCGTCTGAAGGTTTTTAGTTAAAAGGAATAACCTTGTTGAAGATGATCCCAGTTGTAAAAGGATAATCTTAAAAGCGCGGGACCGCGATAGGATGCTCTAGCTCAGTGAAGCGTCGCACGCTAATTGATATATATATGTGGGAACTCGTAGTAGTGTAGTGTGGGATTAGATTGGGATTGGGAAGAAGGAGGTGAGAGAGGTAAACGAGGTGGGATATACATGTAATTTGAAGTTTGGAGAAGAAAGAAGTATGGAATTATTAAGTTGATATATGATTTATTGAGATACTGCTAAATAGATACCTCTAGGTAGATATATACGAGTATATATATTATATATACATGACTTGAAGACGAGAATTGTTACTGTTGCGTGAACTCAAAAAGTATTCTCTGTACAACCAACTCCTTTTTATCTCTTTACCTCTTTTGCCTCCTTTTGCCTCTTCTAAGGCTCCTCTGTTCCCTCTTCAGAAACTTATCAAATAGCTTCGAGATGGTTGGTTAGTTTTGCAATGGATGATATGGGATGTACAAAATAATAATAGGTTTTTTTCTGTTGTGTCTTAGGTCTTAGGTCTTTTTGAGGGGTTTTCGGCAGATGAAGGGGTGGGTAGGTCCGATGGAAGTAGTTGTGAGTAAGTTGTGCCTTGCTAGCTTGACAGCGGGCAGAAAAGCTTGGAAAATACACAGCCGCAAATGGAATTTATTTCTTGTCCAAGCTTTCATTTAATCCTTATAGTTTATTGTTGATCTCCCGGAACCTAAGCTGCTGGTACGGTATCAAAAACTTGTGGGGGGAGTTTTCTCTTTGGTTTCCTTTCCATGGGAGTCGTAAATCCTATAAGGCTTAAGGTTAACTATACCGGGTAGTCAGCTCCGCGGCTTGAAGGGTATCGATATCGATATGTAGGTACCCTCGAAGATATAAATTGGTACTTGGGTTATCAATAGATGGAATATATGATATGGCAAACCAATTGTTGAAGAATAGACAAGTTCAATATCAAAATTTAATCGACTAATAATTCTTATTCGTTTCTTGTTTTTCATCCTATCCCAAAAGTTTAAAAGGAGGGAATACGATAAAAACCTAGAAGGGGACCAAAGCACCAAAGCCCAAATTGCTGGGTTTGATCATGAAAATGCATTGCAGTAGTGCAGCCGTCACAATATTTGGATGAAAATTATTCCCATTGAAATTCGTCTGATACACAAAAGTATATTCTTTGGCCTCTGCAGTGTGCATACCTGCTTGATATGTAGCATAGCATCCTTAAGCATGAATTCCTAGAAGTTGGAAGCCTATTCGGTTGGTCGTGGGTAATTGTTTAATAGGCCAAGAAGAAATATGTATGGCAAATGTGCAACCCGGGATATGCACGACCGTTGACAGTCTGGGAATCTGGGAGCAGCTGGGCCCGTCGGAGGTGGGTGGTGTGCTGCGGCAGTGAAGCGGTAGTGCGGTAGGTAGGAGTTTATGATCATTTACGACATTGCGCTATGTAGGTATTGATGTCCGTATAGGTACGTCTTGATGACCTTTTCAAAGATGCCAACATTTGAAAAAACGTCATTTGAACATCATTTTGGAAGATTCTGTACCTCACTGTCCTTTCCATCTGAATTCGGGTCTTGAGCGAACGGTAAAGGAAGTCTTGGAATTTGTATAATTTTTGCTAGATGGAGCTTCGGACCATTAGATACCTTTTAATCTAAGATAAATTAACAGCTCTTCCAATCTCTCCGTCTTTTCGAAATCCAGATCGTGCTCATCCTCGAAGATCGTCAGGTAACCAGACTTTGATGGGATGAGAAAATGGCGAAGTTCGGCACACGGGTTTTCCTACCCATTCATACTCAACCATACCACTATCAATAAACAAGGATTTAATGATAGTGGAGTGCCAACAAGAATAAGAGAGTCCGATTGGTTTGGATAACGAATAACGCAAATGCCCAGGAAGTCGTTTACCATTGGGATGGTAAAATACCGTAGATGCAAGCATCAGGATCAGGGTTTAAGTAATAAGTATTCGTACGACGAGCGAGGGTCAATGTGGTCAATGTGGTCAATGTGTCTGACTTAGGGTTCCATTATCCTAGATGGATGGATGCCCAGGCAAGGTCCCTTCCTTCATCCTGTTTGGCTAAAAGCGAATTGTGTCCTCATGACTTGATGATTAGAAGGGAAACTCTTCATAACTAGAACTAATTGTGAGAAGCTAATCAATAAGCATACCCCAACTGTACTTTAGACTAATTTAAAGCTCTAGTAAGCACCTGAACCGCGTACCCAAAGTAATGCTCTTGCATCTGTTGGAAATTCATGAGATCGAATGAATTAGTCCTTGGGGTCCAAAATCCTACCCACCCAGCTAGGTAAGATAAGATAAATATACGGGTACAATTTGGAGGGGAGTTTATTGGGGGAGTTTATTGCGGGCAGCCGGGTAATGCTTTTTCGGCCAACCAAGGATGAGGAACAGCCCCAGGGCTCTTTTTTTGGCTCCAAGACAGGGTCAAGGACATGGATATCAGACGGAAGCTGGGAAGTCTTGTCCCTACAGAGTAATATCTATAGCTATCAATACAGGATTATCAGGGTAAAGCAAAGCCTAGAAGCTGGCCCAAGTGTGATTCTTGACTGAGTAAGTGACGAGTAAGTGACTGGGGTTTACATATCACCTTTTCTGACATGATAGATTGAGAAAGATGTGACGTTACTAATGGATTTGCATCTCGTTTTGTGATATAAATGCGGTAAAATTTTAAATATATATATACGGAAGTACATTGAGCTACTAGGTAATTCTTCGGCGATATTGTAGAATTGCAATTCAGGGGGTTATCGGAAGTGTCCAGTGACATCGCTATATAAGAGACTTTCTTTCATTTAGATTCTCATGCCTTTGTCTACTCTCTGTATTTGAGGATTTCAGGACAGACAATCTAAAAGTATAATTCAAACATTCATTGAGAGCAAAACAAGAATCTCCATACCAAGACCCTGACAATACCTCACCCCCGCAACATCCAATAAATCACATCTTCCCCCCTTACATTCCATCATCCACCCATACAACCCATATACCCCAGCAACTTTATTTCCAGATGACAGGTATATCTCCCCTCATCTCCAAACGGCTGCCGTGTTACCCCGAGCCCCTCAAGCACCACTCCAAAAGTGGTCTTATTCCTTTTCCATGTAACTTTTCTGTACCTCCTTGCCACGATCCGGTATCACAGTTTCGTAAGCTGCATACCACCCCATCTTATTTCCCCCTTTCTACGACCTGATCTAGGTAGGGTAGGGACAAATTTGCACATGCGTACAGTATAGCTGTGCGTACCAGGGGATTGATTCTTTCTCTACATATTGATGCATGCATCGATCATGTACCGTGTATATACATATTATGAGCTCGCCAACCCCGAGGCCTCGGGTACGTACCCGAGGAAAGGGTGCCGGGATAACTTTGGCGTTACGTTGTGCTGTAATTTCTGCAGCCAAGACCGTATCTTCATATATACCAATTTCGAAAATCATGCTTTTCAGGAAGGATGTATTTTATGTACATCCTAGTAGGGAATCTGGGGTTGCAGATTCCGGATTGAAGCTTTCTGATATGGTGAAAACGAAAGGTATCTAGACGATCCCGTCACCGCATTACTGTTCATAGTATCTTCCTGCCGTACCTGAGGTAACATCCCGGGGAGATGGGGGGTCCAATGTCCTCTGCCGCAGACATGTTCATAATGAATTTGCAAGATTTGTCGACGATGATAATTTGTCACCGGTTAAAATGTATGACCATTGCGAAACCCATATACCACCAGGCATGCCTAACCACCCATTTGTCTTACCTGTGCCGCGCGATTAATTGTACATACTTGACATCTAAGAGAACACGAGATATCATCCATACGACTGCCGAACAAGTGCTCTTTACGAACTTCGTGTGATTTCCTATTATAGAAGCCTTTGTTGATGTCAATTTGCAAATCGGTGGGGAGCTAGGTAATATCTGCATGCATGTAGTGAGAATGTGTTTTGTTGCATCACCCCCAAGAGAGCCACCAACATCATACAACATTTGCCGCCCCCGGGAAACCACTGGTACGGTCCACCCTTCCAAGAACCTGGAACAGGTCAATCGAGTACCGGCATCAATGACTTCATTGGTGGAAAGTGCCTATATGGTTATTGCATCTATATTAAGGACCATATACATATACAATAGCTGGCACGGAAGCCAGTTGTCAATAAAATCACGCTGCAATGCTCTGCTGTCTGCTGCTTTCGAACGCCATGCTCCAACTGTGAAATGCCAACCATCAGTGAGGAGCACCTCCATATCCCCCAAACTTAAGCAAATCCGGCGACGCCTGGTATCATTCCATTCTACGCCTGAACGTCCATCAAGATTATTTAAGCCTTGCCCATCCTTTCCTTTAACCATGCCTTGCCCTTGTCCGCTAGACCTTTCTCGGTTTCGTGTTTGCTGCTGTCGTGCTTACTGTAATCGGGCTCATCCTCATCTGAGACTGCATCATCCCACTTGCCATCTTTGCGTGCTGCAGCAATGTCGGCCTCGCTTGGGTTGAAAACGTTCGCTGCGCCACCCCGTCCGACATGGCTTGATGATGATGGAGATTCTCTCCTTGGGTTACTAGAGGATTTTGGATTAGAGTTCGGCATTGCTTGACTTTCAAGTTGACTTTGAGTCTTATGATTCGACCTACCCAACGACATCTTGTGCCTGCTTTCTGTCAGCTTAAATCATATCAAGAAAGAGAGTGTTAGAAGACTTACTCGTCTCGCTGACTCTGGATCGGTGTTCTTTGTCATATTTCCGCTTCCTCCGCGACCGGTTGTATAGATCTCACCTTTAAGCGTAGGAGTGTTGAGAGTGAGAGGCTCCGAATCGTGGGGAGAAGTTCCAATGTTACCTAAACAAGTAAAGGTCAATCAAGTAAAACGGCCGAGAGTATATAGGAAACCTTACCAGCGCCGCCACGACCGTGAGAGAGGTTAGCTGATCGAATGGAGGAAGACGAAGCGCGACGAAGCTCTTCTTCGGCAAGAAATTGAGGTAAAGCAGCCATTTTGAATGGTTTATGATGCCTCGAAAATTGGACAAAATCCGTTGTCTGATTGTGAGGTCTGAACTTGAATCGAGGTAGAGTAAGGTAGATAGATGTGTTGTTGTTTCACTTTAGATGATGGTCGCAAAGTTCCTTTGTCCTTTGTTCAAAGTTTCAAAGTCTCAAATTCTTGCCGATTTCACCAGCAAATGAGTGAATTACACCTTCGATTGCGTGATGATGTATAACAGTTTGAAGGTGATAGCAGAAATAATAATAACATTCGAAGCAGAGCCTGATCTGATATTGCGGGGAAGGGTATACTTATACGTTCAATCCACTCACTATTACGATTACTTGAGGCGAACACAACGAGGGGTTTTCCTGCAGCATCACACAAGAAGAAAGAAATTGAATAAGGACTTTCTCCATACAGTCTTAGCCTTTAATTCCCCTTGAGTCAAGCAACTTCCTAAAATTAAATTCTCCTCGATCTTTCATATCACATCATGTGGTACTATAGATTTAATGCTGCTGTGTCCAGACTAAGATAGGCATCCGACAAACTGGGCAAGTCATTCCAGGAGTAGTCTTTTGGCGCCCTTCCTGTTTAGTTTTGAACGCCAGTCCAATTTTTGAGACATGACTACTCAAATGAGCACGAAATGAATAGGATAGCTACAAGTGTTGAATGCGACAACAGCGGTGAGGATTTTGATTTCCATTCAGAGCCAATCGAAGGAGGTAGTGATACTAAAAAAAAAAAAAAAAAAAGAGGAAAAGCTGAGCAAAAGTTCGAAGTTTTGGACCGACCCGGGTATAGGAATCAAAACGTAATGGAAAATGCACGAGACTCACGGGGGCAATATGGCGCCATTCTCCTCTCCTATTGGGGAGCCTTGCGTGGCTTCCAGAATAAATGACAATCTTCCGTGGGATCTTGCTTTCATGCCTTTCTTTGCATTGGAGAGAAGTCGAGGAGAAGCATCTGTCAGCGGCCGATGGGACTCTACAGTATCCAAGTACTGCGTAAGGGAATGAAAGGATGGAAGGATGCAACCAAAATGTGCAATAGTACCGGTACTCGTAGACTATTGAATGAATGCAATACTTAGGTACGCCCCACAATCGAAAGAAAGTAGTTATTCTTGCCATCTTGATGATTTTATGGGCAACTTCACGAGGCTCTACTCAAAGATTCCAATGTCCCAAAATCTTTCATGAACATTTCATTGGAATTGTTCTTCATTCGCATGGTCATAGCTCCTTCGGTTACCGCAGACGCTAGTGAGGACCTGGAGCTATGAATTGATGCAGATTTTTTTCTTCTAGAAAACTTCTGCAACACAACAACACAATCTTTTGGGAACATCCTCTTCAATATCTGGAAGAAGAATAACAGTTCTTCGACTCCAATCTCGACTTCAGATTATACTCATCTGGTTCATTCATTTGCAGACGATGAGGCTACCTCTGATTTAAATTTGATGTGTGAGCTATCCACGAACACGATCCAACTCTGCTCCTATTTGGTGTCGCCAATACGAAACAAATATATACAAAAAGGGCAGTGGGCGGATATGCATGGGTACATGTAAGGTACACGGTAAAAGCTGTCCAATTGAACAGATTTGCGTTTTCTCTTCCTTTCCTTTCCTTTCCCGTTTCCTTTCCCATCTTCAAAATACGCCAGCTTTCAAAACATTACTTAACGGCACTCGATTTCTTCAATAAAACGAGATGTTTTCGCGCTGTGCGAAGAATACTTATAACCCGTTGCTGGGCGCCTGACTTTGAGATGTCGTTTAGACATTTCTGAAAGGTTGGGAATCAGCTGAGGCTACATTCTTCTACTCTTTTTCAACATTTCTTTGATGGGCAATATCAAAGGCTTGAAGATTAAGACAATAAATGTTCCATGCATTGGTTCATACTTGTACTATTTGGTGCTTGATCCTGCTATCTCAAGGCTCAAGATAACGGCCTTGATATGTATGGCAATCAGTCGTCTGATTTTGGTTTTGATTTCACCTGTGGAATAAAAAGAAGCCTACAAATTGGAGTTCAATGGAGAATGAGGTGACTCCCATTTTGAAGTTTGGCATCTTTCTCCCAAGAGTCATGTTTCAAGACCACCAAAAGCCGTCGCAGACATTCCATTCATAGAGGCCCAATAATATAATAATAAAGTGCATCGATTATTAGCCTGCCTTGTACTCAGTATTTACAAATCTATATTCTTACAGTTCAATTATCTACAAAGTGCCATGAGTCCTGTGCAATTTCTGTGGCCAATCCAAACGTGCGTTCCATAATGCGACCTCTTCTGTACTAGATTTCGCCAAAATGTCTATTGCATCGATCCTCAACAACGTTGCCCGCCATAATTCAACATGTCTTAGTAAGATTTTCAGGGTCAAAGTTCCTGTGATCCTCGGATGTGATACCAAATCTGCCGCATCCCAATCACAAAGCTTGATCTATTAATTGAATTTCGATTGGCGATTCCCGAGCGCCTCCTGTCAGTTCAGATGCACTCACAACGGCGGCTACTGACAAGAAGCAGCGACTGGAAGAAGAGAGAAGATCACAGTCGAGCAAAGCAGATATTGTCCTCAGGCCCAGAGGACACGCCATGGTATTGTGTTATGGCTGGGCGAACAACCCAACTTCGCATGGGAAGAGCAGAATGCAGACCTCGATACGGATATTCGGGAGAAGACGCTTGTAGTCGATGGGAATGAGGATGTTTACTATACTTGCAAGAATATACTGCTTGCGCGATATGTGTTGTCGACTGCGGGGTTCCAGATATAGGTGATGTGAGCTTGCTTTGGTATGGAAGTCTCAAACTGTTGCTGATCAGTGATGCCGATTCTACTGCTCTGGCATGAGGAGAGATTCGGTAAGGTCATGCGGTTGCTGATGGAGAGGGGACCGGTTCTTGGCTCGGATAAGATGGCTGTTGGGTACATATATATACTGTCCCGAAAGCAGAGAAGAGTACAGGGAACAAAGCATATGGTGCGATCTGGCTTAGTCAGCCTTTCGCTTGAAGGACTTTTGACACACATCGAGGGCAATCCGGGCCCTTCAAAGTCCATACCCAACCCGAACCTATCCCTCCATTACATCACTCTAATTATTTGTTAACTTCTCAAGTACGCCGTGACCTTCTCACCCCATAAAGGGCCTCTCTTATAGTAATGTATCTCGGGTACACTTCCCTTTCTCAATCCTTCAATTGCCTCTGCTAATTCCTCTCCCAAACCTTCTTCTTTCACCTGAGTGAGTGGTGTAAGGTATGTTTTGAAAGAGAATACCAGGGCGTTAGTTTGTGGAAGACGGTGTACCAATTGACGTTCGCAGCGGAGATGCGTCTAGGGTTGTTAGATTGTGGAATACGAATATGAATATGAACATGCGGAGCAAGATAGAAGCTCACATCGTTAATATCAAATTCCTCGGCTTCGACTTCTTCATTTCATAAAGGTGGTTCCCACTCGCTGCAAATAAGCGCGAATGGGTAGTTATTGACCACTACGAAGTATTATTAACGCGTTACTTCTCGAAGATTGCTGGAGAAGCTTGCATTAACTCTCTTGATTATCTTTCCCACCTCCAGTCGATCAAAATTCCGATACATGCTCGTTTCTAACTTCTCCTTATATTTTGGTACGGGTTTGTGGATATCCCTTAATTTCTTACCGAGCAATGCTTGAGTATCGAAACCGCTGGGGAAACATGCAATGAACCCTCCCAAAATATATCCATCGCCATCAGGAGAAGGGACGAGGAGGAGGAATTCGGTGTCGATATTTGTACCTAAAGTATGAAGAGCTTGAAGGGGAGATGAGGGAGTGAGGGGGATATGATGGTCTGTTGCCTTGTTCAAAAGGTAGGTTGGGGTAAGCGAATAAATGGTTGGGAAGCGAGTGGGGAGATAGACGGTAGTTAGGTAGGTATAGAGTTCTTGGATTGCGGCATAGGATGAGGGGAGAGCTTGAAGAACGGTGGGGGTGTGATCTCTTATTATGCTGGTGCGGATGGCGAGGCGGTCGAGGTAGGTTCGGTCCATTTCTATGAGTTCGGATGGAGGGCATGATTGGAGACCTTTGTTTTGTAAGCAGAGGTATTTGAGTACGACTTATATATGGGAGTAGTAGGGGAGGGAAATAAATACCCATCGTCATATGGTATATCGGCTTGAAAGGTCGAATTTTGACAGGCTCGGTGGTGCGCCAGTCAAAATCTAGCAGGGGAATGATGGATGATAGATCAATACTGCTCGAGGTCCTCTCATCGTTGAAATTGGGCTGATAGAATCGATTAGATTTTGAGTGCAATATAAGAGTAATTTGAACGTTCTAGGCACTGTACCGCTTCATCTCGTCGAGATATCCAAAACCTTGAGTATGGTTTCCATATTGCATATGCTCCAAAGATTGCTACCCCGAGAAATTGTAACCAAAACATCATCATGTAACTAAGCTCAAGCGATGAGAAATCAAAGGAGAGGCGAGTGAGTACTGTGTATTGAAACCTTTTATCTCAACAGTACTCATTATACCTAATGATATATATACGAGTACAACGATTCACCCCATCTCTACTTCAGGAAAACCGGCCCTGAATCGGAAAGTCCAGCCTATGATTAGATAGCCTGCAATAATGACTGTATATGGAGATGTAGTCCATGATGATAACATGGTAAACACTGCTTGAACATTAAGTATCTAAACCAAGCTCTCAACATATCTTGTCTTTGCTATCATGTAGATTATCGAGAGAAACGACGTTGAGCTGAAGATATAAATGAATAATCAGACATCGAACATCGATAAGGTTAAGGAAGTGCATCTCCTCTCACGTGGGGCGGAAATGCTGTCTTGGCCGCCTTCCTTCGGATCGTCAGCTCAATCTTCAATCCCTTCCCACACCGTTATTGCTATAAGATGAAAAGCCATTCAAATTTACAGCAAACTGGGGCCCAAATCTCGAACCCGCTTCATTCCAAGTGCTTACTGTTAACTCGGAGTTCAGAGACTGCATTGCATATACGTGCTCTAATCAAAAGCTATTGATGTATCTTAATAGAGCTACCTACCCTTACTGGCTTAGCACTGTATATCATAAAGAAATACGTGATGAAAAGCATGACTTTGCTAAACCGCACACCATCGCAGCTTCCTGTTTAAGTATGGTTGGTACGCAAGGTACTATACTACTAATGGGTCCGCGGACTACGTGATATCATATAATTTGCGTGATCGAACAGCAATTCCATCTCAATTCCATCTCAGTTCTATTTCAAAAAATTTCTCTTGTTTCCACTGTACACCTTCAAAAATGAGGTGCAATATACTCCTGGCCAGTGTAGTCACTGTATCAATTGGTTCGGCATGTGCTTCTATATTGACCAAAGTCGGTACTGTGAAAGAGTCGGCGATATTAGTTCCTCGGAGGGAGCCTTTTCCTTACGCGCCTTACACCATAGATCAGCCAGTGCGTAGAAGTTGCCGGTTCCGCTCCGTCCACAAGTTCTAATTTTTATATGTAGATTGATCATTTCCCAGATGATCCAGTTTACGCTCCACACACAAATGCTACATTCAAACAAAGATATATCTTCGATACGACGTACTATAAACCTGGAGGTCCTGTCTATCTCTACATTGGAGGAGAAACCAATGGCGAGAATAGAATCAGCAACCTTGAGACTGGAAGTATGTTACAAGCTATCGGGGATTGGGCTATGTTGCTGATGATCTCTAGTCATTCAGATATTGATGGAAGCTACAAATGGTCTTGGAATTATCCTCGAGAACCGGTATTATGGCGAGAGCTGGCCATTTAGCACCAGTACCACAGATCAGTTGGCATACTTGACTAATCAACAGAGTACGTACCATGTAAATCATCTTTGAACTGCACCCAGCTAACAATTTTTGCCAGCCGTTGCAGATAATGCGTACTTCGCTCAACATGTAGTCATACCTGGTCTCAATGCTAGTATTAATGCACCAGGCACCAAATGGATACTTTATGGAGGTTCTTTGGCTGGTGGTCAGACTGCGCTATCAGTGAAGTAAGTGTTTCATTTGTTTTAACGTCACCTGAGGGGATCTAGAGATCTCGGATCGCATTGTATGGATTGTTTGCCATTTGATGGCGGAACTCGCAGATAAATGTAGTGCAACAGAACTAATACTGTTCCTTAGACTCTACCCGAAAGTCTTTTTTGGTGGTATCGCTGCCAGCGCTCCTGTCAAGACTGTTGTGGGATACCCAGAATGGTTAGCCAACGCCATCTAAACTCTTCATCTGTGGCATTCTGTACTAATTTTGTGCTCAGGTACAATCCGATACAGAAATTTGCTCCTCAGGATTGTGTTGCAAGCATTACCGACATCATATATAAATTCGATGCCCTTGTGTCTGCCAACAACACACGTGCCATCAAGGAATTCAAGTCCTTGTTTGGACTTGAGGCTTTGACTGACAACAGAGACTTCGCAATGGCCATTGCATTTCCCAGTCAGATATTCCAAACGCTGATAGGTTGTATTGTGGCTAACGCAAAGCAGTTGGAGGACCAATGAACTATCCGATGGGTACATGGCAAGATCTAAACTGGAGTCCGTTGTATACTTCAAACGATTTCTGGAACTTTTGCTCGAACGTCACGAACCCCGATGCACCCAAGAAGATTACCGAAATCGATTACGCCCTCTCAAACTATACGAGAGGGGAGCCATGGACAAACCTGGGAAATTATGCCACTTATATCAAGAACGTCCTGATCCCACTATGTGGTGGTGCCGATATTGATAGCACATCGTGTTTTGGTACCCAGAACGAGACGTACTATGCCGACGTGACAAATGGAGCAGGTCGTTCATATCTCTATACAAGTATGCTTTCCTCTGCAAATTTACCAATCTGTTGTATACTGACTGATTACTTAAGCATGCCTTGAGCTTGGTGCTTACCAGGTAGCTCCCGAGACTGGTCCATCATTAATTTCTCGAGTGCTTCAAGCAGACTACACGTAAGTAATCTCCTCTTTCTGGCATATGCAATACACTAAACTCGAACAAGCCAACAATGGTGCACCTGGGCATTTCCACCAGGAAAATACAATTCCATTCCGCCAGTCGTCAACGTCACTCTCTGGGGTCAATATGGCGGGTACAATTTCTCTGCCGATCGCCTAGCTTTTATTGACGGAGGTAAGTAATTGTCAAGTCCACTGCATTTCAATCCTTTTTCTCCATTTACCCCTATTCACATCTCACCATATATTGACCTAAAATTTAGCCAACGACGTGTGGCTCGACCTCTGCTACCATTCCCACTATGCACCCAGCCCCCGCATCTCCACGGATCTCCAACCCGAATTTCTCATCACGGGCGCAGGCCATCATTGGGATTCCTACGGCATCTTGGATATAGCAGCTGAGCCATTGTTCATTCAACAGGCGCATCTTTGGGAGATTAGAATTGTCAAGAAATGGTTGAAGGCGGGTTGGTAAATGGATGAATATTATGAGGTATGACTGATGATTTAGATGATTCTCGATGAAGTACAAATGTATGTAGCAGCGTACTATAGAACACAAGGTAAATGTATGTAGTAATTGTCCATTTTAATTACATCAAGCAACTGTTCACCATGTACAGTACACTAGGTAGTGAAGATGACTCTTCCTGACAAACTAATTTTAAGGTACAGTCCCAGTGAGTCTCCTTCTTTGCCTGCCTTTCTGATATCCAATACCCAGCGCGAGCTTTCCTTCCAACATCTCTTCACCTTTCAAAACTCAGTGCCCTATGAGTTCTTCACTTTTCACACTTCTATATATATATACTTTATGCTTCGCTCTTCTCACTTTGCTCTTTGCTATTTTCGCTTATCGAGCTTGTAAATCTTACAAGAAAGGAAATGATTTAAATTCTACATATATATGTATATATCGATCGATCCCGCCATCCCCTTTCTTTCTTTCTTTCTTTCTTTCCTTCCAAGATCCAACTCCGAGTATAAATACTTCAAGATATATCTATCATCTGATATTAACAGGTGGATGTCACAGTACTCTATAATAGTAAGTCTCATATCATAACCCAAGACACGAGCGAGGCAGAGTAGAATATATATACTCGAGTAGTAGAGCCCATAAGACCTTACGAATAAGCATACTGTAGTAGCATACCACTCCTAAAGAATCCCTAATCTCGATATATATAATTCAAGGAATTGTCAAGAAGATCTAGATTTCAAATCGGAACGAGGTATAACTACGAGAGTACAAGTAATATAATAAGAATAAGAATAAGAATAAGAATAGACACAGAAGTTAAAAATCACGGCTGTATGTATGTATGTGTATTATAAAGAATGAGAGAATATCAAGATCAGAACAAAGTTCCGTTGATGTGGAATCTACTAACTAGGTAGTACCTACTCGAGTAGTTCGATAGGAATCGATGGTTGACTGCGGAGGCTGACACTGGAGTCTGGACAGGGAGGCGATTTTCACTTGGGACTCACTTCACTTCACTTGAGACTCCCATTCTAATTCATTTAATGAAAATGAGTAATTAGAGACCGGCTAGATGGGAACAGAGAAATTGAACCGATCTATTTTCGAGCAAAGGATGGGAATGTTGGGCTGTGGGATATATTTTTTTCACCCATGATGGTAGTTGGGGCTATAGCATTGAGAGAAGCACATCTAGACAGATACCTAGGTAGGTAATACAAGCACTTCGGGCAACACTTCAATATGTTTTGAGCGTTTCTTTCGTTTTCGTTCTTAAGCTTTTTAATATTGATCTATGCATATGTAATAACCACAGGAATAGATAGAAAAAATCCATCAGCCTCGAAATGCCATAGCTTTTAGCAACTCCAACCCCTACATGATCGTAAAGGACAGAAAAAGGAAACATTTCAGACTATGAAAAGAAGTTAATTCCTCATGAAATAATCTCCTCGGTCTCCTCAACAATTTCCTCGACAATCTCTTCAATCTCAATGGCCTGTCCTTCATCACCACTTGCCATCTTAGATTTGAGAGGCTCCAGAGGATCAAGAGGAAGACCCGCATCTTCTCGATAGGCTTTAACATCCTCTTCCATATTGGCTCTCCACGCAAGCCACTCGTCCAAGAGTCTACGTCTGTGTTCGACAACGGCAAGATCGGCGGAAGCACCACGATCGGAATCTTCCTGGTCGAATACTTTGCTGTATTCACGGAGGTTCTTGCGGATTTGCTTTTGTTCTTCTTTGGAGAGTAGAGTGGGTGGTCGAGGACGCCATAACCATTGCTTGAACTTCTCGACTGGTTCTTCGCGAAGCTGTTCGCCCTTGAAGTCGTACAAATGGTAACCATTCTCCATCTATTTGATAATTAGCATATTGATCAATAAGAAATGATGGCTTTACTTACGGTGTGCTTCCAAATACTGGCACTGGTAGCAACGAACCGTCCTGTGGGGTCCCAGTCAATATCTGTTACACCATAATGATCTGCAGTATTCATGAGTTGTAGATTGGCTGTCAAGTCCTTGTCGCTTTCAGGTTTCTCGCCCTCGAAATCCATATCATAGAACTCCATGTCGAAACTTTGTTGCGAGTGAACTGTAGCTACAATGACAAATCGACCCTTTGGAGACCAGTAGATGCCATTACTGTTCTTTTTGTCATATGTGCGGATGTGCTTGAAGTTACCGACACCATTGCCCTTGATCTTTTCTGGGCAAAAGAATGATACGGATGTCTTGGGTGGAACGGCTGTAGCTGCAACAACTTCTGCGGTCGTGATGATAACGAAACGGTCACCCTTGGGTTCCCAAGCGAAGTTGATGACGGTGTCCTTGATTGAATCGACAACCTCGACAGGTACCCCCTTTTCTTTTACACGGAAGATCTCCAAACTGGTTGCCAGAGATTTCTTAGACTTCGAATGTCTATCAACCTTTACACACAAGTATGATGCGTCTGATTGCCAATGGAGCTTTGCGTCGGTAACACTGAAAAGGTTCAATGTTCGGACAACTTCTTTAGATGGAATGCTCATCAATCCGACCTTGGCTGGGTTGCTGCCAATTTCAGGAGTCCAGTAGCAGAACAGTTGCTCATAGGTCTTGACACCTTCACGATGTGGGGTTGCTGGTGCCCAGTCAAAGTCCATCACACCGTCAATTTTGATTGAGGTTTTGTCCAAAAGGTTCATTCTAGGTAACTCGTAGACGGAGATCGATGAGCCTTGAGTCAAACGGGCAACATATTTGTCATCTGACGACCACTTGAAAGCTGGCCATTGAATCTTTCTCTTGACAGGATTACCGTCTGCATCAACGCTGTTGCTTGGTAAATCGATATTAGCGAATGACCGCAACGGCAAGCCGGTCTCAATATCCCAAATAACATAGTTCTTTCCATCATCATCAACCGACAAGGCTGGGTGTCCTTCCTCTCCAATGGTGATTGGTCGATTTGACCATGTTGTGAGGTATTTCTCTGTTGGCGAAAAGTCGACAAGGTTGACGAAGGGGTGTGCGAACCGCTTTTGTCTAGTCCAAGATGGTCCACCCCAGAGCTGTACACCTTGCTGATGCATCGAAGTCAAGAAAGTACCTTGGGGTGACCATTGTACGAACGACTCAGTCCAGTGTTGGCGATCGACGATGCTTTCTGGTGCATCCTTCTCGTTGTTCCAAAGGACTTGTACTCGGTCATCCTTATACATGACAAACTGATCTCTTCCACGTTCGGTTGGGTCCGCAAGCCATGATCTCAAGTGCTCCTTCTCGGTGAAATCATCAATCTTTGGAGGGGTGTAGTTCTCGTCGATGCGTCCTTCGCGACCATAGCGATCAATATCTGTCAACTTGTTGACTCGTAGAGTGTGTTTCTTATCGAGGGGTACGCCGTCAAGAGCTTTGCATGCAGCAATAGCCTCAGCAGGAGAGGAGTATTCTACGAAGGCAAATCTATTTCTATCAATATATAAATCGAGGCACAAAGAATGTCTGAAGCTTACTTATGCGACTTGCCATCTGGTCCGAGGGGCATGTGTATTGAGTCCTTTTTTGTTTGACCAACAGAGTCTAATTTTCTCAATAGAAACTTGATGAGCTTCGGCTTGGTATCTTCGTTGACTTCTGGGAGGCCATCGATAACAACAAAAGTATCGAGTCCTTGTTCAAGTTGGACTTCGAATCGTTCTCTTAAATCCGAAATATCGAGCTCTTCCTCATCGTACTCGTCCTCCTCCGGATCTGGGAGATGATCGAAACTTGGCGCCATGATTGCGATATAATGCGATCAACCAGCAGCGATTTGCGCGTTATTTTGTCAGTTCGATTGTTGTTGTTGGAGAGTTTTGTGTGAATTCGTTTGGAAATTTTGACCCCACTAGCCCACTTCCGTATAGTATAGTCTATTCGAAATGAACTCTTCGATATGATTTTAGATAACGGATATTAATTTGTTGTAAGTTGTAACCAAAGTCTGAACCTGATTATTTTAGAAAACAACAAAGGACAAAATTCCCCTGAAAAGAACGTGAGTGGTGGATTCTCAAATTAAACAAATTAGACAAGGCTGTCAAAAATTCGATTTTCCCCAACTTTTTAATTTTCGTGTGCGAGCCACTAACGAGCAATTTTAGAGCCACATTAGCGATTACTATTCGACGCGCCCCTAGAAACTTTACGCGACGACGAGGTGTTTTCCCAAAAAAACTGTAGCATATCTCGATACAAAGCAAGATGGCTTCCTTTAACCCAACCCAGATTTTTGAAGATGGTACGACCGAGGAGAAGGGAGAGAACGCTCGTCTCTCTGCTTTTGTTGGTGCTATCGCAGTTGGAGACTTAGGTAATTTGAACCCCTCCCATGAAGCTTTGAAATACAATTTGCTGAACGCCTCTGTAGTCAAATCAACTTTAGGACCAAAGGGAATGGATAAGATTCTCCAGAGCGCAAGCACCGGCGAAATCTTAGTCACAAACGACGGTGCTACTATCCTCAAAGCTATCGCCTTAGATAACGCAGCTGCCAAAGTTCTTGTCAACATTTCTAAAGTTCAGGACGACGAGGTCGGAGACGGAACCACTTCTGTTACAGTATTAGCTGCAGAGCTTCTGCGAGAGGCCGAGAAGCTGGTTGACAAAAAGATACACCCGCAGACCATTATCGAAGGTTATAGAATAGCAAGCCAGGCGGCCCTTGCAGCGTTGGAGAAGTCGGCGGTGGACCATAGCAGCAATGCCGACGCTTTCAGAAAAGATTTGTTAGCCATCGCACGCACGACTTTAAGCTCTAAGGTCCTCTCGCAAGACCGATATCAGTTTGCAGAACTGGCTGTTGATGCAGTTTTACGTATGAAGGGATCTTCTGATCTAAGTCACATTCAAATCATCAAAAAGGCTGGTGGAAAGTTGAGCGATTCATATCTCGATGAAGGTTTTATTTTGGACAAGAAAATCGGAGTCAATCAACCTAAACGATTAGAGAAGGCTAAGATTCTTGTTGCAAATACCGCCATGGACACAGATAAGATCAAGATTTTCGGTGCTCGAGTGAAGGTTGGGTCCACCGGAAAATTGGCTGAATTAGAGAAAGCCGAGAAAGATAAGATGAAGGCAAAGGTAGACAAGATCAAGGCACACGGTATCAACTGTTTCATCAACAGGCAACTCATCTACAACTGGCCAGAACAACTCTTTTCGGATGCCGGTATCATGTCCATCGAACATGCTGATTTCGATGGCATTGAGAGATTGGCTCTTGTTACTGGTGGTGAGATCACATCAACATTCGATCACCCAGACCAAGTCAAGCTCGGCCAATGTGACTTGATTGAGGAAGTGATCATTGGTGAAGATACTCTCATCAAATTCTCCGGCGTTGCTGCTGGTCAAGCTTGTACGATTGTACTAAGGGGAGCCACCGAGCAATTACTTGACGAAGCAGAGAGATCTCTTCATGATGCTCTTGCAGTCCTCTCACAGACTGTCAAGGAGCCAAGAACTACCCTTGGTGGAGGCTGTGCCGAGATGTTGATGGCCAAAGCTGTTGAAGTTGCCGCAGTCAAAGTAGACGGCAAGAAGCAAATCGCTGTTGGTTCTTTTGCAGTAGCACTACGTCAATTACCTACCATTCTGGCCGACAATGCCGGTTATGATTCAAGTGATTTAGTGGCTAGACTCCGAACAGCCATATACGATGGTATGTCTACATACGGACTGGATCTTTTGACGCCAGGAGGTGGAATCGCAGACATGCGAGAGCTAGGAGTTATTGAAAGTTACAAGTTAAAGAAGGCAGTAGTTTCATCTGCTTCTGAGGCAGCAGAGGTCAGTACCACCAATCCAACGTATGCATACAATACTAACTCCAAGTAGCTCCTCCTGAGAGTGGACAATATCATTCGTAGTGCCCCACGGAGAAGAGAAAGATGAGCATAATGAAAGCAAAAAATGACGACTGTATTATGAAGATGCAACTATGGTCAAGGAGATTTGTACCAACTATACCATAGACATATTGCTGCAACATAATGAATGGATGAACAACCTCTAGATTTCTATGATCTTTGTGCTGCCTTATTTCGAGATTTCCAACCAACGAGACCTAGCCATCCAAACGAACCGTGTGATTATCAGCCTCGTGAAGGCGAAAGCCAAAATTGGAAATACCAATTATGTGTATGTGGTTATACTAATCGTCTCTGCCTTGCTACCGCCCTCCAATGTACGAAACAGGCACTGAAACCGCTGTGCCTTCGAAATGCAGATAAATCTTCAGAGCCACAGACTACACGGGTATGATTCGTATGTACTCAAGAATAGAATCGTTTCAATTCATCGAGTATCATTGCGGCAAGGCCTAAAAGCTCTTCCTAGATATCCAGTGGGTGGGTATATGTTGATTGGCATAGTACTTTTGCTCCATTGATTTTCATTATTTTGTTCCGAATCCTTTATTGCCGCCCCCATCTAACAGCACCTAGGTATCTCTACTTGAATATGGAACGAATTCGAAGAGGAGCAGTTTCTCTCATTTCGTACTTCCTGAATTCAGACTCCATGATCTTCCCATCTTTCCCTATGTTTGACCTTTGGGTTGTGGGTGATCCCCCCCGGACACTTTTCGGAGACGAAACACAAATTTCTAGCCGTTTGGAAAGTATAAAATCCAAGTCATTGAGCCTTGTCAGAGGGAAGGATGTTAACGAAGACAAAATATGTGATGATAAAAATTATCAGGAGGTTTAAGCTGATTATGAGTTGAGACGAGAGAGAGATTATGAAGCCAGACATGAAATGAAGCTCATGTATTAACTGTCTAATAATAGTAAAAGTTACAGAGTTTGAGAAATATATTGATTTGTATTCGGTATCTGATTATCTTTGTGAAGTGCCAACCCTAAGCCTCTGTTGTGCTAACCCTAGAAATCATCCTCCATGTCTCGAAATTGGTGCAAGGTGTGAGTGATGTGCACAAGGAGAAGCAAGGAGAAGAAATGTTGGTGGAATAAGTATTGTATGGAGGTGTAAGCTGACGAATATTTTGGATCTTAATAAATACATACGAGTACATATTACTTACTGTTCTACCCCCTTATTCTTCTTTGTTGTCATTTTCTACTTCTACTGTTACTGTTTAAGAATAATAACTTTTCAACTTCTTACTTTGACCTATATATTTCTACTGATTGTCTTGATGTATTTGCTCCCACTTCAACTCCACCCCTCCACTCCACTCCACAATTGGTTTGCGTGTATCAACTAAAGCCTGGGGTTCTACTAGTGGATCGCATCTCGATACCCTTTTTCCAATTCTTCTGACAATTACCGCGCACACACACGCACACGCACACACTCTCTCCAACAGCGTATTATTATCACTCTTTCCTCAAACTCGGACTAGAAATCAATTCGAATCGATATAACTCAGTAGCAGAAATTTATCTTCGTTCTGCTTGACTCGAATATCCAGACGTCATATGATGATACCTCCTCTCATTGCCAGCATCTAGAAATAATTTAATTCCTCAATATACTTCGCTCTGTGCGAAGTATTTACAAATACACGTTGACCTTCAATCATGGTCAGGCCCCAGGCCTATGGCGAAGCTGTGAATAATATGTTCATCTTCGCAGCATTCTTACTTGTTCTACCATGGTTAGTCGATGCTCAGCAGCAGCAACGATCAACTCTCAGGAAACATGATTTCCCGCCCGAATCCGTCAGTTCTGAGGCAAGACGCACTCCTCTCGAAGCAACTAAAGTCCAGACCATCGAGACTCCTTTGAACATTCCACGACGAAAGAATACTTTGAGCGTGAATGCCGGATCTTACGACAAAGTCGATGCGAGCGCCGATTCAGCACCATTATCTCCTTCACATCTTGCAAAGTCCAGTAGACTCGAGTCTAGCAGCCTCCAGTCTGCCGGATGGGGTTCTTCGCAGCCGAGTGCGCGGGATCTCCAAGACTGGGAAGTAGAAGATTTTGTGCTGCTGGCGACCGTTGATGGAAGTGTATGGGCACGCGATAGAAAAACGGGTAAACACAAATGGCGAATGCGTAAGTAGCGATTTACTTTGTGTTGAAAGAAAGAGTCACTGGTGCTGATGAATCCTCCTAGAATTACCTGAAGTCTCGATGATTTCCACCAAGCATCATCGAAGAAACAAATCTGCCGATTTCAACGAGGTCCCCACGTCTTGGGGTATTGACGATTATGTCTGGATTGTGGAACCCACCGAACATGGTGGTTTATGGATATATCGACCGGATGTTCCGAATGGTGGCTTGGTCGACACAGGCCTAACAATGAAGAAATTAGTTGACGAAATGTCACCATACCAAAGTGACGATCCCGAGGTCGTGTATACCGGTTCAAGAAAAACTCAGATGGTGCACGTTGATGCTACAAATGGAAAAATATTGCAGGTCTTTGGAGGAGATTTTGTCGTCGATGCAAAGGATCAAAGCTGTAGCCCAAAAAATGGGTTTGTGGGCAAAGAAGCTGATGAATGTCAAAACCCTACGATTTGGCTAGGACTATCAAAGTACGAGGTGAACATCGTTGGCAAGGATCACCACCCAATCGCCACGTTAATGTACAATGAATGGGGTCCCAATGTTCAAGATGCGAAGAAATACGGAGACAAATATCAGCAAACACTTGATAGCAAATACATCCTCGCTGGCCAGGACGGCCATGTGATGGGGTTCGATCGTGAACGCAACAGGGATCACGAATTATTGTTTCAACAGAAGCTTCCTTCACCTGTCGTTAGGGTGTTTGACATTTTCCGACCTTGGGGTACCGAAGAGAAGAATCTGAAGTTGATGATGCTTCCACAACCTAAGCCCGAACTGACATCAGAGAACGAATTGCTAGAAGTGGATCAAACCCGAAATAGCCGAGTTGTTATCAGTCTTTCTCAAGATGGTAGTTTCTATGCTATGTCAGGGAAATCATATCCTCTGGCCGTAGCTGGTTCTCAAGCTCAGTGCTACCAAGGCGGATTGTGGAAACACGAGTCTTGGCAAAATATGGATCAGCCTGAACTGGCAGCCGCGCTGACCGGTGTCCACTGCATTGATGTGCAAAACGAACCCCGTTTGACCATATCTGCTCCTCTATTTGCTGATGATAATCAAAGCAAATTGGCTGTCACAGACCTCACCCCAGAACTTCTTGGTGAGCCAACTCTCTCACAAAGCTTCCAGCAGATTCCAAGGCTAGCGATCGACAGTGTTGTGGAATTCATCAAAAATCCTGTCCTTATACTTTTTTTAATGATACTACTTATCTCGAACCAAAGACAAATACGAGCCTGGATTGGTCGCCATGGACTTCACAATAAAAAGAGTATTGTTTTGCACAAAGATCGATCCATAGCAAAGGACGTGCCTTCAATCGATAACTCAGATGACGATTCCACGAAGATCATCGGCCATGATACTGCTCATCTATCAGAAGTTGCAGAAGATAAAGCTCTTAGTGCAAATCCTAAGATCAATGACTTTGCATCTCTTCTCGACGTTTCTAAAGATACTGCTGCAGTTGTGGTACTCGAAGATATTGCTGTGAATGATATCGAATCATTGTCAGATGTTGCGCAAGATGTCGGCGATGTTGCTCCAACATCCCCAGAAAAGAAACTGAGAAAGCGAGGACGACGTGGTGGGGTTAAACACAAAAAGGGAGGCAATCGTCTAGGTCAGGCTGGTAGTGATCAAGAGACCCCTCAAAACATCACCGTGCAAAAGCCACCTCCAACCGTTGAAGATGCTGTGCACAATGCTCAGAATATGTTTCCACAGAAAACACTCGAGCCAGATATTCAGACAGTGTCAAATGATCCTGCCGAAGTTTCTGGTTCCAAGATTCGTATCGGGGCATTGGAAGTGGACCAGAATAAACTAGTTGGGACAGGTAGCAATGGTACTTTGGTCTTCGAAGGAAATTTTGATGGTCGTGCTGTTGCTGTTAAGAGGATGCTTATCCAGTTCTATGACATTGCATCCCAAGAGACCAAACTATTGAGAGAAAGTGACGATCATCCAAATGGTAAGTGTTACAAGGACTCTATGCTTCCGCTTTCTATCCTCTAACATTACATTAGTCATCCGGTACTTTGCACAGCAGACTGCTGCTGGGTTCCTTTATATTGCCTTAGAGTTGTGCCCCGCTTCACTGGCTGATGTCATCGAAAAGCCACACTTGCACAGAGATTTGGCGCAAGGTGGTGAAAAGGACCTACCAAACGTACTTTATCAAATCGCCAATGGTATTCAGCACCTCCACAACCTCCGCATCGTCCATCGTGATCTAAAGCCGCAAAATATCTTAGTTGCGATGGGTAAGAACGGTAAGCCCAGACTTCTTGTTTCGGATTTCGGGTTATGCAAGAAATTGGAAGTGGAGCAGTCATCCTTCAAGACTACTACTGCCCATGTAGCTGGTACATCTGGCTGGCGAGCACCAGAACTTATCCTCGACGATGATATAGAGCAAGGCTTCATGGTTGATACAAGTACAGATGGTGGTGGGTCAGGCTCAATCCTCGTTAGCTCGGGTGCGATGCCTAATCGACGAGCTACACGTGCTATCGATATATTCGCTCTTGGATTGGTCTTCTTCTACGTCTTGACCAAAGGCAATCATCCTTTTGATTGTGGCGATCGATACATGCGAGAGGTGAACGTTCGTAAGGGTAATTTCAACTTGGATCTTTTGGAATCCCTTGGAGATTATGCCTTTGAAGCTATTGATCTGATCACCTCCATGCTTGGCAGAGATCCAAAATCTCGTCCAGTCGCAGCACAAGTCATGGCGCATCCCTTCTTCTGGTCTGCAAAGAAACGGTTGAACTTTCTTTGCGACGTTTCTGATCACTTTGAGAAGGAAAAGCGGGACCCTCCCAGCCATGCACTTGTGGAACTTGAGAGATGGGCACCAGATGTCTGTCACGGCGATTTCCTCAGGCCGCTTGGGAAAGAGTTTGTAGATTCAATGGGTAAACAGCGAAAGTATACCGGCACGCGACTTTTGGACCTTCTTCGAGCTCTGAGGAACAAGAAGAATCACTACGAAGACATGTCCGATAAGTTGAAGAGAGATGTCGGTCCCTTACCTGATGGTTACCTCAGCTTTTGGACTAGAAAATTCCCTAATCTGTTGATCGTCTGTTGGAATGTCGTGTATGAAGTAGAATGGGATCAGGCGGATCGTTTTAAGGAATACTATGAGCCGGCTGGCCTTTAAGGTGACCATAATTTTGTTGGTTTCTTGCATCACTATCCATGGCGGGGTTATATAATGGGGTTGAGACTCTCTCTCTTTTTGGAATAACGCGATCATGATCAATATATACAAGACGGGACTGAGGGTTATTTAAAATTCTATGTATCTCGGGTGATGGTTTGTGAAGGGCAATAATAGTAGTGATCTATATACTTGAGTATTCCGATTGCAATTATGGTTATTTACTATCTACCTACTTACTTACTCTAATAATACTATATTGTCCGAAGATACTGATAATATCTGAATATAGTTCGTGGAAATGGTGATATACTAAAATTTATCTCGGTGTATATCATATAGAGTAGTAGAACTGAAATAGGTATCTACTCAATTGAAATAATGTTCCACAGATAACAGAATTGTTGATGAATGTATAAAAGAAATGATCTCAATATAGATTTATAGATAGATGTAACTACCTACTCAATTGAGATGATGTTCCACCGATAATAGATATCAATGCAGATGTATTACCGGTAGATTTATCTACTACTGATTTCAACACATATGTACTTCTTACTTAATAGAAAGGCATTCAACATACCTATCTACCTAGGTAGATGAGATAGTTCAATCGAAGAACAAGGAATTGAAGATATACAGACAGGAACACGGATGTCTCATTGAAACTACTCAGTACCGGTATAAGCACAGATCTACAAAGGTACCTATCACCTTACTCCAGAACATCCCGGAGCTAATGACAAAGGCCTAGGCTTGGACCTAATCCTTGCATTCTCGTCGCATATCATACATCGTCACCTGGACCTGGGGCTTGTCTTTCCAGCGAAACAACATCTGCAAACAAAACTTTAAAAGGAGTTTGTTCATACAATTATTGTTTATTATACCCATTAAATTTTAGTAGTGTTTTTGATCATAAAGTTAACACAGTTCGGAGCACCTTTCAATCATTAAGAATCTTTTTTTTTTGGCATGGAATTTCTTTATTTCTTCTTTTAGTTTCTTGTGGTTGATTCTCTTAATGCGACAACAATAACAATATACTCCAACCAACCCAATATCAAACATAGCGCATTGGCAGATAAAAAACTCTTTACTATCTTTACTATCTTCACTGCAGGTAAAGAAGGTTTCCCAATCGTTTTGGTTTGAGATTCACTTGATAGCAAGCGTATTTTGTCACCTTCCATACCTACCCTCAGGATTCCTTCTTCTATCCCATATCTCCTCCCTCGCAGGTAGCACAACTTCTGATATCGGTACAAGCGTTTTCTTACCAACAGCAAAATGTCTTGTAAGCCTGCCCACTATATTGTTTTACTCAACATACCACTAACCTTTCTAAAAGTATCTTCGGAAGAAAATTCAAAGTATTCCATAATCATTGACAGAATCCTCAAAGAGGGTGATCTCAGTACTATCTCCGCCAAACAGATTCGTAAAGATCTTCAAGCGGGATTGGGTTTTGACCTCTCCCACCAAAAGGTAGCGCTCCTCCTTTTAGTTTCAGGCTTTCAATGCTAATTCTTACCTTTAAAGGATGCTGTGAAAGCTTTAATCCTGGAACGATTTGACGAAGTCTCAAAGCACACTCGGGGTGCATCTGCATCCCCACCCGCGACCAATGGACACATTAAAAACAAATACGTCAAAGATGAAGAATCGCAGAGTCCCTCGCCGAAGCTGGAAATCGATGGTTCTGGGGAAGATGAAAAGCCAAAGGTGAAGCGACAGAAACAGGATGATGACGCGAAGCTAGCGGCTCTACTACAAGCACAGGAAAATAGCAGGACAAGGTCAACCAGAGGGGGTGGGGCTAAGCGAAGTGCGGGCGTTAAGAAGAGCAAGAGTACACCAAAGAAAAAGAAGTCTACCGCAAAGGTCAAGGCGGCAGATGATAGTGATATGGAATTAGGTTCAGATGGTGAGCCCAAAGAGGTCGTCAAAAAGGGCGGATTCCATGTATGTCGTTGTTCAATCTCCTCAACTCGTTACACAGGTAACTAATTTCGAGCAGAAGCAATACCATCTGTCGACTGCTTTGGCAGATCTAGTGGGGGAGCCAACAGTACGTGTCACTGTCTATTGAGCATCTTCCCATACTAATATATATCAATAGTTATCACGGCCGCAAGTTGTCAAGAAAATTTGGCAACATATCAAAGGTCACGACCTTCAAGATCCCAGCGATAAACGTCAAATTATATGCGATGATAAAATGCAATTGGTTTTCAAGATAGAGAAAGTTCATATGTTTACCATGAATAAGCTTCTTGGAAAACAGTTGTACCCAATTGAGGAAGAATAGGATGATCTAGTCATTGGGGATGAGACGATACCACGGCCGTTTTTCCCTTTCCCATCTGGGCGTTTTTTGCAGGCATTGTATTGATACATCATTGGATAAGGGTGTAATTTTATCCAGTATCATGGGAGACCACAGGATCAATGTTATATGTAGGTATGAGTCATTCATCTTTGATATTGGTGAACACTCAAGCATGATGACTTTGGTGCCCAATTCGTATTTATTATTAAGCTTTATTCATCCTGTTGATTCTTCGTTGTGACTCTTGGTTTATGACTCTTGGTTTATCAGCCTTGGTCGAGTCAACTCCGCAGCCTCGCTGTTGCTTTGTGGGGCTAAGCGATTGCAGACCCCACACCTACAGATGTAATAATTTGTCTACCTAGGTAAGTTTATGTAGCTTTCAGAGGCAAATCAACGGCTTCTTCTCGAACAAATTTAACATAATTATTTACATCAGAGATCATTCTATTCATAAGGAGAAGACACCAGCTCATAAAGTGCAAACAAAATTGTTTTACGCCCACAGTTCAGACTTTTAAGACCTCACTTCAAACCACTACAAATCCACACCTGGTCAAGAATGACTTATACAGCCGAAACTACTTCCATAGCCGACGCTCCCTCGCGGCCCCGTAATGATGGGCAGCGAGCCCCAAGAGGAAGAGGAAGGGGTCGCGGTAGAGGAGGAGGAGCTTCAGGAGAGGCTGGTGGTGATCTTAGACATTCGGAAAATCGTGGAGGAAGACGGGGTCGCGGTGGAAACAGGGGAGGTTCTGCTAGCCACGACACCACAAACACGAATACCAATACCATAAACTCTACAGACCTCACTACGAAATTCTCCACCCAGAGAAAGTTGCCAAAAACAGATGGAGAACTCAAGGACGCAGATGGGGAGCCGGTTGAAGCGGAGGTGTGCTTTATTTGCGCCTCGGACGTCGAGCATAATGCTGTTGCCCCATGCAATCATCGTACATGCCATATCTGTGCTTTGCGGATGAGAGCATTGTACAAGACGAAGGACTGTGTACATTGTAGAGTAAGATCCGCTCCTGTTGATTTCGTTGAAACCAGGCTAATATCTTCAAGGCGCCATCGCCGTTTGTTATATTCACAGACAACGCGACTAAAAATTATGAAGACTTCTCTAACGAAGATATCTCGAATACAGACCCAAATATCGGCATTCGATATGAGAGTAACGACATTCAGGAGGATACTTTACTGCTTCTGCGGTATAACTGTCCCGATCTTACTTGTGATACTGCATGTAGGGGTTGGCCAGATTTGCACCGTCATGTTAGATCTATACATCAGAAAAAGATGTGTGACCTGTGTACGAGGCATAAAAAGGTATTTACACACGAACACGAATTATTCGCAGATAAGGAATTGGAAAATCATATGAGGAAGGGTGATGACAACCCTGGAGCGCTTGATCAAACAGGATTCAAGGGTCATCCTCTATGTACTTTCTGTGGTCAACGCTTTTATGGCGATGACGAGCTATTTTTGCACTGCCGAGACAAACATGAAAGGTGTCATGTCTGTGACCATCAGAGTAACAACGGTCAACCACATTATTATGTTGATTATAACTCTTTGTCGCAACACTTCCGAAAGGATCATTTTCCTTGTAACGAGCCGGAATGCTTGGAGCAAAAGCTTATATTTTTCGCTACGGAGATGGATTTGAAAGCACATCAATTGGAGGTCCACGGAAGTACTTTATCTAAAGACGTTCGGAGAGACGCAAGAACGGTAGACATCTCTACCTTTGAATATCGACAACCATATGTACAAGAGCGCAGCCGCGGAGGAAGTCAACGAGAGCAACGAGATGGCCGCGGTAGAGGCAGGGGCAGAGATCCGAATGCTGAACCATTGCCACCATCAAGTGCACAGCCCTTACGCCGGGATGAGCAAGCTTTCCAACGACAAATGGCTGTGCATGGTGCTCAGACTGGATCATCAAGAGCTTTCGGTGGCCAATTGACGGCCCCTACCCCAGCCCAAGCTAATGCAAGAACCAACCCGGCACAGTCTTCACGGGCTGCCACCGCTCGACCTGCAGCCAATGCTGGGGGTCTTTCCGATGCGGTCGTAGGGATGAACATAGCTCCACCAGAGTTGACACCTCAAGAACAAGCCAGGCAACTTCGACATAACGACGTTATTGAAAGAGCGACCCGACTTCTACAGAACGATCAAACCAAGTTGAATCATTTTCGGAACTCCATATCTTCATACAGAAATGGTGGGTTGACTGCTAACGCTCTCATCGATGCATTTTTTGCTCTGTTTTCGGACACTACTCCTGCTGCCCTGGGCACACTTATTCGTGATTTAGCCGACCTTTTTGAAGATCAGAGCAAGAAAGCTGCTATAATTACTGCTTGGAATGATTGGCGTGCAATCAACGAAGATTACCCATCTCTCCCAGCTCCTACTTCCAGTAACGGTAATTCCATACCTCTGGGCTGGGCATCCTTAACCACCAATTCTTCTGGCCCACGATCAAATCGTGTGCTGAAACTCAAAAAGTCCACCGCACAATCATCCCGCTCAACCGTCTCACAAAACCGATCCTGGGGCACTGCTTCAACCACTGCCTCTACTTCAGCACCAGCCCCCTCCTCGTCATACCAGTACACTAATCCCTTCCCCACTCTTCCCTCGTCCCGTCCCAATCAGACCGACTCTCGTATAACAACCACACCCTGGATAGCACCAACTCCTACAGCCTCCACTTCTTCGGCGCCCGCATCCGCACCTCCTAGTCGAGCACCTTCGCGTGCGCAAGCAAGAAATGGCAAGAGTAACGATTCGAGTGCATTTCCAGCTTTGCCACCGGCTGCCAGACCACAAAGTTCCATTTTTGGGTATGGCACGGGGATGGTGAGGAGGGATATGGGTGGGAAACCAGTTACGACTGCGTGGGGAGCGGCGAATGGCGAGGGAAGCTCGGGGACTGCAGGGGAGGCAGAAAGCGCGGATGTTGGGCAAGGAGGCAGGAAAAAGGGAAATAAGGGAAAGAAACAGGTTTTGATGAATTGGGGTTAGAGTGTTGTGTTTTGTTGAGCAAGCGACGGTTTGGCGGGTGGGGGTCGAGTATTTGGGGAGTTAGATGAATAGACATGAGATGGGTGTCATAAGATTAGATGAGATCAGGATTGGTTCTATGGTAGCTGTACGTTTGTATGTATACATATTACACATGTAAAGAAATAGCAGCGGTTTAGAACTTCGGTCATTACACTCGAGCAATGAAATAGACATACATGAAATGAAATCGGGATTATTTATGCAATTGATGTGTGAAAGAACAGCTTGGTGTAGTTTTCGATTTATACTTGATACTAGATACTTGATACTTGATACTTGATGAACTGCGTATTAGTAAGAAGTTAGGTATGAGTTTGGGTTTGGGTTTGGGTTTGAGTTTCGTCGTGAGTGGGTTGTGGGATGTAATGGCAGGGGAGGGAAGGGAAGGGAAGGGAAAGGGATGGAATGGGATACATCGGATCGGATGGTGTATGTGAGATGGTGAAAATGGTGGATATAGTGGGTGTATATATATATATACTCAGTATACTCGAGTATATATAGGTTATTGTGCTGTGTTGTGCTGTGTCACGGTTGAGATATTGAGATCTAGTTATGATAATAGTAATAGTAATAAGAATAGTAATGACGATTGGACTACTACTTTGACAGCTACTACTATGATTATAGTTATTATTATTATTACTTGAGCATATTTTCTTATGTAAGTTTGAAGTTATATATATGGGTATTTGAGTATTAGGGTTTATGAAGTGTAAGTATATGAAGTGTATTATTTGTATAAGTCCGCGTCTGGGTCTGTGGCAAGTGATTGAGCGAGCGGGTGATTCAATTTTGAACGGTGTTTTGTTAATATACGTAGGCATGGGAGGGAGGGAAGGAAAGGGAAGGGAGCTTGTGTCGGATGGTGAATGAGGAGATGGTTGGTAGTTGGTAGTTGGTAGGTGGAGGCTGAGCTGGAGAAATGAAATGCATGAAGTGGGTAGGGCGACTTCCAACTTCGGAGAGATAGAGCAGTTGGTGGTGGTTGTTAGATGGTGATGGGAATGGGTGTCATATACATATACTGGTATGACATATTCCATATGTATATATCAGGAGTTCAACTCTCTAAATCAATGCTATTAATATGTATCTCTTTATACATGGTTTTACTCATACAGTGCTGCACTCATTCATATGTGTCAAGATTAGTTCTTGATGGCAGAAGTTGACTTGGGGAAAGAGGAAAGAGGAACGAGGAAAGAGGGAAAGGGAGGGAGAGGGAAGGTATAAGTAGAATTTAGAGTTTAAAATGAAGTGAAGAGAGAGTAATCCTAGAGGACTAGATAGACTGGGACTGGGACTGGGACTGGGACGGGAGCTACGATGTAGATTCGAGTAATTAGTATGTATGGTAGGTGTTTTGACTTTCTGAAATAATATCATTATGTAGTATGTAGTATATAGTATATACTCTATATTTTGTATTTTGTATCTTGGATCTTGTACTTGTGCTTGTGCACTTCATTCTTCTTCATGGCTCTTTTTCAGCGTTTCAAAGTCTCAACGTTTCAAAGTTTCAACGTCTCAACGTTTCCACGTCTCAAGATGAAATGTAAGAGAATAATACAGAGTTCGAGGGGATGGGTTCGAAAGAAGTCTTCTGAGATAGTATTGAGTGGACATAGGTGAAGATAAAAGGACAATTGGTGTTAGGTGGAAAGGTAATCTTGTATGGGAAGGAAGAAAAGAAGGAAGGAAAACATGAATACTTGTAATGGCATGGGTGGGCATATATATATAGAGAGAAATATAGAGGGTTTGAATAAGAGAGAATAAAAGCTAGACGAGAAATATATAGATGATATGAGACGGAGGAAAAAATGGCGAGGACAGTTTCAGGTTCGGATTCTGGACTAGATCTTCAGAGAATATAATATGGAAGGATGATTGGGAGTACGCAGAAAGGTAATCTTATATGAGAAGGAAGGAAGGAAGAAAAATAGGTAGACTCGTAATAGCGTGAGTATATATATGTATATATTAAAAGATATACCTAGTAGGTCTTTAATAAGAGATAATAAAAACAAGATGAGGAATATAAATCTTACAAACAGCATACATATATAAGATCAAGAAGAAAGTAGTGTAATAAGGACAGGACAGAACAGGACAGGACAGATTCTAGTTTTTAGATTATATCTCCAGAGGAAAGAGTATCATTACCATTATACTCGTACACTCATAATGTACAGAAGTCAAGATAGATAGATAGATACTACTGAGTAGTAGAAACAGGAAGAGCACTTTGTTCATCGATAGCATATCGGATATCCAAGGAAAAGAAGGTAATCTTACCTAGGTATTCAGATTCTGAGGAATATAAAGTTCAAAGTTGAAATTAATGTAATAGAGTGTAAAGATTGAATGTAAGATTACCACAAACGCCATTGTTGTATGTTCTGAAAGAGACTAATAAGGAAATGGTGATATCTACCTAGGTACCTAGGGATTTACCATCTGAAAGGTGAAATCAGAAAGAGTGTTTGAGTATCTGCATCTACATCTACATTGTAAAATGACGAGACAACGAACTGAGCTCTATTGAGTGGTTTATCATATCTAGTGTAATGGGGTGAGGATGGCTGTCAGATGATTAAGATTGAGATTGAGACTATTATCTCTTCCACTCCCAGAAGATGATTGGTGATGAGGGCTTGGAATTCGTTGCGGACATGACTGTCGCATTTCCCTTGTTTTTGTTTTGTTCTATACTTTTCAGAGGAAATGATATCCCGAACCTTCTTACCTTTGGGCCGTGGCTCAAGGTGCCATGTTGGAATTTAACAAAAGAATCTATCTACCTACCTACCTACCTACCTACCTACCTCAGCAATATCTACGAGTACTCATATGTCAAATCAACTCTAGATTCGAGCCACCTTGAAATTTGTTTCTGCCCATACCAATGTCTTGAAATCTGAAGGCTTTTAAAAGAACGTAGCTCCTTGGGATAGAAGAGATATGGAATGGGTAGAATAAGGAAAGAGGTATGTAGTTTGGTAAATAAAGTGATTTGTAAAAGTGAAGTGATATGGGAGGGCAAGAGTTTTCCGTCATGTCCATGCCTGGAGATTTTAGAGACGGAGAAAGGGGAAATAATATAGATAGTAAGTAGTGTGGGTGTTCTTTGGGGGAAACTGTTGATGTTGGGAAGTATAGGTATATGAATCTTGTCGCTTGTATTGAGTCATTACAGAGGAGGAGATGAAATCTATGAAGTATGAGATGCTAGACAAGTAGACAAGTAGACAAGTAGACAAGTACTATAATGAGATGAAGTAAAACGAAAAATGTATCAGAATATGCTATAGTAAATCTTTGGTGCCATATTCATATCATGCGAAGAAACATTATATCACACAGGAGGAGAAGTTTAAAAAAAGCGCTCTTGGGCCAGACGAGAGAAACGAAAAGGAAAGATTGAAGACAGCAATCCAGTAACATTGCATTGCATCGATATTACACAATGCCTGCCCCCCGCCCTGATAGCAAATGGGTAGGTAATTGGCGACAACCGAAAACTTTGGACAACAACATAACTGTGAGAGAAGATTTAACATGTGAAGGAACTCACAAATGGGTGCTAAGTGACTAACTATCTAACTATGGAATAGAAAACGGGAAGGAAAACGATGTGATATTGTATTGTATTGTACTGTAACTCCCGTCTTATTTTCCGAGATGATTTGATATGATAGTTGCTCATCCGTTGGATTATTTGACAAGTTTGTACTTTCATATACCGGTACTGTATGTCTTTTTGGGTATCAGAGCTTGGGAAGTGTGAGATTTATTTAGCATGAGATAATTCGGGGACTTTTTACTTTATACGAATTGGGGTAGGAGTAGGAGTAAGAAGAAGGAATATATAACTTAGAGAGAAGAGAGTATTTGAAAATCTTACAAGATCAATATGAAGTGCCTTCCATGCTTAATTGCAGCTCAATACCTAGAGCAATGAAGGTAGCATAGGCATTGGATAAGTACTAGGTACCTAATACTTATGTTGTGGACCAAATGCGACGGTTCCATCTCCGGCTACTGCCGAATTGAAACATAAGTCCATTCCCATACAATACAAGTACTGTATACAAAAGAAGAATAAAATTCAATATTTGATATTCCCATCCAAATATTGAGATTGCTTTCGTTCCATCACCTATAATACTATATGCAAGTAACCATTCCTACCGTTATCTCTGTGTAACATCTGGTTGTGTCCTTGTCGATTTATTCAATCTGATGTATATTTATGGGTTGATGGTTTTTGTTTGCGCAAGTTGGTAATTGCTGATTTTGAAGAGAAGATCAAAAACATCGGATACTATTCCTTGTATGGATGGGGCTGATGTATGCAAGGGATATTTCTCTTGCAGCAGTCGTATGTACTTTTACTCTAATGCAAGGTGGATCTCCCGATATATTCATTTGGTACCGATACTGGTACCAATTCATGTATATATGTACATGTATGTTACATATGCAGAGTATCCAGGATCAGGACCAGGACCCTATCCCATAGAGAGAACGCAATTTTGAGCGGGAGAGAAGCAAAAAGAGGCGCGCTGTTGTGTTGCCATATGTACTTTTTGTTGTACCTTTTAGAAGTATACTGGGATAGAAAAGATGTTACCTCTGAATAATAGAGGATGATTGGTGTGACTTCTTCGGTGAGCTGTCAGTATATGCGAGAATCCGGGACTTTTTTCAAAATTCGTACAGATTTTTATTATGCTCGGAGAATTGATAATCAGAACCAGAACCAGAACCAGAACCAGAATCAGAATCAGAATTAGGATAGGAAAGAAAGGTACGCAGGTAGTGACTGTAGATGCCAATTATTTTTTTCAAGCTGCAATGTAACAACAGGTACAAGGTACATCGTACATCTTGCGCAGAGAAAGTTAATGAGGTTAATCGGATATTTCACTGCAAGTGTGTGTGTGTGGTGT